TTGGTCCCACTTTCATTTGATACTTCTGTAGCTGCAGTTTGTAAAACCGTTTTCTTGTGATCTGAGATTGCCACTCCCATTGTTGTTTGAATTGGGGATGACACATTCCCTGTGCCAAATTTCTCTGGACAGATACTGCAATGGTGCGTTGTGCGTTTGCAGTAGTAGCATGGTTTAGTGCGCTCACATGCCCTTGCACTGTGTCCAGATTTCAGGCAAATGAAGCACCGTCCATTCAATTGATCTTTTCTGGTTTCTGCATCTGTGTACCTGGTACACTCATCAGCGAAATGCGATTGTCCGCAGTAGATGCATTTACGTTCCATTTTTATCGTGTTTGCTGCCATTGAGTGAGCTACGTGTGTCGTTGGGTTGTATGTTCGATCCCTTTGTCGTTCGTTTCCGCCGGTAGTTGCAGCTTCCGCTGCTTCCATTGCATCTACGTAGTGGTTCATTGCCTCACGTAGACTTCGCACTGTCCATTTTGTGGTAGTGCCTTTCTTTAATTCTAATTGAGACATAACCGATTTGGGTAATTTGGAGGTAATCAGTGGAATGAATAGTGCCTGTGACATGTCCTCATGTAGCGCACCTAGACTTCTGATGTTTGCCTCGACGTCATTCAAGAATTTCCGCAATGATTCAGGTCGGCTAGACGGTTTCTCCAAATCGACTAATGCCAAGTACCGAGCATTGATTACAACATGGTCTTTCCCAAATCGATCCATTAGCAAATCCCATGCAACCTTGTAATTTGAATTTGACAGGGCCAAACCAGAGATACATTCCAGCGCTTTTCCTTTCACGTGTGTTTTCAGGTAAGATAGCTTCTCCACATCAGACAAAGATTTATTTGTGTGAACAGTGGCAGTAAACATATCTTGAAATTCCTTAAATTTCATTACATCACCATCAAAAGTGAACAATTCCAGTTTAGGCAATTTGACCGTGTTACCAGTTTTATTGCTAGCATTACTCTGAGAATTCGTCAAATTTGTCATGATGCTCTGATTGCTTTGATTCATTGATACCATTTCCGACAGCAGTCTGTCGAGTTTGTCGTCATCCATTATAGTTGCTGTAGTTCCTGCCGCCATTGCCGTGGCTGCAGGTTGCGGATCCTTTTTTTGACATTCCATTTGTAAGAATTTTAGTGACACCAAATTAATGTTAGTTACACGTATAAATTCATCCATTTGTTCGATCCATTCCGTTTGATTTTCCTTGAATTCCTGGTCGTCAGACCCTTTTATTTCGTACCTGTTAATTAAATCAGTATACTTTTCCAGCGATATTTCGAGTGCCTCGAGATGCGAGTCCAATTGGAAATTGTGTTGACATAGCTCTCTGACTGCTGCTGGATCCGATTCAATGTCCGTTGAGATTGCCGAGAGGAAACTACCCGTTGTCGTTTCCATATCTTTGATTGTCTTGTGGTGACGAGCAGCCTTTTGGCGCTTGCCCCTCACCGCCGCTTGGTTTTCCATGGTTCGTCGGTCGTTCAAATTCCTGTACTAGGAGAGTCGCCGCTCGACTCTCCCGGGTTTCGGCACCAAAATGTCGCGAACCAGGGACATACCCTTTACATAAACCACTCGAAGCAGACCATATTTTCCTTAGTGCCCAATTTTCTTGTGAATCAAGACTGAACTGAATATTTACAAGGGGAGAGCGATAATATAGGTGAGTCGGAGTGTATGCCTGTAGCAGTAGTGTGCCGTGAAAGTGTCTTGCGTACAGCGTCAGCAGAAATATACAAGCGATAAATATACAAACGCATCGAAATTAGCTCCCAAGGAGTAGCGAAGAATCAAAGAGAAGCAAGAAGAGCACCAAGTTGTGGAACTAAAACAGCTCCACGTGCATGTAGCTGAAAAGGTGACACATAAAGATACGCACGGTGCAACGAGTCCAACTGTGAGCATGAAAATGGATAGTGAAGGCCATCAAAGATGCCGATAGTCGTACACACAGTCCGTGTTGGATGTCGGTGCGTGTGCAAGCCAAGGTGCATGGGTTCAAACTGAATCAAAGGGTGCCCGGAACGGAAACATTAGAAATGCAACGAATTGCAAGGTGAGAAAAGGGTGCCCAGAATTGAACCTTAGAAATGCAACGAAATGCAAAGTGAAAAAGGGGTGTCACAAAGGGATGCGAGTGATTGAACGTACAAATCATGCACTGAACAAGGATACATGTATACGTAGCTGTGAATTCTTGGTTATATACATGCATTGTGCTCGTGACTACGAATAAATCCGATCGCATTCGCGACACCATGGGGCCAATTGCGCCAAGGTTGCGGAGAAGTTGCGAAATAGTTCCGAAAAATGAAGAAAGTTGTGAAAGTTGCGATTTCTTCCTAAACACCGAAAAGTTCCGAAAAAAGTGGCGAGCATCTTTGGGAAAGGGCTAGCTATGAGACACCACAAACGGGTCACCTACATGTATGTTCAGGGCTAGTGCACTCACACGCAGAATTGTCATAATCGAGCATTTCCCAAACTGAGAAGTGCAATGAAATCCACTTGCATGCACAGGAGCAATTTTGCAATATTATGATGCGCAATTCGACACGATCTGCGATGCTGCATGCGATGTGCCCTGCCGTCATGATGGTGACAGTCACCGCGGTATGTTTTGTCAACGTCGCCCTTGCACTCTTCTGTCAAGTCCAAAGTGCTCACATACTTGGCAATGTCTTTGCAGTGATTAACTTTTATCCTAGTTATGTCACGGGTAACTTTAATGAAGTACCCGCAGGCCGTGTCGATCCGCACATCGTCCACTCTCTCATATACTTGGCCTGCTTTGTCTGTGTATCCATTTCATGTGCGATCCACAAAATCGACTAGACAGTGGGTGCAATACGCTCTCTATCTGAAGACGTTCTTCTGGCGACATCTCGCCATGTACTTGGCCTGCTTTGCCTGTGTATCCATTTTCATGTGCGATCAACAAAATCTCAATGCACTACAGAGACTAGACAGTGGGTGCAATACGCTCTCTATCTGAAGACGTGAACCATTAAATTTTTTGGAAAAGTTATACGTACACCTGAAACGTAATGAAGTACAGGAATAGAGAGAGTGACTACAATACGCTCTCGACCTGATAACGTGAGTACAAGACACTCTCCACCTGATAACGTGTTAGTAGAAGGTAACTGGCAACATATCAATGGGTTGCCTTACCGTGGTCTAGAGGAAACGTCTTCGCAGCAATATTTTCCCTCCAGCGCATTCAGTCGCCGACGCGACATCGTTTACTGGGCCGTTCCAGTTGCGGAAGACATTCGATTCATCGGGCCAATTCAGCAACAGGGCCGTGGACACACAGGGGGCAGAGGAGAGACATTGTTAGTGGACAAGAAAATAATATGCAGTGGCAAGTGGCGAGTGCCGCACGGATGTCAAGTTGTCATGCACAATTCAGCTACTACTTACGGTCCAGCTAGTCCTGCCATTGCTCGCTCGTCCTGGTTCCTCCTCGTTCGTCTTCCTGCACGTCTGCTCTTCTCCTTCCCCACCGTTGGCTTTGCGGTACGGGGGTGCCGGAAGGAATTCCCACCATATCATGTACATGAAGTCCCACCATGTCTCCATGTACATGTCCACGGCCACGTCAGCAGTTTGTATAGTACCGGAAGGAGTTCCCACGATGTCTCCAAAGGCCTAGAGCGGACGTCTTTGCAGCAATTCTTTTCACCCTGCACATTCACTCCGCCGACACGACATCGTCGACAGCGTTTACGGGGCCGTTCCAGGTGCAAAAGGTCCACGTCAGTAGTTCTCAACTATTTCGCGTACGGGATAGTCGCCGCGACAGCGTTTAAGGGGTCGTTCCAGGTGCAAAAGGTATCCATCAATGGCACTTTGCAGTATGGGGTACGGAAAAGGGGCCTCCTCGTTCGACTTCTGCAGTTCTCCTTCCCGTCAGGGGTACCGAAAGGGGCCTCCTCGCAGTTGTCCTTGCCGTCAGGTCCACGTCATGCAGTTCTCAACTATTTCGCGTACGGGATAGTCGTCTTTGTCGTACGCGGCATCCGCGTTTACCGAGTGGCATTGGCACAAAGCAGACCGTTGACGGGGTCACGTGTCAAAAAAGTATCAACAACGTGTCGACTACGTGTCGACCACGTGTATAGCGGTACACTCAGCGGTACACTAATTCTCGTGCCATTCTCGTGTCACAAAACTGGAACATCGAGTACCAGTATGGAAAGGCTTCAGACAGGAAGCCTTTCCAATGATTGTACTACAATTGAAGTATCATGTTTATGGACTCGATGTAGCATGTGATAAGCAGGATATGACTACTTTCATATGACGGTCGTACGTATTAGATACGTAGTACTGGAGTATTAGATACGTAGTACTGGAGTATTAGATAAGGCCGAGTAAAAAAAATTACTAGATGATCGTCCTTTTTTTTGGAAAAATCGGGGAGGGCGGGAGGATTTTATTTTTCTTTTTTTACTTTTTACCCTCTCATGCACACAGTGTACACAACAACATCAAGGTTTTTTTTCTCTTTTTTTCTTTTTTTTTCTTTTTTTCTTTTTCTTTCTTCAGCAGATCGATACTGACGTTGTGATATACTAGTAGTATGTGGTCCATATAGTAAAGAAAGTATTAAACAAAGCGTGCACATGTTTCCTGCATCCGCGATCGGTAAAAAACCAACGATTTCGGCAAAAACTCACGATTTAAAAAATAAAATATTTCTTGGGGCGCTGACAAAAACTGGGGCGGACGGGGACGATCATCTAGCTTTTTTTTTTACTTGGCCTAAGCAGAATATGACCATTGTGCTCGGGTGCTACCGTGCCCTCGTATCAAACCCGACTGCGAACGGCGGTATCACCCTCGTACTCATGTAATATTCTTTACCTGTTTCCGAACACGGTGTTCCATCACCTTGTAATATGCTGTCACACTAAAAACGCGCCCACACATGCACATGTGCGTGTACATGTCAGTACTCAATCTGCGCACAGAACTGTTTCGTCCTTTGTGGACTCACCAGCGCAGCACAGAGAAAATGAGGCATGTACATGTACGTAAAATTTCGTAAAATTAATATGCACAAACAAATGCTACTGGTATTCTAGTAGCATGAAAATAGGATTACGTTCATGACTGGCAAGTGAAATTAAATGAATGTGATAGTATCGTGCGGGGCAGCAAAGTGAGTCGCGTTAATGGTCAGTATAACAGTTTGAATCGACAAGATCTCGCAAGTAAAACATTATGTAAAGTTATTGACTTTAAATTGGATCAGGCTGGAGGTTTTCACATCGTAAATTCTATAATATACTTATACTTGTGCATATCATGGGGCTCATAGTGCACACTATTATTGACTGAAAGCTTCTTGGCTACACCATGCGGAAGTGATAAGGACCCATGCAGCACACACTAGCAGACAAGAGAGAGAGAGAGAGAGAGAGAGAGAGAGAGAGAGAGAGAGAGAGAGAGAGAGAGAGAGAGAGAGAGAGAGAGAGAGAGAGAGAGAGAGAGAGTGTGTGTGTGTGTGTGTGCTTTTAAGACGTCAGGGCCACAGGCAGAGGAGGCAAGAGACTCCGTGTGTTAATCAACGTAGCTTTTTAATGTCTCACGTGATGGCAGATTTGCGCTGCGATACGTTGAACACAACACACTGCATACTGGCTGTTGTTATTGTACACCGGTACTTCGGTAATAATTACACCAATATCACCTTGCACACACACACACATACACACACACATACTGGCACAGTAAGTGAGATGAGAATCTCCTGAAAAGAAAATTCAAGTCACCGAGACAATCAGGACAATCCATCAGGCGACTGCCTAATTTTTCCCAGGAGCATTCTTACGCCAGTGTGTCATGATTAGTTTGGGGTGCTCCTGGAAGACTGTCACTGGGAAGCGGTGGCCTTCGAAGGACAGTTTACGCTTCACAGCAAAGTCGTACACCAGCGGGTTGAAGCGGTAGATTTCGTTCAGCAGCTGAGCATCTTTCCACGTGATCAGTCCCAATCTGAGAACGGATTGAAACGGGATGAACACATACTTCATGCCATAATTATCATGATTGCTTGCCTTGATCGCTAGATATGCACATGTATGCCAAAATGCTCATATTGTCACAGAGAGCTGCAATGCGCACTATACACACATATTCTGCGCACTCTACACCGGTCAAAACAGTCTGCTTGCGCACACTGGCCAGTGCAGTGTTCATTGAACTTCAAATTATGCATTGCTAACTTCAAATTATCAGGAGGAATCTCACGCATTTGCTATGTACTGTAAAGGCCATTATTCTAACGAGGCGCATATATAACGATTTCCCAAAATTGACTGGTTTACGTGTACCAAAGGTAGCGATTCTCACTCATTCTCAACGCTCAATAGGACAGTATATGTATCGATTTCTGTATAACGATTTCTATTTTAACGACATATTTCTCCTCGTTAACTCGTTAGAGTTAGCACTTCGTTATATATATGGCTTTTACAGTATTACTTTTAAAGCAAACTTGCCCAGTTCGATGTTTGAATTATCAGGCACTGTTATGTGGGAATTGTATTGGCTGAAATTGGGTGCCAATTTATCACAGAATGTGCGACCACTACCTTAACCTAAAGCAGTGCTTGCAAACCGCAGCCACAATTCCTGATGGGTACCGTGGTTGGGTGGCATTTCCAGCATGTCCCTCTGTCACTTACATCCAGAGTTGCTTGGTAGAGGAGACGACATTGATGGCCGGAACCGGGTAGTCCGAGCCGTACACCAGCCTGTCGTGAATATGCTGAACGGTTTCATAGAGAAGTAGACACAAGGGCAGTATTGAACACACAATCATGCCCCACACTTGCTCAATTACACTGCGGTACACGTCACTCCTCTACTTCAATGCTTCTCCTGAAGCTAATCATGGTGGGATGTGTATTGGCAGAAGAAGGACTCTACCTACTGTCGTACTTAGTGCCTACACACCACATTCCTGCTAGAATGCCAACTGCTTCTGGCCTACACCAAAAGTAAACCAGGAGCGGCTCTCGTTGTTGTGGTTCGTTCTCCTGCTCCAGACCACTTGCACTGTGTCCAAGCAACGCTCAGCTGGCACTGTTATTATAAAGTTTGCCTCCACCAACCACAGCTGGATTCTTTCATTAATATGAAGGGGGTGGGAAAAAAGAACACACATCGTCTGGGCTGTAACATGATGCCAAGGAAGCTGGACGATACAACGTTCCAACAGAAAATTCGATGGCAGTGCACAACTCGTTTCCTAACCTCTGCTGAGAGAATAGTTTTAAGATGCTTCGCTCGGAGTGTCCCGATAACGGCAGAGATGTCGGCGAACAGAAGTCCCTCATACCTATAGTGGGAGAATCAAAAAGAAAGGGTTGACGTGGAGTAGTCGTACACTACACGACGAGAGAAGTGAGGATAGAATGTCCAGCTGGAAAAAGGGAACACCAAAGGCTAAAGCGACGTTCAATGGCGTGCACTACAACAGTTTAGCCATTATGTCGCTAAGCAGGTACTTGTCATTATCTCGCTAAGCAGGTACACACACTTACTCTGGCCGCGACATCATCCGTATCATCAGATCCACACCTGGTATACGACGCGATCTCTCCGGCTCATTTGCTTCCAGGTCCAGAAATGTTCCCTACAAGTAGCACGATCGCAAGAACGGATAACATGCAGCATACCAACAAACAATGTGTCAATCATTCATCACTCTGCCAACATCCTAGCCCAACAATCAGCAGGCAGGTTCATTACTCAAGCACAATGTAAACTGGAATTACACCCGAACACCTTTTTTTCCCGCACAGAAGACAAGCCGCAAAACAAAGCTGAACCGTTATCAAACTACCGTATTTCCCCGTAAGTTAGTTCTCCCCAATGACTTAGTACCCCCCTATAAAAAAGACACTTTCCACTGCCGAGGTTATCACCCCAAAAGACAGTTCCCCCCGAAAGATAGTAAGTCCGTACCCGTCCTACATGTACAGACACCGTACAGTACATACATCATATGCACGGACACTAGAGTTGCGCAGGCTTCCCATTGCGTGTCATTTACCCCCGATAAAAAAGTACTTCCCAGTAAGATAGTACCACCCCCGAAAGTTAGTACTCATGTGGCTGCTAAGTTTGAAAGTTAGTACGTACTAACTTACGGGGAAATACGGTACTCGGGGAACATGCACACGGGGGATTTGTACCTGCATGTGGTATGGACATCAGCGACAGAGGGGCAAGACGGTTTTTTAGGTGGATCTGTGTTAGGAGTATGTACTTGTGATGCCCCTTATGGTGATTTGTGAAAGTGTTTGGATGGTGTTAACATGGCATGCATGTAGCTGCACATTTACCTCTGAGGCACAATGGGCCATGATGATTTTGCAGCCCCTATCAAGTGCTCTGCAGAAAAATAACACACACACGGTGAAAACCAGACAGATGAATGCTCAGAGACTTGTGTGGCAGAACAACTAACATGTTCGTAAGATCATCGCAAATTCCAGCGCACACAGCAGCACGAAGTCCTTGGCTACGCCAAAAAAAGTGCCACGCACCCATTTGTATGTTTACCTAAATGAACACAATGTCTCTAGGTCACGGCAAGCTAGGTTGGCAAAACTTCCACCATGGATCAGACCAGTTACAGAGCTGCACAATCTTGGTTGGCTTAAAAAACCTCATCAAGAGTACAAATACCTTTTCAGCAGTAGTGGGTTGCCGTAGGAGTTTTCCACCGATCCAGCGGTGAGGGAATGTTCATCGCCCGTGTGTGACAGAATGACCTGCAGCAGCAGCAGCAGCAGCAAGAGTAAGGACAATGAAAACCACAGTCGATACAACTACAGGGAGGAGTACAATGAAGCCGCTACAGTCAATCGTACGTTTCAGCCACAATAACGAGTGTCAACGTAGAAAGTATCTATCAAAACACTAGACATGGCAAAGAGTGTTCTCTGACTCCTGCGTGCAGAATTCGGGGCAGAATCCATCCCGTAATTCCAACAATTGCTCTAGTCATTAGCACGTTCAACAAGGTACTGCGACACCCAGTTCTCACTTGCCAGTTCCCGGCTTCCTTACTACATATACATGTCTGGGTCTTCCAGCAATACATATTAGGGGTGAAACGAAGTAGTCAAAGGTTCGAAGGACCTTCGTTTTCCTTTGAAACGAACCTTCGTTTTTGATTCGAACGAAGGTCGACACGGGTTTAGTGCATGCATCAATGCATTGATCTAATGATTCTTGTGCGATGTGCTGCACTAGCACTGTACAGTCGACGAGTCATGCTGTACTAGTAGTAGTACATATTATTATAGTATTATTACAATATTAGGGGCACGGTCCGCGTGAGCACCGGAACTGAAGAAGTTAGTCAGTGAAGAACTGGCCCTGTTCCAGTCACCAGCGTGTTCCCGTTTTGCGTTGGTGTGTAGATCTACCATGGTGTACTCATGGATGACTTTTTTGATTGTATTCGTCGAGTGTTTGGCGCTCTGCGATACTAGTAGGAGTGTAGTTTTGCTATTTCGATCGTGTTTTCGCTTAGTTATGCTGCTTGTACCAGGAATATAGCTTGCTGTAGCTGCCGTCGATATCTGCTAGTGATGGTGTCTGGAGAACGTTGTAGCAGCGATACGAGTGTAGTCTCATAATTATTTGAATCGAAAATATAAGTTTCCATCGCTGAAGCCATTGCAGTATTCACTCTCCCAGCAGCAGCGAGAGGGAGCGCAGCGATGGCCTGAAATCCTCGTGGCAGGTGAAGTTCCTCACCCAGTGACTATTCACTCTACTCTCAATCACCAATGCACCCGCTCGATGCGAGCAGATACTAGTAAGCGAAAAGTACATGTCCAGATTTGACAATTTTTTGATGAAGTAAGTTGGGCATCTGATATTTACTACGCAATATGGCTCTTTTCCGTCCATTTTGGTATTGTTCAAGCACGCAACTGGCCATACACTAGAGCAGTGATCTATTGTCGCTTTGTGTCAAAAAGGCCAAGGCTAGCAAGTCTGTACACGATCCCAAGTACACTGATCTAAATAATTAATTGTCAGAAATATGGACAATTGACTCACAAACAGGTATTTGGTATGGCCTCTATCAAGAGTATGTTAAAACCTTGCCTCTATCTATAGTGGTGAGCTGGGCCAAAGTATTTTTTATCTGCAATGGATACATTGATACCAGAAGATTCAGAAACAAATTGCACATACAATGTACGTATTGGGTTCTGATTTTTGCACCCTTTTATTTTTAAGATTTTTGAACGTTTCCGTGATCATGTTAAAAAAGAATCCTTCGACACCTTCGTTCGTTTTAATAAAGAAGGTTCGAATGGGAATTTGAGACCTTCGTTTCACCCCTAATACATATACATATACATATACACATACATATACATATACATGTACAAACATTCCAACCGCAATAGAGCAGTCTATTGGCATACCGTAGAATCCCGCAGATAAGCCCACCCGCGTATAAGCCCGTGCTCGCGCATAAGCCCAGGGCTAGTTCGAACATCACAAAGCTTCGTTGTACAAGCCCATGGGCCTATAATTGTAGGTTGTAACATGTACGTAGTACATGTAGGTTTTTTTGTACATTTCAACACAATAACGGTTGTTTTTGTTTGCACCGTGGTTTTCAGCAATGTACTTCTCACTTCCTTGGTACCTTTCAATAGCACAATTTTGGCGTCGGCGTAGAAGCCCATGCCCGCGTATAAGCCCATGTTCTCGTATAAGCCCACCGAAATCATCCTTCAAATGTCCTTGTGAAACCGATAAGCCCATGGGCTTATCCGCGGGATTCTACGGTATCTATGCCACGAGACCTTGCGCATCTATGTCTACACGGAGCACAGGGAACGCAAAGCACAGGAGAGAATGTTTAAAAAAAAAGAAGAGCGGGTGTTGCAGAAACTGACCATGTCCATCTCTCTGACTGCATCATAGAACGCATCACACTGTGCACTCGCCGGGTTCAGGTCTTGTGAGTTCGGCTGTGCACAGAGGCAAAGACATTCGGAAAATCAACTAAAAAGGAACGCGGCAGTCCAACATTCCTCACTACAACGCCAATGATAAGACTCCTCTGCAAGAAACCAATGAAGGATAGCCAAAGAACAGAACAGTCTAGGTACTAACACGTTTCTTGAGCTCTTGGATTAAGCCTAGTTCACATTCGACGCAACGCTGACGGTACGGGACGCAAGGGCTTGTCGGGAGGGCTGGGGCGAGCTGTAAAATCCTGTACGATTCGTACGACACGACATGCAGCAGTCGTTGCGACGTTCAACGTCGAATGGCACGAGTCATAAGGCACGGTCCGTGACGGGGTGACTTTCGGACCTAATTTCTCGTTTTTCGGGACTTCTTGTCAATTATTTCTCCTTGAAAGAAGCGGAATCAAGTTCACAATACCAGTTTTTCATGACGACCAAAAAATTAGCCCTGAAAGTTGTGGCATTCAAATAATAGCCCCAGGAAATGATAGAATAGTTCGTCTGTCACGCTTCTGAACTATCCCTAAATACAATAAGTGACATGAGATCTTATGTTGCTAAAATTCAACTCAATTCGTGCTAGCCATTCTGTGAGTTATCATGGGAAGCGCAGTGTTCGAAATGCTAAAAATGTCCATGTACGAATCGGGAGGAGTCGGCGCACGACGCCGTCTCCTGATTACACTCGAATTGCAGCCGTTTTGTACGCTTGCGTCCCCGTCTACGCCCGTCTAGGGTATGAAAAGTTGGATCGATCCAACTCTTCCCGTCGCTTCCCGATCTGTACGGTAGTACGGTTGCGTTCCCGTTCCTGGTGTTCACATTGGGCGCCGTTCGACCGTCCCGTCGCTTCCCGTCGATCCTTACGTCGCGTCCCGTCGCGCCCCGTCGAATGTGAACTAGGCTTTAGCCACTGTGTGCTTGAAGCAGTCAAGGCCCAGGGAACAAAAAAGCAGAAATCTATAGTCTACACAGTCCAAAGAACCACAGTGGGAGTCACATGATAACTATCTAATGTACGTTATCTTATCATACAGTGGCTGAGACGGTCAGTTTAGCAATGAAATTAGTATGTACATGGCAGATTGTACTCACTAGCCACTTGATCAACCTGACACCGCGGTCACGGCACCGCTTCAGCTCCGTGACCGCATCAGCACGGTACGGATGAATGGAACACGTCGGTATGAACGATGTGTGCCGCTTACAGGCCACGTCGTAGCTGTAATCATTGGGGATGTGCTGCAGTGCAAGACGGCGACAGCAAAGGCAACGTTACGTCAAGTCTTTACTGGAGCGGAGTCGCAAGTATAGGAAGCCAAAGTGTCCAACAGGTAGAAGGCAAATTTTGATGATGTTGTGTGCCAAGGGCCAGACTCACAAACACGAGCAGACACAGTACAGCAACATATGCACGGAATAGGACAAGAAGAAGTATTCACACGGCAGTGCTAACCTACCAGGCTTGTCCGGCCCGGGTTTGCGTCTCCGCTCGTGTCATGCGCGTAGTCCAGTGCCAGACCACACATACGCCAGTGACCGCCATCCTGAACCAAGGCATGAAAGCAAACACACACAAAGCCCAGCTGAGTACACATAGGTAAAGATACTCAATCAGCCCTGGGAGGGCAACAGATGGACCGACAAGAATGCAAAGCAGGCACACATTAGACTGTGTACTTTTCAGGGCATTGCAGGTTAAGTACAGCAGTATTAAGTCTGCAGAAACCCACTGCCTGCTCGTCAAAAAGAACGAACACTCGGATATGAACACTTAAGTGACATCCTCAAAACACACTCTAATACTCGTACAAAGAGCTTACTCTCTCCACTAAGCGCGGTGGGCATCCATTTTCACAGAGCGCCATCAGTCTCTCCAGGTAGGCCTCATCGGAGTCATCCCTGAACCGGAAATGAGAAAGAGGGTATGCTAAGGCAAAAAATATCACGGTTCGCGTTATACTCAGGCAGACAGAGCTTTCCGCATCCGTAGGAACGCCACGTCGCCACCACCCTCAAGCATAAAAAATTAGCAAGGAATGGAAGAAATATGCGTCCACGGACATGCATGCACACACACACACACACACACACACACACACACACCTGTCCTGTCCTGAACATTGCCGTAAAACGGTCACATGTCCCATCGTACGAGGGGCCGACGGACATGGGGTAGGTCGTTGAATACGGTACGCAGCACGCTCCGCAGGCTAGCGGCCAACGAGAGTTCGGGTATACTTTGCGCAGCTGTGCAGTTGGAAACCCCTCTTTGATCGGCAGCATCTGCCACATGCGCTGCAATGAGCCTGGCAGCAGGGTAGTGTTAGCTGAGTCCTCGCCGGCACTGGTACTGCCGCAACCGAGTTGGGCGAAGACAAAGGAGGGTCCGCCACTGTGCCTGTAGAACGATCGTCGTCGGGCCGACACTTATGGACAGCGAGGCCTCCGGCGCTCCTTAACCATCTCCACACACACACACACACACACACACACACACACACACACACACACACACACACACACACACACACACACACACACATGCGCGCGCACACAGATTTCAAACTCCTGACGAAGTGCATACCTTTTGACATTCATTGCCGACAGGAAGCAGTTGGCCTTGAATCTTTGCAGGACATTGTTTCCCTCAAGTAGCTGCCAGAAAAAGAAAAAAAAGAATGCACCAAGAAGAGCCTGTGAAGTGGGGTGGGGTGACACAGCGCACTGCACACAGTACATGTATGTAATGTGGAAAGCACAATTGCAATGAACTAGGTTGTCCACGTTCTTGTTACAGTGAATTGTATGTACAGTCACAGTGAGTATCACCTGTAGCGTTGGTCTTAGATTTTGAGCATTTTATCACTATAGGCGATATATTTTATAACTATGACCGATACTGTATGCGAGTGGGGTATCAAAAGACTCAGCGTGCCGTGCACATATGTGTACACACTGCATATACATGAACAACAGTGGCAATGATTATGACGACAAGGATGGGGATATGGATGGGATATATCACCACCAGTAGCACTTGCACTAACACTAGCACTAACACTAGCACTTGCAATAGCAATAGCAGCAGCAGCAGCAGCAGCACTAGCACCACGAACAACAAAATCTTATAGAGGCCGTACTCGTTTGCACATACAAATGACTTGCACGGTCGGCTTACCGATGGGTGGCAATAACAACCTGTACGCTCAGTCTCTTGGCCGACAAGATGAACGTGGTAATCGATAATTCGAGAGCAGTCCTTCAAAAGAAGCCAAGCAAATAACAAAATCTGTTTTAAAAGGCCAACCCACACCACATTAATTTTATGCCATGAAAGACCACCGTAACAATGTAAGAAGGGCAGTATCAGGATAATTGCGTTATCCAGTGCAATGCTGCTGGGAATAAAAGTGTCAAACCTCAGCGGATGCTGTAAGCAATTTCTGGCATCTTCAGACTGCTCTTCGTATACTGAACTCATGTAAGTTACACACTGCGACTGCACAAGTCCTATAAGTTATTCAAGCTAAGCTGGTCGTTGGAAACTATTCATGCCGGGCACAGGCGGGGATAAGCCAAGATACATCATCCGTCAGTACATCTCCGGTTCTGTTTACAAAGAGTTGCTCTAGCACAGCCTAACAATAGAGAGGTTCTGCTTCACGTGAAACGCAGTTATATTACGTAAAGAACGGGTGTCTGGGTTGGAGTTCACGGCTTCGCGTGTTCTAGGTTCAGATTTCTATGTAGAGATAAGGATCTTTACATTGTGGAACACGCAAACACGTACGGATCAGCTAAGTATCATTTTTAAAAGTTTAGGAGCAGGCAGGCAAAAAAACTACTGAAGTACCAAATTTGGAACGGGAAATTCCCAGCACACATTCCAAGCGATTTTCTTTGCGTGAACGTAGAGCAGACCATCTTCAAGCGACAAGTGTAACAACTTATTGGCCACAGGCCATCGTGAGAATAAAAGATTTCAAACTTACCACATCTTGGAAAACTTCGTGGTAGAGTGCCTGCGCCTCCTCACTCAGCGACTCTTCTATGTTCTCAGGGCCCAAGTCATGAAATCGACCGCCGAACTGCACCGTGGACAAGAGCAGCGTCATGCAGAGATAAAGAAAGTGTGCATATCTCAGTACATGTACTGCCCGGGCAGCAGACTGTATCAGCAGCGGGGGATGACAAGCGATGGCATGGCAGTGGTGAGGTGATAGCTGTTCAGTTTTTAACATTCAAACTACAGACTAGCCAACTCTACTGATGCTGGAGTAATAGAGAGGTTTTGCATTCCGAATTTCGGAATGATTTTCGACTGTGCTTTTCCGAAAAAAGCGCGTTCCGAAAAACGGTATTTTCAGTGTTTTGCATTCCGAAAATCTGACTCGACTTCGTTTCCAAGGGTTGCCATGCAAAACAAAATGGAGAGCGTCGAAGGGGTTGAGCAGGATCAAATCCATGTGCGCAGGTCAAACTGAATTTGGGTGCGGTTCGAAGACGAGGACGGACTGATGGTGGACCAAGTGATCCAACAGCTGAAGACGAGGTAAAATAAATAAAATAATAATAATAATAATAATAATAATAATAATAATTGTACGTGAAGTGTGTGGGTACAGTGAGGGCTGCGTCCCACCCGCCTGTGTGGATTCACAGGAAGTGTGAGTTACGAAGTCTGAAGAAAACGTTGAACGGTCTCTGCTGGGATGACGACTACACCATAGCTCAGTGGTTAGAGCATCGCTGGCTACAAGCGAGGGTCCCTGGTTCGAGTCCTGGTGGTGACAGTCGATTTTTTCTTCAGACTTTTCCCGTTTGTCTCTTTCCCTCAAAACCAGTTCAAATAATAATAATAATAATAATAATAATAATAATTCTACCGTAGACTGAGAAAGGAACCGGAGCAGCAGCATCCCGGGGAAATACCGAGTGAGGGTGCCGTATTCGAGTTCTGGTCTGGTATACTAGCCAAGCCTGTGCCGTTTGATGAGTCATCAGGGTGGTATCAAGAACAAAGAGTGGAATATGAGACTACCATTGCAGAGGATGAACCCGTATCTGTGACTCAACAGGCACTCCAGGACACGCTAGCTAAGGTCAGCAGGTGGAAAGCTAGTGGTGTAGACGCAATTCATGGTTACTGGTGGAAAAAATTATCTAATCTACACATTGCCCTGCGAATCGCCTTCCAGAAGACCCTTGTCGGTGATTGGCCAATTCCGGAATGGTTGGTGACTGGCCGCACAATCCTGCTGCCCAAGACGGAGCCACCCACATCTAACCCAGCCCAATATCGCCCTATCACCTGTCTACCCACACAATACAAGATCCTGACAGCCGTAGTTGCTAGTCTCATGTGGAAACACATTGACACCAATTCGATACTCCCAGATGAACAGAGAGGGTGTACCCCGGGAACACTAGGCTGTAAGGAGCAACTTCTTGTCAATAAGATGATAATGGAGCACGCTCGGCATAATAAGCGCAATATCTCTGTTGCGTATATCGACTTCAAGAAAGCCTATGACAGCGTTTCTCATGTATGGATTATTCGGATGCTGGAGATGTACAAATTTAGCCCAGCTCTTGTCAAGTTCTTGGAGGCAAGCATGCAGCTCTGGAATACGCACATGAGTTTATCATATCAAAATGCACGGGTCTCTACAGAATCTGTCAGGATTCGCCGTGGTATCTTCCAAGGAGACACGCTATCACCCCTCTTGTTTTGCTTAGCTATTAACTGCATTTCAAGAGAGGTGCAGAAGACAGGCGGCGGATATCAAATGCAAATTGGACAGGTCTCAAAGGTCGTTTCTCAACTCCTGTACATGGATGACATTAAATTGTATGCCAAACATCGCAACCAGCTGAAGCCCATGATCAACGTCGCCCAGATCACAGCTTCGGCCATTGGCCTGGAGTTTGGTGTTTCGAAGTGCGCCACGCTTCATGTACACCGGGGAGTGCTTGAGTCAAGTGATGCGGAGCCTGTCGAAACACTGTTGGGTATGGCTTTACCCACCCTGCAAGAAGATAAAATGTACAAATACCTCGGATTCATTGAATCGGCTGCGCTGCCGCATGGTGAGATAAAGAGCAAACTTCGTGAGGATTATGGAAAGCGATTAGATGCGATCTTCAAGTCTGGATTAACGGCTGGATATTTAGCAAAGGCAGTAAACACATACGCGGTGCCACTGCTCACCTACAGCTTTGGCATCATCAACTGGCGACCCGTAGAATTGGAGCAGCTGGATATCTTGCTCAGGAAGAAGCTCACCAAGAAGGGATGGCATCACCCTCGGGCTGACAGAGAGAGGGTTCATTTGGTGCGCGCCGAAGGCGGCCGTGGATTCCAAAGTGTGGTAGATCTACATGAACGATCCATCATCCAGATCAATAAATACATCGAGGGCCACCAAGACCACATTGCCATTGCTCTCCTAAAACAGTACCATCATAAAAAAGCAAAATACTCTGTCTCCAGTGATGCTGCGAAATATTTGGCAAAGATTGGTATGGAGGAGTCAGCCACAAAGGAGCAAATACGCCAGGGATACCAGCGGCATCGGGAGGAGACAATCAGAAAGAAGCCTCTGCATGGCCAATTTTGGCTTATGCTGCAGGATGCTGAGCTGGATCGAGGGCTCTCCTTTGCTTGGTTGCGGTCTTCCGCTTTGCGTCCGGCGACAGAGAGTATTGTCATGGCCATACAGGACCAGGCTATCCCAACACGGAACTTACAAGAGATATTTAATCGAGGAACAGGTGTGTCAACGAAAACGAGTTGCAGGATGTGTGGCAGGGACAAGGAAACGGTTTTCCACCTTATTGGAGCGTGTACAGCTTGTGCAGGAAGTCACTATATCAATCGCCACAACAGGTTAGCAAAATATCTCCACTGGACATTGTGCAGGAAGTATGGTGCATCGGACATTTCGAATAAGTACACAAGTCACCAACTCACCAACGTCGTGTACAGTGCTGAAACGGATGTGTCAATCTACTGGGAAGTGCCAATTCCAACAGCAGCGCCCGTTGGAGCAAACAGACCCGACATTATTATCAAGGGCAAAGATGAAGCGTTCCTTGTGGACGTAAGTGTCCCTCTGGATAGGAACATCCGCCGAAAATCTGTGGAAAAGATACAGAAATATCAAGGCCTGAAGCGTGAGGTGGAGCAGATGTGGCAGGTGCGGGCCAAGATCGTGCCAGTGATTGTGGGGGCATTAGGTGGATTAACCCCCTCGACTGCTGACTTTGTGAGGGAACTGGATGCCGGAGCCAGTGTATCGATCTTGCAAAAGGAGGCGCTCCTTGGCACAGTTGACATCATCAGGTCAATAACTCAGATGAAATAATAATTACACTCTAATAAGTTACATTGGTTTGCGAATGCCCATGGTTATGGTTGCTGCTATTAGTTGAAGCACCTATTTGCAGAAAATAATAATATTATGATCGTAATATTAATCACTTGCCAATAACAAAGACAACAATAATACCATCAGCCCCCATTCACCGGTTTTGACGGTGCTTCACTGATGTTGAATGAGAAGAATTATATTGCTGCCTTCAGTGCTATTGTGTCGCTGAAGGGCTCGATTTCAGATTTGATGACGGTTACTTTTCAACGGATTTTGTTTTCTGATTTAGCTCTCTTGCTATTACTGTACCTGCTTGTGTTAAGTCTCATTCTCCCAGATTAGTTGTATAATAGATTGTACATGCATCATTGTAGATTTGCTGTTCACAGTATTTCTCTCTTTTTTCTTTCTTTTTTCTCAGTCTTCCTTATTACATTTTCTTCACATACAACAGCAGTACTCCCCATGGTCTTAAATGACCCGGGATGCTGCATAATACAAACACAAAACCAATAAAGCCACCCCCATAATAATAATAATAATAATAATAAAAATAGAATGGAAAAGAATAATAATAATAATAATAATAATAATAATAATAATAATAATAATAATAATAATAATAATAATAATAATAATAATAATAATAATAATAATAATAATAATAATAATAATAATAATAATAATAATAATAATAATTCCTTCAACTAGTTCTTGTCCCTTTGGTTTTTAGGTTTTATTTATTTATTTATTTTTGTTTTTGTTTTTTCACTTTCTTTTTGCTGTCCCACCCATGGAAATATTTCCCGGTGGGTCTGGCTTATCGCCTTCGAAAGAAGTGAATAAAGGAGAAATAATAATAATAATAATAATAATAATAGGTTGGCGAACTACTGTCTTGTACTGTTAGTAGGCTCCAGGGCAAAGGAAGATAGAGTGTGATGGAGTGTGAGAAGATTAGTCAACATGGCGAGATCAGCGAGAGCAGCAAAAACAGCAAAAATCAAAACTACATACGTGGAAATTTTTCAAATAATCGAGAGCAGCAGAAAGCAAAAATACAAACATGAAAAATCCACTTTTTTGTATTCAAATATGCACTCCCAAACATGAAAGAGCCGAAAATCTATTTTCGGAAAACCATGCACTTTCGCCACCACACTTCCGAAAGTTCGACTACTTTTTCGACTCCTGCTGCCACATTCCGAAAATAGTTCCGAAATTCGGAATGCAAAACCTCTCTAATGTGTATGCGTGGTTATCATGATGCAGGGGGGGGGGGGGGGAGCATACTCTGACGTTCGCAGTATTGAACCAGAGAGAAAATTTGAGAGGAGCGGCTTTGAATAGGAATTTTCTTGACCAGTGAACAATGAACATAGTGCGAACAATCCGAAGATGGGACAACTTGCGACCACTACAGTCTACTCTCGAAAGGCCGTGCACTCTCCCCCGTCCAAGGTACATTGCACATGACACATTGTGAGTGCAATCATTGCGGGTGGTAGCGTTCCTACAGATGCGATGCGCAAAACTCGGCCTCTATCCGAGTCTCACGCGAACCATGAAAACGAAAAGGAATGGTGAGTGTGAGCCTCACGGATACTGCCGTTTACACATGCACAGATACATGCCGTCCGGTTTGCAAAAGCAGGGACGTCACAAGACAGTGGAGAATGGTACGACCGGGAGGGGGTGTCCCGGGTAAAGAAATCCGGATTTTTTGGCCAACAAGGCGCGTTTTGCCGCTCTTTTGGGTGGTCCGTCCAATTCAAGAAGCATTAAAAATCCTTCTTCGGATGAATTGGACGGACCACCCAGGACGACGAGTGGTACGACCATGGTCGTACTGGTCCGTGTGTGATGCACCTGAGAAGTGTACGCCTTATAGTGAGTGTGTGGGTTAAGAGTTATTTTTAAAGTGCATTGGCTCGGATTTCTTTGGCCCCAATCACAGTACTTGGTGATGCAATGTACTACTGTCGTGGACATGGAAATCCGGTCGCACGTCCAGCGGCCCCAGGGCGCTGGCCCTGCAGCCGTGGGTGAGCAGTACACACATCATGCATGACATTGTATTATGCGCTGCATGCAGCGCGCTGGTCGCATCGGATCAACATGTGCACTGTTCTGTACGCGCTGAGGGCGCCGGCCCCGGTCAATCGACTGGATTTCCATGTCCACGACAGTAGATATTCTGCGTGGTAGAGACTAGAGACACGGCTCGAAGTAACAACGTTAGTTGGGACTTAACCGTGTGCAAACGCTGGGTCAATACTTCCTTTTTTTATGAATGACTAGCAGCACCACCGGCCAGCGTTGCCTGGCCGAATGTGGCTGCGGGTGAAGCAAGTACATGAACAGCACACGTGCTCAGCACGTGGTGGTGGCCAGACCGCTGAAGTCCTGGTGAGGGAGGTTCTTCATGGTTGGAAGGAGAAGGAGGGACGTCTGTTACGCCTTCGGGAGGCTGGTCAGGATTGTCCATCACCTGGTGGCGGATGAAGCGGCTCAAAAAATTCATAAACTTACGAACAAAAGTGCGATGCGCTCTTCACTGCAGATCAGATGCAGAGTGCAGTCAGTGCAGATCTTTTGTATCCTTTTGTTGCAGATGTTTCTATTTGCAGAGAACGGTTCACGTGGTCCACAGCGCTTGTGCGGCTGCTAGTGCTACCTATGGCCTAGGCTAGGTGGCTACATGATTCGCACGCTTCGCGTGCTCAGTGCTTCTGCGCGCGGCTGCTACTGCTACTCGTACTGATCGTGTCTGCTATAAGCGCTACCACCTACACTGTTCGCACGCTTCGCGTGCTCAGCACGTGGTGGTGGCTACATGATTCGAACGCTTCGCGTGCTCAGTGCTTCTGTGGCTGCTTCCGCTAGCTACACGATTCGCACGCTTCGCGTGCTCAGTGCTTCTGCGGCCGCTAGTTACACTGTGCTACACTGTTCGCACGCTTCGCGTGCTCAGGGCAGCGCTGCTCCGCAGCGCTTCAGCGTGACACAAAAACACACGTCACAGGTGCCTCTTCTTTATAAGGAGCGTGACACACACACACACACACACACACACACACGTCACCAGGTCACAGGTGCCTCTTCTTTATAAGTAAAGATTTCCTTTACACACATTTCGCCATGTAGTCATACCTGATCGAAGACGACTTCGGACGCCCTTTCAGCAAAGCTTCTCAAGTAGCTGGCCATACTGCTATACCCTGTAAGCAGTAGAGGTAAGAAGACGATCAAAAGGCGACTAGATTGGTGGCCCACAGCACACGTACAAGCTCGTACTAATATAAAATTGCAAAGGAGAACGATCGAGTTTCGACTAAACTAAAAAGACATAGCTAGTATAGCAGCTGTTGCACGGTGGCTTCAACTCTACGGCAGCAAGCTTGAAAGCTGCTTCGCAGTGGTCACACCGGTTGCCTTACTTCGCTTACTCGATCGTCACACACGGTGTCGACTGTCCACGGGGCGTTCTTCCTAGGCTTCCTGCTGGTGAGCTCAGCCGATCATGTGCTGGACCGGGCTAGGCGGATGCCAGGCTGCAGGGACTCGCCACTGAGAGCCCCAAACTATCAGCAGTTCAGCGGTGAGCCACTAATGCGACGCAGATCTTACAGCAGACATACAGGTACTAGGTGTGTGGAGAGGGAGATAGCAATAATTATTACAGACTCAGCTCAGTGTCGAAACTTTCAGGGCCCGGCGTTTCTCTGGCGATGCTGCTTGAAGGACGTTCGTACTCAGGCTATGGCCGGGCTCGCCACGGCGAATTCTCATGTAGAGTTTCCACTTCAGCTGCACTTGGCTTTCCTGATTACTTATCAGTCGGAAGGCGAAGTCTGAAGAAGACTGTGACAGTGTGAGTGAAAACAATAATTGATCATGAAGTCGACTACAAAGACAATTAGACTGGATAATTGTGTTGTAGCTGCACTGCAGTGCAGATCAGACTGGACTGCTGCTGTGCACATGTGTGCTGCACGGTCTGTGCTATGCATGCATGTGAGCGGCAAAAGGACATTCAAAAAAGATGTCACGTCATGGCATCAGATCAGAGGAAATGACATCACTGCACGGTATGCAGCTGCGCAGTGCGCAGTGCAGGCCGGCGCCAGGCCAGCAGGCATGGTGCCCGAAGAGGGGATTCCCCATACAATCCCGGGTGCGTGTGTGTTGACTGTTGTGCTGTCGCCAATGTCGGGAACAATCCAGAAACTGAACGAATCATCTTGACAGAACTACCGTCCTTGGACAGACATCGCCCCGTTCAGTCGTGCTTCAGTCGACTCTTTCCAAGACAGCCTAGACTGCTGCTGTGCTGTTCCAACAATGTTGCGAATCATACATTTTCCAGAAACTTCTCTAACTTACGAACTGGTTCTTGATGCCACTTTTTTTCTCGAGCAGAAGTCTCGACGACGAAGTTAGTTTCTCGTCCTCTCAGGAATTGCTATCTAGTGTACTATAAAGGCAGCTATGACTTGGGAACAGCCACAGATTATAGCTCGAAGCTTGGAAGAAGTGTGGTGGACAGGTGCAAGAGGAAGACAGTTTAGGGACTTCGATGACGCTGGTTGATACCGTCAGTGGCTAGTGGATTTGGCAGCGAACAGCATTGTCTGACTCGGATAGTAGACTGTATAGTGTGACTAGGCGGTGGCGGTGTCGTAACTTACTACACTTTTTGTAAGTCAGTGACAGTTGTTTGAATCTACCAGTGAACGTGATTCAGCTCCAAGATGAAGCCCAAGACTGCAATCGGAATCGACCTGGGCACGACGTACTCGTGTGTCGGTGTCTATGAGCACGGCAAGGTGGAGATCCTGGCGAACAGCCAGGGCAATCGCACCACACCCAGCTATGTTGCCTTTTCGGACACGGAGCGTTTGATTGGCGACCCAGCCAAGGACCAAGTAGCTCGCAATCCCAAAAATACAATTTTCGATGCCAAGCGGCTGATTGGACGTCAATTCACCGATGCTGCCGTTCAGAAGGACATGAAGCATTGGCCATTCCAAGTAGTCAATGCCAATGGCCAGCCCAAGCTGCAAGTAGAGCATCAGGGAGAGACCAAAGTTCTGTCACCGGAGGAAGTGAGCTCTATGGTGCTGAGTAAGATGAAGGAGACTGCGGAGGCGTACCTCGGAAGTGGTGTGACAGATGCAGTGATCACCGTGCCAGCGTACTTCAACGACTCGCAGCGCCAGGCGACGAAGGACGCCGGCCGCATTGCCGGCCTGAATGTCCTGCGCATTATCAACGAGCCTACAGCCGCTGCACTGGCGTACGGCCTCGACAAGCAAGATAATGCCGAGCAGAACGTGCTGGTGTATGATCTTGGCGGTGGTACGTTTGATGTGTCAGTTCTATCCATCGACGGCGGGCTGTTTGCAGTCAAATCGACGGCTGGTGACACACACCTGGGTGGTGAGGACTTTGACAACAGGCTGGTGGATCATTTCGTGGCCGAGTTCAAGCGCAAGCACAAGCAAGACTTGTCCAGCGATGCACGTGCCCTGCGCCGACTACGAACGGCATGTGAGCGAGCCAAGCGAACTCTGTCAAGCAGCACTGATGCCTCTCTGGAGATAGACTCGCTCTACCGTGGCATAGACTTCTACAGCAGAATAACCCGTGCAAGGTTCGAGGAGCTGTGTGCTGACCTTTTCCGTTCAACCCTGGATCCAGTCGAGAGAGCACTGAATGATGCCAGGATGAGCAAATCCGACATCCATGAAGTCGTATTGGTCGGTGGCTCAACGCGCATTCCCAAGGTCCAGAAATTGCTTCGTGACTACTTCAATGGCAAGGAGCTGAACAAGGGAATCAACCCGGATGAAGCCGTCGCCTACGGTGCTGCTGTTCAAGCCGCCATCCTGTCTGGCGTGAGAGATGAACGTGTGGACTCGGTGGTCCTGGTTGATGTGGCACCATTGTCGCTTGGAATCGAGACGGCCGGAGGTGTTATGACCACGCTGATCAAGCGCAACACCACGGTTCCGACTCGGGCGAGTGAGACGTTCACAACGTACGCCGACAGCCAGCCCGCCGTCACCGTGCAGGTGTACGAAGGTGAACGGGCCATGACCAAGGACAACCACCTGCTGGGCCGCTTCGAGCTGACTGGCATCCCACCTGCACCCCGCGGTGTGCCGAAGATCGACGTTAGCTTTGACATTGACGCCAACGGAATCCTGCATGTCACAGCTAAAGACCAGAGCAGCGGCCGATCAAGTGACATCTGCATTACCAATGAGAAGGGTCGCCTGAGCAAGGCCGACATCGAGAGAATGGTAGCGGAAGCAGAGCAGTTCCAGCAAGCCGATGATGCGCAGAGGGAGCGTGTGGCTGCTCGCAATCAGCTGGAGAGCTATGCTTTCAACGTTCGCTCAGCAATGTCGGACAGTGCTTCCAAACTGAGTGCTGATGAAGTGAAGAAGGTAACGAGTGCAACACAAGACGCTCTTGACTGGCTAGAGAAGAATCAGCTGGCGGAGAAAGAGGAGATTGAGCATCGGATGAGTGACTTGCAGCAGCTGTGCTCCCCAATCATGGCCAAACTGCATGGCGGAGCAGACAACAACGGTAAAGAACCATCCACCCAAGGTCCGAACGTGGAGGAAGTGGATTGAACAACACAATTAAGTGCAGCATAGAAGATAGCCCTACCGATGCCAGGCATTGGACTTTTAGCATACCACGGACAGTTTGGCAAAAAGTTTAAAGATATGATACTATAATTATGCACTTGATTTCTTCTAATTTGCTGACCTTTGCACACATTGTTTACTTCGTTGAATTATTTTGCCTGGTGCCTTGCGACTACAGTTGCAAAATAAGTTGTTTGTGTTGATAGCATGCAATGTACATGTACTTGAAGTATTCCATAGTTTGCCACATATGCCTTGCTAGCCCATACCTAAGCCTCAATCATTAATTTGACTCAATGCTATCCTCCAAGAAGCGTTTTTCGACTGAACGATTTATTTACATCGATTAAAGCCTGCATGCATCTCAGCTGTTTGAATATGCACAATACTATAATGGCCATGATTGTTTTACAAAACGTAGACACCGTTGAAGCCAAAATACAACTTAATTAAAGTCATTGAAACACAAGGTTCAGGAAGTGAGACATCAGTAATGCTACAAATTATTGAAAGAGGGATTGCATCATGCCACTCTGGGAAGTCAGCTACACTCTCACTCACCACTGTATTAAACTACAAGTAAAAAAAGACCACAGTATTATAAACTAATACTGACTGATCAATCTCTCAAATTAATACCAGAGAGAACACTTTTTAATTCTCAGCAAGATATACAAGCAAAGAGACTCAGGGAAATGGTGAACACATTCCAGTAACCTTTTCAGGAAGTGAAAACCTGGTACAATGATAAACAAGCTGTGCCAGGACTCAAGAAGGCCTACAGACTCAATGGGGGAGGGGAATGGCATCAATTTATCATGATCCTGATATAAGCGCTTTGAAGTATATGTCTGTTATCAATCGTAGATTACGCTGAACTCAATTACCCAACATCAATGCGTGGTTAAAAAGAAGCTAAAAACCCTGCAGTAGCTTGTACAGTTTGGCACAGGAGGTGGGTGAAGTACTTTCTGTCATATCAGCTGTTGGGGTCCACTAGGTCATATAAGCATACTATCATAATTATGCAAACAAAACGGTCAAGACGAGCAGGAAGAGAGTCGACACAGGGTCAGCTCAACGGCATGTCAATCCCGGTGTCTTCTCTTTCTACTCCCTTTACGTTGTTGCCGATGCTGTAATTCCTTGTAGAATTCCCTCCTGAAGGAACACGAGCACGACACCATGCCAGATTGCGATGGGACACATACGTTGAAGACACGATATACCGCTACTCTGGTGTTGTACATAGGAGCCGCAGCAGACATTTACACATCATCACCTAACATTTCTGGCAGCTGGTCAGCGCATACCATTGTGGCGGTTTATCATCCATGTCGAAACAGTCAGGGATGAAGCCCAATGGTAAAGGTATATGCATAAGGGTGCATGGCAGCCAGGACCACTCACATCTCAAATGGCAGGAGCAGTGTGGTCGGTGCTCATGACAAATCAAACGCAAGAGACCAGAGAACAAGAGAACATGCAATGCTACAGCAGCAGCAGTAGCAGAGAAATGACAGCTATGCCAATGCAAGCATGCAAGCATGCACGTACAACTACAGACTAGTAGCCAGCCTCGAAAACATGGCAACAACCGAAGAAAAACTTACTTTGTGTCTGAGCGAGCCCCATGGTTGTACACACGTCCAAAATTCGGCAGCCTGAAGTCAAACAACAAGCAATGCTTCATTTTCCTTTTTATTTCAGGCAAAGCAGACCAGTTACCACCAGACAGCGTGATTTCTGGGGTATAAGCTGCTTTTCTATTGAGAAATAGGCTGGACATCTGCACTGAGGCTTACAACCCTGCCAGTTAATAGGCAGTTATGTGACATTTCGCCTCCAAGAGAGAGAGAGAGAGAGAGAGAGAGAGAGAGAGAGAGAGAGAGAGAGAGAGAGAGAGAGAGAGAGAGAGAGAGAGAAGAGAGAGAGAGAGAGAGAGACAGAGAGAGAGAGAGAGAGAGAGAGACAGAGAGACAGAGAGAGACAGAGAGAGATAGAGAGAGAGAGACAGAGATAGATAGATAGAGAAAGAGAGAGAGGGAGAGAGAGAGAGAGAGAGAGAGAGAGAGAGAGAGAGTGCACAGCTATAAAGTTGAACAGGACATCAAACTTTCAAGGCAGGGGTACCGTCAATACCCAGGGATAACGGTATGAAACACACAAGCATGGAGGCCTGGGCCCATCCCTTCAAAATTTAGACTATGGCCTGCATCAGTGGTGGTGATGGTACAGTACTACTAATCTCAGTGACTATCTCTTAATTTGCTAAATCCTATATATAGGATTTTGGTCATATTTTTCAACTCAAAATGGGTGTGGCATGAGCATAGGGAAACGTATGTGACCAATTCTTCCGCGTTAGGTCTTAGTCGATATGGAGAGTTGAATAAGATATATTTTTCAAATACTAACATCTAAGGCTCATCTCCTTGCGCAATATTTCTAAGGCCTGTGCCCTATTTTTTGAACCCTATATATAGGATTTGAGATTTTACTGGACCTTGTTTATCCTTAAAATTGGTAGTTTCACGACGGCATGTGCGATATGTCGTCATGAAACCACCCCGTGCCACACCTGTTATGTTCTTTTGCACATTCACTGCTTCAGTCCTTCCCATGACACCAGCTGAACAATGCTGCTCAAAATTCCAATCCTTGCTCAAAATGGGTATTCATGATGTCCTATGAATCAGAAAAAGTAAACATTCATGCCTCAAACATATTTACAGCTTCTAATAAAACCATTATGCTCTTATTATGAGTCATGAATGACTCATGATGACCAATAACAACGGCATAAAGGTCACGCATTTTCAAATCCTATATATAGGACTTTTGCCCAGCAAATTAAGAGATAGCTGCAACACACAGGGTTTACCGACTATACTACAAGTACTACGGTAACACTACTATGGTACAGTGCCCTTCTGAACTCGCAACCTAATGGTATTTTAAGGAACTTATTGTACATGCATTTTTGGGAGCAGTATAATTATTATTAAAAGGTGGGTCCTCTCTTCTGGACTACCGAGGACCCAACACTGACAATTACTCGAGGCAAGAGAACCTGTTTCTCTCTGAGTCTCTATCTACATGGTTGTATAAGCAACCTGCACCAAGCAAGAGGATACAGCAATACCACTTACCACAAAGGGTCATTAGCTTCGGAGCCAGATGCAATGCCACCCGCTGCGGCACTGGGCATACCTTGGCGAATCATGGCATTCACATGATCGGCACCAACGCGCTTAGGGTTGCTGCTTGCAAACTGCTGGCGGTACGCTACAACAAGCAAGGTATGTGTGCGTGTGCGTGTGTGTGTGTGTGTGTGTGTGTGTGAGAGAGAGAGAGAGAGAGAGAGAGAGAGAGAGAGAGAGAGAGAGAGAGAGAGAGAGAGAGAGAGCATGATAATGCATGTCAGTGAAATAAAAGTACTCACACAGCAAAGCTAACCATCATGTGAAAAAATCTTGTCCTATCTACAAGGGACATGATCGGTTGCCTGAAAACTAAATGAACAGGTTGCAAAACTTGCCAGAAAACTGTCAATAAGAGACCTACTTCTATTCTAAACCAAACACCAAGGGAGAACTGCAACTTGCAAGCCACATACCATGCTGCTGAAAGTCCTCCAATGAGGGGCCAATCGCCGTAGCCTGCGCAGCATCTCCAGCCTACAACACACAGTACAGGTACCACAGTAGTTACACGCCGAGGCCGAGGATACGTTCCCCAAATCAGAAGTACTCCTTGAACAGCATTCTCCTACCCTGTCAACGCTTGATATTACGCTCCCGAAATCAAGTTCTGGCGCATGCACACATAGTCTGAGCGAAACCTAAGCACAGCACTATCAAGAGTAGATAAACAAGAGTGTGCAACTTGCGGATGGGTTCGCCCACGCGGAATTTCTTGTCGACGTAATCTTTTCTACGACGCACGCGCCGCGAGTCTTTTAGGGAAGTTTTGCCTCGTGCATTTGGCCAGGTTTTACAATACTAGGTCGGTGCCCAGTCCGTGCTCTCACACTTCTCTGCGGAAAAATGCGCGTGTTTCTGAAAAAGATGACGTCAATAATAATTTCCGCCGTGGGCCGGGGTATCTGCTTGTGCAGAAGAGATGCGGAGTTGCACAATCTTGTTGATCTACTCTTGGCACTATGCATAGAGCATTGCTGTATGTGTAATTCTTACATGACACGTGATCGTTGCCGGGGCCATGGCCAATAGGCGATCTTCCCGCCGCGGGCATAATCAGGCCATCAGGACCGTTTGACGTCATTTCGAGAATAATTTTTCGACCTTTCCACTTTTGACCTTCCCTAATATGTTGCTTCGCGCTGTAAGAAATCAAATCAAGCACGCTCTGTCTGTCATGATGGCTGAATCTTGACCTTGCCTGCAGCCCTCGGGCCTACGGCCTTTGGGCTGCAGGCTCGGGCAAGATTCAGCCATCATGACCCCCTGAGCGTGCTTGATTACATACATCAGGAAGAATAGTTCGGCACTAAGCACTAATAGTTCATGCCAGGTTCATTTGGTCCTTCCATTCATATTAGCACACAATTTAATACGTTTCTCTTCGGACCAGCGCGCAAGCATCGCGTGGTTTCGTCTGTTACGAAGAAAAACATATTACACTCGGACGTCTCTTACCCGGGCACCTTGGGACCGGGCACTGCCCGTATCTCAGATTTGCCCGTATCTCAGGATAACTCATCTACCATGTATCATAATTATCATTTTTTTGAATAAGTTTATTTGGAATGTATTGCACATGTTCAGAATACAAAAGGAAACCATTGATAAATCGTGTTGATTACATAAGTTGGCAGTGAAAAACAAGCACTTCCACATACGGAAAAAGTTCAAAACCCCCAAAATTCGAAGCATCTGTGCTATAGGAACTAAGCTGAAGGTGCCCGTATCTGAGGCGTCCGGATAAGAGGCGTTTGAGTGTACTACGAAGCAGTTCGCCGTGGCAGAAATGTACGCAGCGGGTAGTAGCGTACAGCTGTAGCTGAACACTCTGGCAGACAAGGGTTGAGGAGCTACTACTCCAAGAAGGACAAAGCATACAGGCAGAGCGTGCCAGGTTTGTACTAACGCAGTGCATTGCTGTTGTGGAAACTTGTACGTACCGCAGAAGATGAATCCAAATTGTCTGGAAGAAGCCAGGGTGGTGTAGCACCTGAAAAAAAAACAATTGCAAGAAGTCGATTTTGTCCCCTGCAGATATGCCACCCGCAGGAAATTGATTGAGCTACGAGTGCGGTGAGCATTTCTTAAAACGCTGCTGAGACGCAATAGGATGTGATCAGCCGCAAACTCATGCTATGAGCTAAACATCTAAATTGCTTCTGCCTTTTGATCATATCCATGAAAAATGTTCATCTCCCATTAAAAAGAAGATAACAGGACATGTAATACTTGAAAAAGAAGTATTTATACTGAAGTACACCGTCTAGCAGAGAACGGAATGGGAAGACAGAGACCAAGGAAGACATGCCAATACAGTGGGAAGCCGGCAGCATATATGAGACACTCTAGGAGCCTTACCGGTGTGGACATTGCCTTTCAAACCTTTTACAACCTGCAGTAGAGGATAAAGCAAGGCAGAAAAAGGGGCAGTAAGAATAACACAGAGTATCAAGCAACATTTCGGAGAATGAAGTCCATCAAGATAGTAGCCAGCCAAGCCAACCAACGGCTCAGTTGGTAAAAGTTTCTTCAAATGTAGTGTGTGCGTGTCAATGGTGTGTGTGTGTGCGCGCGTGTGTGAGTGTGTGTGTGTGTGTGTGTGTGTGTGTGTGTGTGCGTGCGTGTGTGTATGTGTGTGTGTGTGTGTGTGTGTGTGTGTGTGTGTGTGTGTGTGTGTGTGTGCACGCTCGGGACTAATCCTGTCATGCCATGGTGCATTGCAGTGCGCTGCAGTGCATTGTACTGCATTGCTTACAGGCTTGGCAATACGTGTCATGCCAGACGCCACTCCGATTTCCCCGTCGCCACCCGCCTCTGCAGCAATCAAACGGAAGCAACAAGATACAGCAGCGGGAAAACAGTATGTGAATATAGTGGCACAGCGACGACAAGATAATGCCCACTACGAGCATCCTAAAAACCCAAAAATGAACTTTTCGTTAATCGGCAGGGCTCGTGCCGACAAATCTGGATAAACCAGTGCCCTGGACAACATTTCGCTGAAAGCCAATCTAAATGGTGTTTGTTGCAAGCAGGAACGTTCAAATACTGCGCGAGGAAGAAAGGAAATACTTTGCACCCAGAACTTGCTTGTGCTGTCTCTGTACCTGGTTGTTGGATGGGTGGTGGCATAGATCTACAGGACGATGCTACGCCGTGCGTCACAGTAGGCTGGCGGCGATCCACAGACCATTGCAGAAGCTGATCAGAACCAGGTCTGGTGGAAACAGAGGACAAGGACAAAGACACACACACATAAAATACTTACAAGTCCAAGACTGTACTGATGAGTGCTTATACTCGAGTGCCATCAAATGATACAAATGCCCACAAAGTCAAAATACAAAACACAGTACACGTAGCAACAAGTCTAGTCGAGAGCCAAACTGAATTGACTGCCAATAGGAAAATGCTACGCAGCCGGACTCTCGCTGATTACTTCAAAGTACTACTAGTAAGGCCCTCATCAGACTACGTACATAGAACATCCAGTACAAAATCACATAAAACCTAAAAGGCAACATTTTTCCATGCCTGCTTTCAGACTACACATTTTACATGCAATATACAGGCAACCTTTGACCCTACGAAATTGCGCAAGGGGCCTGGGATGTGTGAAAGCAGCGGACAGTCGTACCCGGGTACAAAGTTCGTACAACTGCCTGGTGAAAGTACGATAAATGCAGGAAAGTTGCCTTGTACAAGGGTTGGCACCCTGCCTGAAAGGATTGGGCAGCTTTTTAGGCTTCCCGCCAGATTCTTGTTGTTGTCCTGGAAACTTCTATGTAAATGTGACTTATAGGCTGTTTTGTACCTAGTCTGAAGAGGGCCTAAGAGAAGCACAATAGCAATCCCTACATGTATTGGTGGTTGGCAAGGGAAAGTCCCCAACTACATGATTGTATTGGTAGTTGACAAGGGAAACTACAGTGTAGTTCACCGAAGTTACAATGTAACGAGTAACACAAGCCTAAAGTCAGTCACAGCAATCCCGGCAAGGTTACACTTCGAAGTACACGAAGCAACTTACGGATACTTGACTATTCCACCGCCCCATACACGCTGCCCATCATGCCTGTTGGAATTATGACAGAGCAGAACATGAACCGGCGAATAACTCTCAAATATTGTATAATGTACTTGCATCCACCGGGAAACAGCCAATATCTGAACGAAAATTATTCCACTCCTCAAGAACTACCTGTGCGTGTACGTGTTGCAAATAGGACAATACAATTATTGTCAACAAATTGAGACCTCCAACAAGATGAACGATCAAATAGGTTTGACACACATACACACACACACACACACACACACACAACACAACACACACGCACACATCTACAAACGCACACGCACACACACGCACGCACGCACGCACACACGCGCGCGCACACACACACACACACACACATCTACAAACACAAACACACGCACGCAGAGAGTCGCTAGCATTTCGTGAAGCACACAAGGCTCCACAACTGACCATCCAGTTGGGTTCTGCAGGATTCCAAACGAGTTTGTCACTGTACGGTAGGCTGGCTGCGCCATCGTATACTCTGCTGCCATGGGGTTACACAATGCTGCTGTTGGCTGCTAAATACAAGAACCGGAGCAACACAGACACGTGTAAGCAAGGACGATGATGAGCCAAACCATCAGCTGTCCTGGTGTCAAATAGCCCGACACAGGAGGGTTTCAGCCAGGCACCAACGCCAGCAGTGCCTGTGGATGACACCACAAAGGGCTATGCTGTGTCAAGGAATAAGACCTGTTATCACTGTGTGCATGTCCTGATGTCTAGAAGGTGATCACTGATCACTGATCAGTGCCTGGAGGCTCAGCATCACTGGAAAACATGACACGCACTTCACATCCCTGGGCTCGTCAAATTCACCCAGGACAATTTCAAAGGCCTTGTAAAGTTGTGCTACTGCATTCTATCTAGTTCTCTGGTCTTACTGTATCATGCATGTCCTTGGTGAAAATTTCGATTATATATTCTGCCCTTCCGCACAAGACTCAGGCTAGGTGAGTTTCGCTCCGAACAAAATTAATAAAATACGTCTATGTGTATCGTACCAGGTGATCAGCCATGGCTTTACAACAGAAACCATGCACTGCCCTCTCCACTGTGAAAAGCTAGACCTGATACACTGACACATGCAGTACGTCATATAGAGCTAGCACGAGCCATTTAGGAATGGCTTAGCTCTGCAAGCACACGCCCATACTTCATGACAGTAAACCAAGGTGCACACAGGCAGCAGTAGCATCATGATATCACCACAGTTGCCCAACAATAACGCGGCACACAACACATTAATGTGGATACTGTCTTCCTTGGAACAACGTGCCTGCATTTTAGAGGCATCCTGCCATATTTTCTCCTGACTGGTGATGTACTGCGCTTCCTGACAACACAAAGTAAAAAATAGCAAAATCGACACGCAAACGCACGCACGCACGCATGCACGCACACACACACATCAGATGATGGTAAAGAAACGTCCTCCAGCACCACTACAAAGAATATCTCATGCGGTCCGAGCACACACAATGTCACTCGGTGCAATGAGTGTGGCTACAGGGCAATGCAATTCGGGCATGAACAGAATCTGATACTAGTACAGGAAAGCATCTCGTCATAGGAAGGTGCAAAACAGAACCAGTGTACCTTGCTGCGAACATCATCGTGCTGCAACTTCTCTGTAGCCTCCCTTACAAGCTCAAGATAGCTGAAAGAGATGAAGGAATACATACGCACACAAACGCACGCATACGCACACAAGCATACAAATGTCTGTACACACATTCATGCAGCTGTGTGATAGTGTTTCGCACAGTTAAATGTCTGTACACACATTCATGCAGCTGTGTGATAGTGTTTCGCACAGTTAAATGTCTGTACACACATTCATACAGCTGTGTGATAGTGTTTCGCACAGTTAAATGTCTGTACACACATTCATACAGCTGTGTGATAGTGTTTCGCACAGTTAAATGTCTGTACACACATTCATGCAGCTGTGTGATAGTGTTTCGCACAGTTAAATGTCTGTACACACATTCATACAGCTGTGTGATAGTGTTTCGCACAGTTAAATGTCTGTACACACATTCATACAGCTGTGTGATAGTGTTTCGCACAGTTAAATGTCTGTACACACATTCATGCAGCTGTGTAATAGTGTTTCGCACAGTTAAATGTCTGTACACACATTCATGCAGCTGTGTAATAGTGTTTCGCACAGTTAAATGTCTGTACACACATTCATGCAGCTGTGTGATAGTGTTTCGCACAGTTAAATGTCTGTACACACATTCATGCAGCTGTGTAATAGTGTTTCGCACAGTTAAATGTCTGTACACACATTCATGCAGCTGTGTAATAGCGTTTCGCACAGTTAAATGTCTGTACACACATTCATGCAGCTGTGAATAGCGTTTCGCACAGTTAAATGTCTGTACACACATTCATACAGCTGTGAATAGTGTTTCGCACAGTTAAATGTCTGTACACACATTCATGCAGCTGTGTAATAGTGTTTCGCACAGTTAAATGTCTGTACACACATTCATGCAGCTGTGAATAGCGTTTCGCACAGTTAAATGTCTGTACACACATTCATGCAGCTGTGAATAGTGTTTCGCACAGTTAAATGTCTGTACACACATTCATGCAGCTGTGAATAGCGTTTCGCACAGTTAAATGTCTGTACACACATTCATGCAGCTGTGTGATAGTGTTTCGCACAGTTAAATGTCTGTACACACATTCATGCAGCTGTGAATAGCGTTTCGCACAGTTAAATGTCTGTACACACATTCATGCAGCTGTGTGATAGTGTTTCGCACAGTTAAATGTCTGTACACACATTCATGCAGCTGTGTAATAGTGTTTCGCACAGTTAAATGTCTGTACACACACATTCATGCAGCTGTGTAATAGTGTTTCGCACAGTTAAATGTCTGTACACACATTCATGCAGCTGTGTAATAGTGTTTCGCACAGTTAAATGTCTGTACACACACATTCATGCAGCTGTGTAATAGTGTTTCGCACAGTTAAATGTCTGTACACACATTCATGCAGCTGTGTAATAGTGTTTCGCACAGTTAAATGTCTGTACACACATTCATGCAGCTGTGTAATAGTGTTTCGCACAGTTAAATGTCTGTACACACATTCATGCAGCTGTGTAATAGTGTTTCGCACAGTTAAATGTCTGTACACACATTCATGCAGCTGTGTAATAGTGTTTCGCACAGTTAAATGTCTGTACACACATTCATGCAGCTGTGAATAGCGTTTCGCACAGTTAAATGTCTGTACACACATTCATGCAGCTGTGTGATAGTGTTTCGCACAGTTAAATGTCTGTACACACATTCATGCAGCTGTGTGATAGCGTTTCGCACAGTTAAATGTCTGTACACACATTCATGCAGCTGTGTGATAGCGTTTCGCACAGTTAAATGTCTGTACACACATTCATGCAGCTGTGTGATAGTGTTTCGCACAGTTAAATGTCTGTACACACATTCATGCAGCTGTGTGATAGCGTTTCGCACAGTTAAATGTCTGTACACACATTCATGCAGCTGTGTGATAGTGTTTCGCACAGTTAAATGTCTGTACACACATTCATGCAGCTGTGTAATAGTGTTTCGCACAGTTAAATGTCTGTACACACATTCATGCAGCTGTGTGATAGTGTTTCGCACAGTTAAATGTCTGTACACACACATTCATGCAGCTGTGTGATAGTGTTTCGCACAGTTAAATGTCTGTACACACACATTCATGCAGCTGTGTAATAGTGTTTCGCACAGTTAAATGTCTGTACACACATTCATGCAGCTGTGAATAGCGTTTCGCACAGTTAAATGTCTGTACACACATTCATGCAGCTGTGAATAGCGTTTCGCACAGTTAAATGTCTGTACACACATTCATGCAGCTGTGTAATAGTGTTTCGCACAGTTAAATGTCTGTACACACATTCATGCAGCTGTGTGATAGTGTTTCGCACAGTTAAATGTCTGTACACACATTCATGCAGCTGTGTGATAGTGTTTCGCACAGTTAAATGTCTGTACACACATTCATGCAGCTGTGTAATAGTGTTTCGCACAGTTAAATGTCTGTACACACACATTCATGCAGCTGTGTAATAGTGTTTCGCACAGTTAAATGTCTGTACACACATTCATGCAGCTGTGTAATAGTGTTTCGCACAGTTAAATGTCTGTACACACATTCATGCAGCTGTGTAATAGTGTTTCGCACAGTTAAATGTCTGTACACACATTCATGCAGCTGTGTGATAGTGTTTCGCACAGTTAAATGTCTGTACACACATTCATGCAGCTGTGTGATAGTGTTTCGCACAGTTAAATGTCTGTACACACATTCATGCAGCTGTGTAATAGTGTTTCGCACAGTTAAATGTCTGTACACACATTCATGCAGCTGTGTAATAGTGTTTCGCACAGTTAAATGTCTGTACACACATTCATGCAGCTGTGTAATAGTGTTTCGCACAGTTAAATGTCTGTACACACATTCATGCAGCTGTGTAATAGTGTTTCGCACAGTTAAATGTCTGTACACACATTCATGCAGCTGTGTAATAGTGTTTCGCACAGTTAAATGTCTGTACACACATTCATGCAGCTGTGTAATAGTGTTTCGCACAGTTAAATGTCTGTACACACATTCATGCAGCTGTGTAATAGTGTTTCGCACAGTTACAGCTCTCTGAGTTGTATGCCCTGACTGATATTAACAAAATGCTTTCTTGTTGTTCACTAGACGTCAGGATTGTAAGCGTGGCGCTTTGCCCGCCTTCAAGTTTCGGCTGCTCCCTTTCCAAATCAACAGCGCCACTGTACAATGCATGATTTGACTTAGCCCCCCCCCCCCGCGCAGGATGCATTGCATCTACTAGAGCAAAAACAAATTGAAAAAACATCACGGTTCGTGTGAGACTTTAGACGTCGAGTTTTTAGCATCTGTGGGAACGCCACCACCCTCAAGGATCAAGGCGCAAATGTAGCTCCTAAAGCAGTGGCATGGATTCAGCAAATGGGATTTTCGGTCTTTGGCCACTTTGGTGGCGGGTCTCATCTACTGGAGCCTATAACTGCGATAATATCTTACCTGACTAACAGCGAATTCTCCAGAATGAGCTTTGACAGGGCAGCTTTCTCAACCACAAACACACCATGACGCTGGCAAAAGGTCTTTGAGTTCTTGGCATGGTCGTCACTGCAAAGACGAGCAGAAGGCAGCAAGCGTTAAATCAATCACCAATTAACTGTGTTCAGTAGTGCACAATGCATCCCCAAGTATTATCCCAAACATGATTGCACATTGAGAAATGATTGGTCAGTAGTCTGTAAATATACAAATGCACAGACCTACTGCATGTGTCATATCGGCCTCGGCAGCTGACGGGTTCTCCCGGGCTGTGCGACGAACTTCCCCGGGTTGTACGACGAACTGACTACTCTGCCGGTGCTAGTTACATGTTGGGTGAACGTGTTCCCCTCGTGAGCGCGCGTTTGTACGGCAGTTGTCTTTTGTATCTACTTGTCACTTTTATCAATGCATGGGCCGCGGGATGTTGTATCTGCTAACTGTCTTATCGTATACGCTGGCTGTTTAGTTAATTCATAAATAATACGCATTTCTCCTTGTCTTCTCCCATTGGTCAATTCTGCATAGCAACAAGCTCTCTATGGTCTGATTGGTTGGGTTTTCCCGCCTTTGCTACTCCTTTGTGTAACTCGATCCTTTTTGTTATCATATAACCCCTGCTGCTTCTGATCAAAAGAACCAACCTTCCTTCGACCTTCACTCTTGAATCGAGCTGGAATCATAGTGACTCTCAACCTTATTCGAATGACCAAGGTGAGCGTGTGTGGCTGAATGGATACTTGGATCAACTATATTGGTTGATGACCTGGTGGGGTTACTACGGCAATGCGAATGTATATGTTGTAGCCTTGAGATCGGTATTGTGTATGTCCGGCATGACACATGTATACGCATACATTAGAATACAGCCCACGGGTCGAGTGCGGATAATACATCTGGCAACTGGCAATACTGCATGAAAAACAACGACTGCTCGATCCCTATCGCAAGGGATTCTGTACAATTAGCAGTGAATAACAATGCATAGCCTTTCTCTGGTCGCCAAGGTTACGTATTACCAGGCAAATATTACCAGGCAAATATTACCAGACAAATATTACCAGGCAAATATTACCAGGATTCGATCTGCGTAGGGATAGCCAAGGGCAAGCAAACAAGACATTGCCCCTGTACAGGAAACGTTGACTGGGATTGTGTTGGTGAGTGCTCCCATCTTTCACACATAAAAATTAACATTTAAATTTAAAATTCGTGGGAGAGTCAGTCAGACTGACTTTCCACGTCAGTAGGAATGCCACTACCCTCAAGTATCAAGGTGCAGATGCAGCTCCTAAAGTGATGGGCAGTGACTAGACATTGGTCAGCAATTAGACAAGTAGACATGCCTCTAACCTGCCCATATGGGCCAATGTTCCTCCGTTCACGATGGAGGACTCTCCGTCGGTGATATGCTTCTCAACCCGGCTCGCGCAGGGGTGGCACCAAAAGGCGTCGGATGCAATCTCGCCATCCACAACGTGTGGCTTCTTTAAATCTTTCCGGGCTGTGTCAAGCTGAAGTCAAAGAGCACATGGTGGTGCACATCTATGATTACATTACATGCATCGGATGTTGGAAGATTGAAATTAAGCCGACCAGTGGTCATAGACTCATACTCATACATGTACCTTTCTCCAGGGGCGTAGCTGGTCCCCCTTTTAGAGGGTGCACGGCCGCATATGGGTAGGATGGCTGGTGCATGTCATTCACGGTCATTATAATGTATGCTAAACCTGGGTCGAAATTTTTAGGGGGCACATGCGCCTCCCCCCCCCCCCCCCCCCCCCCCCCCCCCGTGCCCCGTGCAGGCTACGCACCTGCTCTCCTTTCCTCTCATCGCTTTCATTCCATCTCGCCTCCCTCTACAACTCGCAGACGAGGTGGTGGTATGTCCTTCAGTGTGTGCTAGTGGTGCCTGTCATCTTATGTCACCCCACCCAGTTCGCATGTGTGCACGTCATACTTGTAACTATTGGCGCACATCATACACTCGCTATAAGTAAGTTACCCTTGCAGCAGCCTACTGTAAAACGGGTAACGTTTGCGACAATAAATGTTTGCGTTTTACAAATAGAGACTGGTTTGCGCTGTTTAATGTTTGCGAGTCGTTCTACAGTCGTTCTACACAGTCGAGTCAGTCCTTGCACTGAACTTTACATGGCGCGAGTTTGCGTTGTTCAAAGTTTGCGATTCGGGGCCTCTCGCAAAATTCGCAAACATGTTTACGTCGCAATAGTTACCCGTTTTACAGTATATCAAACGCATCCTAGGACATTGTAGTCAGTGCTGTCTGATGATCGGCAGCGTGTGAAGCTCCAAGTAACAGCAGCAAGGCTTTATTTACCCTTCTCTATACCTGCTGTGTTCTCAACACAATTGCATACTGTATAAGTACAAATTTTCGTTCACGAAATCTTTCGTTAGATCACTCCACCAGCAGGCGTGTTACGTACTAACTTTCGTTTTTGGTCGAGGTCTGTCACCCCGAACGTTCAGAAAGAAACTTTTAAAGTTTGGTACAAACTTTAGTTATTTCGTGCCCCTGACGAATATAGCGAAAGTGAATTCCAAACGAAAATTTGTACTTATACAGTACATGTAGCAGGTGGTAACGCGAACGTGTGAACTTTATAAAATCTTGTAGGACGCATCACGCAGCTTGAACTTTACTCTACTTTATACCTGCAGAGCTTATTACATGAACCGTAGCAAGTTACTAGTAACACACACACATAGGCGCACATGCCTGTGTTCGGATAGGCTCACTCCCACTGACAGGCACATGCTCTTACAGGTGAAGCACTACCAAAGTTCTCATTCGACATGGTTAGCATTTTACCGTTCACGCTAAATCCAACGGTGCTCGTACCCAACACCCAAAATACCGTCGGTTTGGTATCGTTTCGACGATAGGAAGCTCTGTTTAGCGGGAGAATGAAACGGTAAGATTCCAACTAGAGTTACGTCACAAGTCGATCGTTGTGTCAGAAACCGAAATGCTAACCATGTCTTGAAAACACACAAAAAACGGTACAGGTCGACGGTCGAAGTGAGCGTGAATGGTAAAATGCTAACCATGTCTACTATGGCACAATCACAGATAAAATGAAAGCCTACAAACAGCATACAGGAACCATGAAACTGACACCACAAGACCCAGTCAAACACAAAGACTCTGGCAAACAAACTCATGTGCCTATATGTGTGTTACTATGGTGCTACATGAAAAAGGATGCTATGTGTATTCTAAACAATCGACGAGGAGACAATAGTCGTAAAATGGCAATAAATAAGATAAATTGTGCACTGATAACAACAGCAAAAATGAAGAAAGTTAAGTTCCATAACGTTTTCTTGTGACTTTCATCAGTGGAACGCCGTCACATAAAAATATAATAACTAAAACACACACTTATATACATGTGGCTAAGGGCCGGGTTCCACTGCGGCTCCGCTGCCCCGCTGCTCGTCTTTCGCGGCTTGAAACGTCATCATTACCATAGTGACCGCGGCTCGAGCTGGAGCAGCGAGTCCGTGGCTCACCACGAGCTTTTGCTACGATTCTTGACCAAAAACTGCGAGCCGCGGTCGCGGCTCGACCTGTTTCCCGTACTTTGCATTGTTCTGTACGCCAGAATTTTAAAATTCAAATTTTAATTCGTTGCGCAGGCCAGAACACAAGGATTTGTTTGATTTCGCGCGCGCGCAGGCAGGTGAAACGTCATCAAAAAGTGTGGACCACGACCGCGGTACCGCGAAAGGCGAGCGACAGTGGAACCGCGATGCTCCGCTGCATGCAGCCAAGTGTCGCGGAGCAGCGGAGCCGCAGTGGAACCCGGCCCTAATATGGTTTCAGGTAGAAATACAGCAGCCAGCAAGTACAAAAAGCGAAGTTTGCACCTTTGCAATGTGTGAATATAGTGTATGTGAGAAAGGTAGTGGCAGATGAATGTGATACTGTGTGAATGAATGTAATGGTGCGTGTGTATTACTTGAAGAGTGTGAGTGACACAACGTTTTCTTTCTGTTTACATAGCACAGGGTCACGAGTACGAATATACACAGCTTCCAACACCTGCAATTGCTTGAAGAAACGTGCGCAACGAATAACACTAAACCAGGAATCGTCAAACACCTTACGACATTCTGGACTGGACACCAAATGCTTGTACACTGCAGACTTCCTCTTGTCAACATCAAATTCCTCCTCATCACTACTCTCATCCTCCACCTCCACTCCAATGCCGCCGTCCATCCCATCGTCCTCGTATTCGTCATCATCAGTCTCCATCTCCTCGCGACACCGCTTCCCTCTCCTTGATTCGTTCTGTGCCGTGCTTGTGCTTCCTCCTGTGTCTCCTTGCCTTGTGTTCTCCACTTGTCTCAGTCATGCCTCTGCTAGTCTCTTGCTTCTCCTCGGTTCTGCTCTGTTTTCAAGTTGTTCCCCTTCCGCTATTACCGTTGTAGCAACATTCATCTGCCACTACCTTTCTCACATACACTATATTCACACATTGCAAAGGTGCAAACTTCGCTTTTTGTACTTGCTGGCTGCTGTATTTCAACCTGAAACCATATTAGCTACATGTATATAAGTGTGTGTTTTAGTTATTACATTTTTATGTATTTTTTATTTTTATGTATTTTTATGACGGCGTTCCACTGATGAAAGTCACAAGAAAACGTTATGGAACTTAACTTTCTTCATTTTTTGCTGTTGTTATCAGTGCACAATTTATCTTATTTATTGCCATTACAGTTGAACATCGATTATCCGCACATCGACTATCCGACCATTCGATTATCCGTAACAGTTTTTTTGGGCGCACGTGCCGTAGAGTACGCACTGTGCATGTAGTGAGCCATTCAAAAAATACGAAAATTTTGAAAAGTAAAAAGGTCGTGCGGCTAGTAATAACCACTGAAAGTGTGTGAGTGACACTTTTTTCTTATCCGGAACATTTGCCTTATCTGAACACCGCCTGACAGTTGTCTGCCCAGAGGTGGTCGGATAATCGATGTTCAACTGTATGTGTATTCTGAAAATTAATCGTGACAGCAAGAGTAAATAAACCCTCAAGAGTGTGCAACTCCCGCATACCCTGCTGCCTCGACAGAGTCAAGTTGACGTCACTTTTTATGATGCAATGCTCCTTGTACCAGTGATTTACGACATTAGCACGGGATACCCGTATCATACGTTTTTTCTTTGCACTAGCTGGGGCTTTGTCCACCACAGGTTCAGGATGCGCCTGATAATACGTGTACAGTGTGCATAGCATCATAATTAAACATGACGTCAAATTGAAATTCTGTTCGGACAGCACAGCACCCATACTGGAGTTCCACACTCTTGGGGGAGGGGGGGGGGGGGGGGGGGGAGGGGAGGGGGTAATGTGCTCTTGGTGATAGATATAGAACATTTGTAGGATGTACTATACCGATGGTCAGCTATACGCTGGGAATTATGTTAGTTTTGTACAGTGGTTTTCATCTACAGTAATCAAGAACATTGCAAGTTGAGTCTTTCGCCTCTTTTTCCCCTCACCAATGCAACCTGGAAAATGCGATATCACAGCATTATTCCATCCCCTCTAGTAATTTCAAAAGACAACGTCTAACCTTCTTCAGGAAAGGCAAAAACCTGTCACGAACTGACTTCTTGTGTCTGGCAGTGAATGCATGCTTTCGCAGGCCTTCTGCCGGATGAAACCTGCACAGCTCACACCGTTCATCGTCCAGGTCCTCGGCCATCTAGAAAAGCTTCAAATCGCGGCCTACATGATCGTTGCACTAGACCTACACGAACAGTATTGTAGCAAAGGCCTTATGAAATGCTGCAATAAAGATACTCGGCAACTCATACTCATAGTGTGAAGTGACAGAACCAATTACTGAATACAGTGTACATTGTTATTTTTTCAAACAAGCTGTTCAACAAGCATGTATCTCATTAATGCATTCTCAAGCTGTTTGGAAAGAAAAATTTCATAAAAAAATTCAAGCTCAGCTAGCTTGTTTGAATTTTTTTATGAAATTTTTTCTTGTGTCGTGATTTTGGACTAGTGCCTGCATGTGCCGTGTGCGCGCGGCTAGGCTACATGTAGTACTAGACTGAGTACTAAGCAAGTGTAAGTACGAGTAGTGAGTAGTGGCTAGCGCAAGGCGATTCCGAACCGCGTGGGGCGCGGCGCGGCCGCGCATGTCGCTATCTGCGCTGAGCCTGTAGTGTATGCGTGTGTTGCCGAACTTCTGACTGAGTTCTGTGCAATCTTTCTCCTTTCTATTCTTCTTTCTCTACAAAGAAGGCGGACATTACTTGTGAGCTCTGCACTTGTCGCAGCTAAGGTTGGAAACAACAGCCTACAAGAATGTCAACATCATCAGCTGAACTCGCGTGTGTATACGCTGCATTGATCCTCAATGACGATGGCGTGGAGATCACAGCGGAGAAGATCCAGACTTTGGTGCAAGCTGCCAAAGTCGAGGTCGAGCCATTCTGGGCTGGCCTGTTCGCTAAGGCACTGGAAGGCCGCGACGTCGGGGATCTAATCGGCAACATCGGATCGGCGTCTGCTGGACCTGTTGCAGCAGCTGCACCGGCTGCTGCTGCAGCAGACGAGAAAAAGGAGGAGAAAACGGACGAAAAACCTGCCGACGACGATGAAGATTCAGATGACGAATTTGGCGGACTGAGCCTATTCGGTGATGATTGAGCAAGCACCACCTGTTGCGTCGACGGCACTGATCAGATGCACCACAGCACCGCTGTATCTCTAGACCATTATACCATCCCTGCTACTACTAGTACTTTAGGATTGATTCAGACCTTACATCTTCCATCCCTGAATATTTCCTGAATGGATCGGTGCAGCGTATGCTCGTGAAACCGGAATACTGGTTGGTCTGGCGGTGCGTGTGCGTGCGTGTCTGTGTATATGCATCTGTTGAAGGTTGGTGGGCCGGGGTGCATATGGCCGCTGTACATGTATGTGTAGGTTTAGGCAACGTGCGAGAGTGTGCGATTCCCGTGCTGGGGAGCAAGGACGACAGTCATTGGCGGCTCTGCTCTACGGCGTGTGGTGTGTGTGTGTGTATGTGTGTGGTGTGTGTCACATGGTGTGTTTTACTTATTAGTTTTGTGAGTAGCTCAGGCTACATTCACATGGTCCATATCCCCATATGGCCATATGGCTGAATCCTGACGTATTACCAAGGTAACAGTCCGGGGGGATTTGAGTCGCCAATAGGGACCTCAGTACCATTATATCAGGGTTCTAGCCAGAGAAGGGTAGGGGGCGCAGCGCCCCTCCCCTGTGAAGTGCCCCCCCCCCTCCACTCATTTTCCGTTTTTTGTGTTTTTAATGCCATTCAACAAAAATGCAGTTGATAGCAAGTACTACAATTCTGGTAGAGGGTTCATAAAGCCTTAAAGGCACATTTGTCTAGGGTGAAATCAGGTCACGGTTCGCCCCGTACGTTGCATTTCGGATTGCCAGACAGTTATTTTGAAAATGGGTTACGGGGTCATTGTTTTCCCTGCCCCCCTCTCTACCAGTTTGACTTGGCTAGAACCCTGACCCCTGGTTATGTACTCTTGTATTTGCTAATACAGTTGAACATCGATTATCCGCACATCGACTATCCGACCATTCGATTATCCGTAACAGTTTTTTGGGCGCACGTGCCGTAGAGTACGCACTGTGCATGTAGTGAGCCATTCAAAAAATACGAAAATTTTGAAAAGTAAAAAGTAAAAAGGTCGTGCGGCTAGTAATAACCACTGGCACTGAAAGTGTGTGAGTGACAGTTTTTTCTTATCCGGGACATTTGCCTTATCTGAACACCGCCTGACAGTGTCTGCCCAGAGGTGGTCGGATAATCGATGTTCAACTGTACTAGAATGGTAACCAATGCATACGTGTGCGTGCATGCTTGTATGTGGCATACCATGTTACAGGTAGATTCTTATTGTTAGATTGACGGCATGAAACAAGGTGGAGGACACTGTGTTCGGAAACTGTCAATCTAACAGCGTGAACTATAACAAGGTTTATCTAATACGGTAATATTAGTTCTGAACTAGTATTGGGTTTTATAATACCAGGTAGATTCTTGTACAGTGGAACCACCCTTATCCGGACGTCTCGGGCTCAAACTCGTCGATAACTCTGACATACACTACAGCCATATTATTATTATTACATGTATTATGGAGGTTGTAGTTTGGAGGCGGTCAAAATAGTTTCGCAATCTATAACTTCGCATGCAAAGACGCAAATCCACACAATCAAGTAGACACTTCCTTTCATCTATCGAACGTTTTCTTTCCCTGCTCTTCAGGGTTGTAGAGGGAATGTTGGGAATTATTTGGAAAACACAACTTTAGGGTTCACGGCTTGCCACTAAAAGCACCCGTCACGTGCGCCTCCATTTTGGATTATGGACGCGCGCTACAGGCCGCGACATGACAGCGCCTATCGAAGTAAAAAAATATCGACTCGAAGTCTAGCCGGAGAGCGTACATTTTGAATTTTTCCTTGGCTTCAGTGGCTTCACTTCACTCGGGCTTTGCATTTTTCTGACTGACCTGGACTTGATGATGGCGGCGGTGGCGGTCTTGGCGAAAGATCCAGTTCCATCTGAGACACTCTGTCGTCTTTTCTTATCTGCTGAGGTTCTGGCAAAGCGCAGCTGCATCGAACCCGACTAGATGTAGCTGCACGCATCCTTTGTTTGCCCTGCAAATCTCGATCTGTTGCTCTTCTTGCTGTTTGGCCGCTGATGCCATGGAAGAAAATATTCTTCCTGTAAAGAGGCCGAAACTGAGCTAGGGCACGTCAAGATATGTAGGGTATACAAAGAAAAAGAAATGTCATGGTCGTTTCAGCAGCTCACGACAGCCAACACGCTCCATCGTCGGGATTGGAAGTATCCAGCACGGCTGTTCCGAGCGCTGCTGCTCTTGTTATTCTTCTTCTTCAGAAATTCTCCACACCTTGTCGGCCAAAGTACGCGCGCGTGCACGGAAAATAGATGCGCTGAGCCGTTTCTTGTTCGATTTTGACAAATAATGGCTTGTTGTTTTGCTCTCGACCTTGGCTATCCTTCTACCGTTCAGTATTTTACGGAAACGCAACGGCTCCCCCTGTTTTTTTAGCCGAACTTTGGCCAAAGTTACTGGAAAACCCGGAACTCGTTTGAAAAAATACGAACGGTGGAAGTCTTGGAACGTCTTTCGTGCGTGTGGATTCAAAAATTCAGGCAGTTTGAGCCAACCGTAATGAATCCCGTAGAGTTGAAAGTGAGTGATATTGATGGGAAAATGCGATTTGAGCACTGACCGATTGTGTGGGACAGTATATGCACGCGCCTGTCACGTGCATGATGTAGCTGGCGACGCTAGCATGCCAATCCGTGAACCCTAAACTTGTAAGAAAACATTTGATAGATGAAGAAGGAAGTGTCTACTCGATTATAATGGAAGTTATGCACATTATGGCATGGTGGGGAGTCAGCGGAGCCGCTTATGGGCAAGAGTACATAAAACTGAGTACTCTTGTCTTGACACTTGCGTACAGTGCGAGTCGTCGGTTGCCATGGTTTTGCTTGAGCTACATGTACAGTGCATGCATTGTGCTGCGCTGTTGCTTTGTCAAAGCATGTCAACCAGGGAGTCGTAAATACTGTATTTTACGACTCCCTGATCTCAACTGATTTGACGAACTGAGTTGCATCACCGTTGCATCACCGTCTGACAGCCCTTCCGAATGCCCCGGGCTCCATTGGCCATACAAATGCAACACTTCTGCCACGATGCTGACCCAACTCCAAATGTTGTGTGTCCGTCAATATTGCTTTGCCAGACCATAGCCATCCCGTCACTCGTTTGCAGCAAAACATCGCGCAAGCACATGTTTGAATCAGACAGACTCGCGGTCTAAATAAGCGGTCGCATGGCCCCAGACAAATGTGCGGACAGCTATTACTGGCTTGCGCAAGGGGGAAATGATATGTACACAGTCGTCAACACTCAAGACAGGAGAGAGAACAGAAAAGTGCCAAGAGGGCAAACAGAAAAGTGCCAAGAGGGCAAACAGACACATGAATGAAAAGCTAAACTACAATATATACAAAGCGCCAGACGAGACAGGAGCAAAGCAGCACAGCAGGTAGATAAAAATCACCAGAGAACAGTAGCCACTCTAAATGCCAGTGACAATAAGTTCCTCTATACTCCAGTCCTCGTGACTACCATCTGGCAAATAGCGGCGAGTGATGAATGGGATTTTACGAGCCCTGAAGAACAAGAATAACAAAACAGCCGTCAAGTTTTAAAAGTGACAAGTTTGCGAGTCTGCTAAAAATAATAATAATTATTATTAAGAACTATGCAAAGAATCACACGACGCTCCTGCGCCAAAGAACACGAGGGCACAGGTATGAAAATTGGTTAAGGTAAATCCTGAAAATAGCTTTTTACTTCAACAAAGTCACAGCTGGCGCTACTCTTATTTTCCAGTCTGGCTGTTCTTCGAATTGCAAGCTTACTGCACGCCGCCCATTGCCGGATTGTGTTGCACATACGCCGCATACCTCTGTGAACTTATTACAACAAATATATCAACTAGTGGTTGCGACTTCGGCGATGATTTTTTAGGAATGGGTTCAAGTGTCAAGGCAAGTTGGCGGAATAGCGCGAGCTCCAGTGTGGGAGCAAACCCATTCCTGAAAAACAATCGTTTTCGACGTTCGTAGGGTTTGGTGTGAATTGATGTTGCAGGTCGTGCTAAAGCAGTGCAACATTACATTCGTATTTGTATTTATGGATTCTACATGGCTACCATTACCCGTCAAAAATTAAAAGATGTAATAATAATTATAATCCGACATGAATATGCTTATAGCAACTCCTAACTTATTATGCAGACCTGCAAGCCACCATACAACCAAGCTAGACCCAGCTTACAAGTGCCAAGTACTCCTCCACTGTGCTAACCGTTATCGTACACAGGGAACTATAGTGACACTTACTTCAGCTCTTTAGTGGCGATAGCGAGGGGGTCGGTTTCACCCTCCAATTCCACCATGATCGGAGCATTCATCCTAAAAAAAAGCGGCACAATAAAAAAAACTCAACACCAAGGACAACCAGCACGCATGAAGGGAAAGACCACGGAGAATGCATGAAGTCTGAAATGGAGACCACTTTCTTCGCAGTGATTTTCCTCAGCTGCAGAAGTAAGACGGCATCATCTAAATCAATAGTCAGAACAGCAAAGGTGATCAACCCCTTCCTTCTCGTGTTCATACACAGACCACACAACGCAGATTTCAAATCCATTAGAGATTCATAAAATTGTTATTCGGCATCGGCCACACACAAACACCCACACCCACGCATGCACATGCGCACATGTGAACACTTTCAACAGTAGTATTACATATACCAGTAGTATTACTTTGCCCCAAAGGAATGTGCAGTCAATATTTACGATGCAACAGTACTTACGAAATCTGTAGAGCTCTGGTGCCGAGTACACGTGCACGCTCATATTTAGTCATGTAAGGCGTGGTGACACGCTTGCGAGGCTCTCCATTGTCACCGGCGACAGCAGCTAAAAGCAATCACGCATTCATACAAGTATTACAAGAAGGCTCTATCAAAGTAACAATACATTTTTAAATATAAAATTACACACACCAACACTGATGCCAATTTCATTACTCAGTCAGCTGTCAAAATATTTTCCAAAGAATTTCAACCCATTCTCTTCAGTAGACATGAGAACGAAGCAAAGAAAGCAAGAACAACCCGATAGACACAGCAATAGAAATCCTGAGCGGAATGGGTCGAAAACTTTCTGAACATGTTTCTACACAGTTATCTGAATAATGATAACAGCATGTGTGATTTTTTTTAAAGCTTTGCCTCCTAAATCTCATCTTCCTATATCCCTGCTCAAACAATATATTGCACATGTATCATGAGTCATGACACTTGCAATTTTCGACCTCCATGCATTCAGTGAAGATATTCCAAGCCGAAATGGCAATATTTTGATAATGCATTGTATACGAATGCTATACTATTCTGTATTCCACACAAGCACTGCATGCTGAGATGGACAGCTGTGGCAACTAGGGGTGAAACGACTGGCCCAAATTCCTCGACTAGGTTCAATCCTATCGACCGGTTATCGACTGACAGTGCCCTCACATATGAACACAAGGACACAAGGACACAAGGACACAAGGACAGCATATTTATGCTTACATACAGTCAAACCTGGTTTTAGCGACCACCCCACAGTGCAAGCAAAAGCGGTCGTTAAAGCCAGGTGGTCTTTAGAACCAGGTCCTAGTGTCTGTGTAGAACTGTCGGTGCATGGAAAGACGGTCGTTAAGAGCAGGCGGTCGCTAAACCCGGAGGTCGCTTACACCAGGTTTTACTGTACGTGCATATGCATGGCACACACCTATGCACAAGCAAACAGAAGCGCAATATGAGCACATTGTAGGTTCCAACGTTTGAACGGACCCATGCGTAATGTGTTTTGCACCGTTCTTGTACTCGGCTGTGTGTTAAAGCGAAATGGATTCAGGTGCCAAGTGTCCTTCACAGCACATGGCCTGAACTCGCAGGACAAGTGCATGAACTACAATGTACTTCTGGGCATTCATTTTAATATATGTGCGAGTTGATAAGGGGTTTCCTTCTATCAACTCAACCTTATTGACTGGCCAGTCGACTCAGTCGTTCCACCCCTAGTGGCAACACATCATTCAGAGTGGAAATCAACAGCTTCTGCATCCACTTCCAAAGCACGAACCCTCAACATTTCGAGGTACAGTGCTAGCTGCAACTTTGGATGAGTATGCGAAGAAGCAAACGGTTCTAAACAAAAAAATACCCCACCCTGAATACAGGGGAACCTGTCATAAAGGGTAAATCTACCTGGGGATGGGGCAGCTTTTAGCAGCCCCCCCCCCTTGAAATACAAGCTTGCACCTCTAAAAAGAGGACATAACTATTATATTATAGGAAATGAGAACAGCTTAGGCTCAAAAGTATGATCTCTTGAGTCTCTACCTTTCCCAGGTTCCACTGTACATGTACTAGTATCCCCCCAAACACATGAACAATATGAGACTACTAGTATATACGAGCGCTTATGATCAACAGCTGACCACTTCATCAAAATTCAAAATTTGAATTTTCATAAGCTCACGTTCCATGGATCCAGAAGGTAACAATTGACACGACTGCAGACTAGCAGACTACAGACCCACTCTTCAGCAGTTTTTTTGGACTTACCAGACTGCAAGATCTCTACATTTGCCTCTGCTTGGTCCTGGTGAGCACGACGAAGTCCATGATAACTCAGTCAGCAATTCTTGAGAAAATAGTCTCAGCAACCAAGACACACTTACCGCAACGTCCTCAAAGTCATGATCTTCGTCATCATCTTCGGGAAAGTCATCCCCAAAGCTATTCAGCAAACAGATTGCGGAAGTAAGTCACTAATCTAGGCCAATCCAGCTTGCAAATCAGCAAACTTACTCGATGTTGTCGTCTTCATCTGCCATTTTTTGAAACTGAAACTTCTGTTTGCTGAATGATTACGTATGTATTTCGAATCACGCGTGCACGTGCATGTAGATCTACCATGTACCATGTACCATTCGGTATACAGTACCATGCCAGGCCATGCCATGCTGCATGTCAGTTACCATGGTTACGCCACGTGCAGGTGGTGCACGTGGCGTCGTTTTCTTCTTCCTGAGAAAATGAGAATCAGAATCTACTTTTTTTCTGCTATTCGACTTCGAGCTTCCTGGCTTGTTGACTGTTGTGGGGTACTCACAGCTCGGAGTGAGGGTAACAAGGATGCAGTTTACAGGGTTATGCCTTATGGGCCGTTACACGCCCGATTGGTTGAGAGACTCACCTACTCTCCCCTGACTCACTTGTGAGGTCTGCATTCGCCACTAAGGTGTGCAAGGCATAGGCATAGTGGTGGCCTGCGGAAGCGAAGGCTAGTTTGTGTGTTTCTGAACATTCAAGCGATGCCAACGCGAATCCCGCGAATTATTATTATTATTATTAGTTGTGTTGGAAGTTTTCTTGAACTGGTACATACATATGTACATGTAGTTGGTGTTTGGCTGTTGTTCAGGCCCTGCCAGGATATTGACTTAGTCAAGCGAGCACCATCATGGGTGATAGCATGGTGTCAGAGCTGATTGATGACACCAGCAAATCGTCAGGCAAAATCAAGGATCCTCGCGATTGTATGCCTTGTCGGTTGATTGGCGCTGGCGGTTGCTGGGCTTTAGCAGGGATAATCATGTATCAAAGGGGCCAGATAGAGAAGTCACGGAGAATGGGACGTGCAGGGATGCTGCTGGGATTCTCAGGTCAGCAGATCAGATGATGCACCTCAACGTGTTTATTTTAACAATTATTTATTTAAACAATCGTCGAGGAGACAGTAAGCGATGGTCAAATGAAACGTGAAATACAGGGTAGACGTCTGCATTTCGTGGCAAAAGTCTGGGTGCGGCTTATACTCCGGAAAATACCGTAAATATTCCGTTATGTGGTCACTATGAAATTTGTCGACTTCACGAAACACGAAGCTGCACTGTAAAAGAAAAGGGGGTTTGTCAACAACGGACAACCGCTCTATTCAGCTGCTATTCACTCCACTCATTGTGCTGTGTAATACGCGACCGAGTGACAAGGCAAAACTGGTTCAGTCTCTCCGACTCAAAACACAAGTAGTAGTCTCAGGGAACAATATTGCACGGAAAGACAAACGTAAGTAACACAGAACTAAGTAGTTAGTTAGACAGAAAAACAAAACTGAAACGGAAGGGAAGACTAAGCAACAACAACTGAACCGGGAAACAGAAAGACGGATCCATATAACTGTCCCTGCGGGAATTTGCGGAAAAAACTCTCGAAAACATGCGCAAGAAATTGCGGCAGAAAGTACTGTAAGGCCACACGTTTTTATTTCTATGTTTCTCGTCACCCGAACGCATACGATTCAGGAGTCTGGAAGAAAAAAAGAAAAAAAACTGTGCTGCACTCACTGTGGATGTGGGGACCAGCACACTCATGCACATGTACATAATGTGGCCTGGCCTGCGCGACACATGATGCGAGGTCGGCATTTTTTGTGCGCAATCTAGCTGCACATGCACAGATTGTGATAGAAGCTCCTACCACATGGGCACATACTAGTTGCTAACTATGGATGCTATTTTGCATGGTGTATTGGTGGATTTTAGTGTGAACAAAGGTCTAGTAAACTTTTTTTATTTTTTGGTCATTTGTATTTTTTCCACCTCTCACATACGTTTTTAGATTTTCAGGTGACGAGAAACATAGAAATAAAAACGCGTGGCCTAACAAAAAATGCGACGAAAAGTGCGGAATGATGCAGAACTTGCCAGGAATTCGGGGAATTATTTGCAGAAAATTGCGGATTTGGGCCAAATCACGAAATTTGTTGCATCGTATATCTGCTCAGGAGTCGTACTGTGCAAATAACCTACATGATCATATAGAACTGCGTGAAAAGTGCATAAAAATGTGAGATATAGTGCAGAAAACAACAAAAAACGCGGGAAATCGCGGATTTTGCTGAAAATCGCGGGTTTGGGCCAAAATCGCGAAATTTGTTGCATCCGTGGAATCGCGATTTCCTGGAGGGACAGATATAAGAGATTGAAGTCCAGCTACAGTTCCGAGCGCTAGCTAGCGATCTCTACGAGGTGAATAGCAATTTCTGGACATGAAAGTAAAATAGAACCCCCCTGGCTGTGTGTTTTACATTTTTCATATCTTTTTGTATCTATTGTATGGCCTAATCCTTCACCTTTCCAAATATGTTACAATTGCACATGCTGTGATCCCAGAGACTCTATAGCAGGACGTTTTCGACAGGCCAATTTTTTGGCCTAAATTTCAGTGTATGGAATTCTGGACATGAAAGTAAAATAGCTTCAAAAGGCATCCTATACTGCACCATTTTCGTTATTTTTTCTATTGGTGGACTGCAGTTGGCCTCTTCACACTTCCAGCCAACAGGTCCAAGACTATACAGCGTCTGAAGTGGAGTGCACATGGGGAAGCCAACGATTCGTCCATTACTTCTTATTTTACACAAAATTCAAAATTCTCATGCGACATAGTACCACAAAACTCGTTGAAATGCCTCACAAGCGAAGGCTATCAACAAGGCACCGACACGAGGAGAAACTACAACAACCCAGCTGTCAACTACGGCAAGAAAAAACTTCATCAACCTGACTGACTTGACTCTACACGCGACGAAAAATTATTTTACTCGAAATGTCCAGAAATGTACAATGTCCAGAAATAGCAATTCACCTCGTAAGGGCGCGTTTGGTTGGTACGAACTAGAACAGGATTCGCCAGAACAGCGCGTTTGGTTGGGACTGCACCTGTTCTGGGTCGGCCAGAACATGTTCTGCTTGCTCCGGCCTCGAGGCCGGAGCAGACCGAGCAGTTTCACTTTTTCACAGTGAAACCTGGCGGGAACAGCGATTTTGGTCCCAAATGATCACGTGCATACCTTTTTTTTTACGCTTTTGGGTTGGACTCGTCGTACCGCACACAGTGACCATGGTGACCCATACACATTTTGAAGAATGCACCAAGTTTGGCATACTTTTCACAAAAATATGCTCTGTTTCTGGAGTACCGTTTGGTTGGCATGAGGCTGCTCCATGTGCACCAGCTGCTCGGTCCTGTTCTAAATCGTACCAACCAAACGCACCCTAAATGAAAGCAAGGGACCGGATGGTGCCAGAAATAAAATAGTGCAGTACATAGTAATACATAGTGGTTTGTGTAGGAGAAAGTCCGTCTACTACATGCTGATTTACTTGAAACTAATTTTTCAAGTAAAACCAGCACAATGAATAGCAGCTGAATAGAGCGGTTGTCAGTTGACACCCCCCCCCCCCCCCCTTTCTTTTCAAGTCCCCTGTGTGCATTATTAGATACAGTAAAACCTGCTCTAACCGGACGACGCCCTGGCCTTGGTGCAGCGGAAACTCTCCGGACACGATTCTATTTGATCCGGGGATGCACACTCGGTCCACTGCACTTTGGTACATGGAAATTTGTCTGGTCAATGCAGGAGTCCGCTTGCTACACGGTCCGGCAAACACAGGTTTTACTCTATACGGGAACATGTAATTCACTTACACTGCTGCACGTAAATAGAGAATACCGGTACTATACTTTATGAAGCCAGTAACAGAACCAGCCCCTATGCTGCGTACTAGTGCAATAGTGTGGGTGTTGTCGGCTTTGGTAGACTGGTGAATGGAATCTGCCCAAGGAAATACTATACATGTGATTGGATCATAGGAGATAGTTAACAACTACAGTCAGGCCTCGCTTATCCGGTCCTCTTTTATCCGGATCCCTCGCAATCCGGAAGAAAATCGTTGGTTACCGATTTACAGCATATGCCATGCATACATACAGTATGTGTGTTCGGTTATCCGGTTCCCTCACCTATCTGGATATTTTTGTGGAAAGCGGATGTGTGCGGTTATGCGAGTTCTGACTGTAATACTATCACATACGGTCGTGTAGTGCGGCTCAATATGTCGCATTGTTGTGCATTCTTGTGTTGTTCACTGCAGTTATGGTGGCCTTGGGAGGATATCGTCTGGTCAACTAACTCGAGTTCTGTCCGGTACGTAGCCCTACCTAGCATCATGTTAATGTGAAATGTCAGTCACAACATACTGGCTGTCCTGCAGTGCATTTCTCTCCGCTGGATGTAAAAACAAACGTTTCACACGAGGCAACGTGTGATGTCATCAGTTAAATGTTCCATGATTGCGCTCGTTGTTCATTGGAGGTTTACACAATTACTTGTGTAGAATACGTGTAGGCTCCTCCACTCGGAACTATCTAGCATGCACCACTTGACGCCGACTGGCTGTATAGACATGTCAACACGCAGTACCAGTACTGCCATGACCCGTACTACAACACAGCTGAATAATCAGCAAAGCATGTACATGTACTGCACACATATTCAAGACTAATAGAAAGATAATTATATGAATCATGTATTCCAACGTCGTGATATTGTTGTGGAGATAGTATAGAGGGTTTTGTAGCCCTTCTCTTTCCTCCTCTGAGTAAGTATGTAAGTACAATGATAAGAAAAACCTACATTCAGAATGATAAAGATTTATTTAAAAAATAGTACTATTATTCCCCTGATAAAACATAAATGCTACATGATTAAGGAAAATCACCAAGTCCACGATAAAAAATCTCAAAATTTGTTGAAGAAAAATCCCAAAGAACCATACTAGTACATCATATGCACACGAAAACAGGTAACAAGACAAACCATGATAGTCAACGAGTCGGTTTAGCATCAAGGGTATCTCAGGGCTTACAACTTGAGTTCACAATGCATTGTTGGCATAGCAGCATCGTGTGTGTGAGTTTCGGCAGCAAGCGTACAATTTTAATCACTAATGAAACCTGGGCTAGTGCTGTGTTCGGCATGATGCAACATAAAATACACACACACACACACACGCACACACACACACACACACACACACACACACACACACACACACACACACAAACACACACACACACACACACACACTTACACAACTAAGGTGACACATGCGTACAACATAGACCTCACTGCGTGTATGCTGACGATGATCTGGCTACCCTCGTAGCTAGATCACTTCTTACTGACCTTGCGGATGTCATCGACATTGTTGGACAGTATTGCCATCAACATGTCTAGAGGGTCCATCAGCGTTCTCTGCGTCCACTTTGGAATAGTGTCACGGGGATGCTTGAATCCCAGCATCTCTATAAGCCACTCGAACGGCGGGTTTTGAAAGTGAACACTCCCTGGGGCCCAGGAGAGCAGCTGGAGCTGCGGCTGAAGCTGCCAGTGCGTGGTGGAGTAGGTGCGGTGAGAGTCGACCTCTCGCGTCGGAGACGGCGCCTCGCCAGTCTCGCTCTGCGAGCGGGTGCTGCTCGGTGCTGCACTCCCGCTGCCCCGACTGCTCTGGTCCGTCATTGCTGGCACATAGGAAACAAGCCCAACACATACACATCAATTCAGTTCTGTACGACAGTGTCAACACCCACCTGAATAATCTTTTCCAAGGTGTTTACTATTTAGAGCAAAGACATACACTGAAACCTACACCACCAGAGTACAACATGATCGTATTGACCGATTTGACAGAACAGTCCAGTGTAAAATGGAACAATGGGAAGGCTAAGCTAAGTCTGCCGAAACAGCCATGCATGATCACTCTGTAATGCACATTCAGGCTTCCTGCAGCCAGATGACTATGCGAGTAACTCACTTCCGGCTCTCTCGATGTATCCCATTACAAGCTTGCGTAGGAAAATGTACAGGCTGACGTCGGTAGCAACCAGGAGAGGCGTTTTGAACGTGGAGTCAAACTGGCAGAAGACAGCCAGCTGAGGAATGAAGTCTTGCTGCGTCTTGCCGAGCTGCTGGATGTGTTTACTGGTGTCCATCCACTGGTCAGTGTCTACGGTTAGTACGAACGCTGGCAAGGACAGGACTACGTTGGCTTGCGGCAGGCGATGCGAGTCTTGCTCCTGGACGCTGCTGCCACTGCTGCCACACGGCTTGACGTACTTAATCCAGTCGCTGACCGTGTCTCGCTGCGTCGGGCAGTGGCTACGCTGGCGTTGTACATGCTGCACCAGCAAGCACCTCTGCTGAGGGTTGGTGGCGCTCACCGTCAGGCCCGACTCCTGGCCATGCCGACTGCCCACGCGCAGCATCTCAGAGCCGAGGCGTACACGCAGCGCCTGGGTGATGCAGTGCGTGCCGCGTGAGCCCAGCTCTCTAGTTACCTGCAGACCAGTGCAGTGCACACAGCATGTACATGATTGTGGAGATTACTAGTTACCTGCATACCAGTGTGGTGCACACAACATGTACATGTACATGATTGTGGAGATTACTGGCTGCCTGCATACCAGTACAGTGCGTATCGGTTACAGTGTGGTCGTATACAAGAATATACTGCTTACAAGAATGAACACTCATTTTTTCATAATCATAACACATATTTTATGTGTATATTTATTCTTACAAGCAGTATTATCGCATCAAGTAGTAGAATATATCGGCCCTAAGAATGGATTTTGTGTAGCAAAATATGCCAGATTAGTGCAAAGTGTATCGCCTGTAGTAATAACATCTGTGCTCTGTGCTCTGTGCATACTCAATACAATAATATTCAACACAAAAAGAGAGTTATGTCCAAGGGAGCATTGGAGAATCACTTTTTCTGTCCAGTCGGACTCTTTCTTCCGACTTCTCTCGTATCCGCTGCTCCGCAGTCGCCTAGCACGACCGCGAGTCTGATTGATCCGTGTGTACGTGTATCATGTGTAGGTGTCCACATGCCAAACGTGCGCGCATACATGTACATGTATGATGTCACACGTGCATATGATATGTCACACGTGATTTATCGTGTGTAAGAAATATCGGCAATAAGAATCAAATGTCGTTTTCAAACACCCACGCTATAACCGATACCTACTGTATAATGCAGACAATATGTACATGAAGGAGTTACAGCGTGACACGTCGGCGTGCACCACCACTGACTCACTGTATACATACTTGTATTGTGGTAACGTCAGATGCATACGAGACAATGAACATGTTTCAGCACCGACTGGCGCATCTTAAAATGGCAGCAACTCCCTGGCACTGAAGAGCAGTATCCTGCATGTCCCTGACCAGCACTTCAAAGAGCAGTATCCTGCATGTTCCTAACCAGCACTTCAAAGAGCAGTATCCTGCATGTCCCTAACCAGCACTTCAAAGTAAATGCAGTGCGTGTGTGGTATACCTGGCCTGTTTTCTACTACAAGCAGGATAGTGAATGCTATATAGCTGCAGCATCGCCATCATCCCCACCACCGGCACTTATCCTCGAGCGTGACTGGTATGTTTGCTTGTGTTTTGTCACGCAGGTGCACGTGCTGGCCCACTCAATGCAATCTCAAACACACAAGTCTGACAGCCAGTCTCTAATACGTTACACACAAACAGGAAGTGCGATGGAGAGAACACAATCAACGAAGCTATGCCTGTCCGGTGATCCCACACACGCAACAGGCAGCTATCACTTACCACATCTTCCATGGATGTCTTCTCCATGAACGACGCGCTGAAGTCGATCTGTAGCGGCTGACACCACTGGAACACGGCCCACTTGGACTCGCGGAAATTGCCGCCGTGGAACGCCGCCACCAGCAGCTGATTACCTTGCAGCAGTACGTGGGCAGTCATGTGTTTAGGACGAGACTGGCCAGCCACGCTGTCATCCTCGTCGCCACGATCGTAATGAGCAGCAGTGGCTGTGCCGTGATGAGCTGCAGCCGGCGAGGCAGTGGCATTCTCGTCGGACTTCATGGCGTCGCGGATCAGCCAGTACCAATGGAAGTGATTGCTTTGACGGCGGGTAGCTGACAGTACATCATACAAGAACAGAATAGCCTCAAAGAGCTGCTGGTCCAAACTCTGTGTGTGTGTGTTTTGAAGTGTGTTTCTTTATCTGAACCATCTGTATTCGACTAACAGTTACCACTGAGACCATTGCAAGTGTATTTCACGTGCATGCTTTATGATGCCGTTATTTCATCTCTCTTCTACTTCGAAGAGTACTAGTTTAGGAAGGGTGCCAGCTTTCATAGACGTATGCCCGTGCTGAGTTGCAACACGCTTTTTTCTCGCGTACTGCATACACGATGATGAATAAATCATGATGTCTGAAAGGTGACCGAGAAGTATCTCTTAATTTTGCTTTCTAACGTTAGTTTGTACACTAAAACTACGTATGTACATTCGTAACATATACTTCAGCACCAGAAGTTCTCTGTAGACCTAGGGCATGTCTGACTGTCATGCACTGGACATATTTGTACATGTATGGTGTATGCTTGTACTGGTCATAATACCGTAGAAGGACGTATTTGATGTTCACTGAAAGGATTGGGCAGTGTGCAGCAAAATGCTAGAACTGCTGAGAAATAGCAGTTTCCCAGTAACAGTTAGTCGATGAGACAGACGTATGCATATTGAAACAGACGTACTAGTATGCATATTGAAACAGACGTATGCATATTGAAACAGACGTATGCATATTGAAAGTATCAGGCAGGGAGTCGTGAGTGGACTTGTATACTGTAAACTGAGGATATCACTTGAGGGCAACACAGTGATGTCAATGTAACAGTTACCTGGTGTTCCGGTCTGCGCTCGCAGAGAAGAACGGTGGTGGCTGTCCTGCGTGGGGAACAGCGATCCCAGAGCTCGCTTGATAGCCTTGCGCTGCTGCTCAATGAATTCGGACAGGCGCAGGCTGATGTTGATCATGCTAGGAATCGTATTGCCACTGAGGATGACATCCACCTACAGGGCACACAGCCAGTGTCAGCATTCATACCACACTCATACCATAGTCATACCACTGTCTAAACAACAACAACAAAAAACACCATGCTTGCACTTCAGTGAATAGAGGGCTCGTGCTTAGACCGAATACGTCATAACAGTAACAGTTCACTCCTGCCTGCTGCGCTCTTTCGTACCAGCTGGAGTGATTTCATCGGCTCATGGTGCTCTCTCTCTTATGCCTTTCTCTATTTTTCTTGGCGCGCTTTGTCTGCGCAGACGCCGAGACCACCACGGTCGGCCGAGCAGCAGGGGCCCGCCACCACTTTCCGCATTCATTCGGGAGCATAGTGGACTTAGGCCGATACTGGTAAGGCCATCAGACACAACGGTCAAACCACAATTCAAGGACGCATAGCAACATACCGCACAACTTGTGTGGCTCTAAAGATCAAAAGATCGATTGGTGGGGAAGCTAAGCAAACATGAATCGTGAAGAATCGAACGTCTCAATACTACAGTACAGTACTTCGACCAAGACATATAGATGGAAAAATAAGCAGCATTAAACAAGCAGCGCTTCTCACCTCGTGCTACTGGTGCGTTCGGATGACGCCATTCATTACTTCAGTGGCAAAGTTCAATAAAGTACGTGTGAGTTTTCTGAGTAACCAGCTGTAATATCACACTTTTACGACGGGGTAATCCATGCATGCACTACACCAGGATACGTTTTTCTGAAACCGCTCCCAAAGCGGTTTTTATAATTACATGTACATGTATGTGTAATGGATATTATAGCGTAACTTGTAGCTTTTTGGTCCTCTTTTTGTCTTACAAATTAATCCTTGGCTCTCCACCTGAGTCAAAATTAGTAATTTGAAAATTCGAATTTTGTCGTGAAACAGGCATGGTGAATACTCTGGCAAAATTAGATGTCTTCTTCCTTTTCAGTCGGGTTTTCGGCGATTTCTAGTTGCCATTGGATACTAAAACTACCATGGAGTCGTGCCTGACCGAGCCGCGTGATCACGAGCCAGCGTTATCGACTGGTGCATGTCGATGTATTCATTATTTTTGAAATTGTCCAAAAAACAACTGTTGACGCTTTGGGTAACAAGAAACATTCAGCTCATCCTAGAAAACGACCCAAACTATTCCTTTGCCAGGGAGTAGCTAGCGCTGCTGCAGCTGAGCAACTGTCTGAGTCGGATGCTGCTGCTTCTTCCTCAGCGTCCCGGCGCAAGCTGAGTTTGAGTGTTCCTTCATGGATAGCTGTAAGCGACTCATCGAGCTGTGACAGCAGCTCAAACTCCTCGAGCTTTCGAGCTGTGACAGCAGCTCTAACTCCTGAGCTGTGACAGCAGCTCAAACTCCTCGAGCACAGAGAGCAGGATTCATCCAGTAAGCGCTGTGATAGCATTGACTCGGAGAGTGGCCCGGAGGGAGAACATGGTTCTTGCGCTGGTTTACTGTCCGGTTGTCGCTTAGCAGACCTGACCCGCTTACAATCACTTATTTCTGACGCGTGTTTGAGCAAACTTTGTGGCAGTAGTGGCATGGTAGTCAATGAGACGCAGCGTTCAGGTCCAGCTAGTATAGTCAGTATTTGTTGCTCAAATAATGAGTGCACTCTGCGTGTAGAGCTTCCATTGGCGCCAAAGAACAATCAGTATGTTTTTGACTGCAACAGGCAAAGTGTTCTGGCTGCTAGATCAATTGGCCGTGGCCACAGTGGACTACGCCGATTCTGCGGCGTCATGAATCTTCCACCGCCTGTTTCTAAGGCTGCATTTTAAGTTTTCAATGCCACCAAAAACACCCCTACACAGCTGCAAAGTCTGTCGCTGAAGCTAGTATGCAGCAAGCAGTTGCAGAAGTCAAAGCCCTGAATGCGAAGAAAGAACAGGACCTGAACGTGGCGGTGGCAGTAACGTTCGGCGGTACGTGGATGAAGCGAGGCTTCACATCCCTTCATGACGCATTCACGTGCATCGATTGAGACACCGGCCTGGTTATGGATTTACATGTGAGCGCCAAGTACTGCCAGGCCTGTAAACACAACGAGCAGAAAGAATGGAACGCGGTCGCATCAGTGCTGAGGAATACACTGCATGGAAAGAGGAGCATTCCACAGATGTGATAGTCAGATCCTCTCATAGACACCCTGCAGACGCATTATGGGAATGCAATCAGAAGCCATCCCCATGATCTGCAAAGCATGGCGAAGGCTATATAGGCTGGCCTTTTTCATCGCGCATCCACTGACGAACGTCCACAGCACATGTTTTGCCCGACTGGTGGAGACAGCTGGTGCGGTTGGCAGTTTGTTCAGGCGGGCAAGCAAGAGCTGTATCAGCACCACAACACGATTCCTGAAGCTGTGGTTGTGATGTATATGCATACTACGCTCACGCTCCTGTCTTTGTGCTGCAGGCTCACGCACACATGTTGTGATGTCATGCGTACGCTATAATACTGATAGGATGCATGCATGCCCACCAGCTGTGATTTGAGCTGTTCCCAGTCTTCTTGTTGTTCTTGAGCTTGAGTCTCCACATTTAGTTTCGTCTCTACTCTTGTCATTCATATTCTAGGAAGTAGCAATAATAATTCAGAACCTATAACCAGTCTTTAGATTCATATCATGGCGCAGTGAACATTTTCTTACCGTGCTTTGGCTCACCCGGTTGTGATCCACCTAGACTCGTTGAATTCATTTGAACATTGTAGCAAGTTGAGTACTTCGTTTCTTTTCGTTCGTCATGAGTGATGCTGGAAGTACCCCGGTCGGTGCTGCCCAACCTGCCTTGAGCCCAGATGTACTGGCTCTCATGACCTTGATGCAGCAACAAATGAAAGCTGCTGATGATCGCGAGGCTCGCCTCACAACGTTACTCCAGAATCAGAACACTCAACCTTCGTCTACTGCCAAACAAATCTCTGTGGAGCGTCCGGTTTTGCTGTCATCTGCCACGCTTTCCGACCTCACCGCTTGGGAAGAAGCGTGGGACGACTACGCCCGATGCCAAAAACTGGCAAGCCAGGACACACAGACACAAGTTAGCGCTGTGCGACAAGCTCTTGACGAGGACCTCCGTAGGTACCTGAGGGAAGGTGTCATTCCTGTAGCTCTCAATGCTGACGTGACAGCAGTGATTGCAGCCATCAAAAAGTACATTCGTCGCCAACGGAATCCCCTGCTGGACCGCATCGATTTCTACAATAGGCGGCAACATAAAGGCGAGTCCTTCGACAGTTTTTTCACTTGTTTGAAAGAATTGTTTAGCGCCTGTGACTTTGTGGAACTACGTGTTTGTCGCACGTGCTCTGGGCGTATGTGTACTGACTGCCCCAAGATCCTAGTCACAGCTAACGAAGAGCTCCTTCGTGACCGGATCGTTGTCGGTGTCCTGGACGATGACACTCGGCACAAGCTGCTTTCTGAGCAGAACTTGACCCTTTCCAGCGCGGCCAAGATTTGTCGTGCGGAGGAAGCCGCCAAGCAGACCAATGATAGAATGCCGACTACCGGCTCCTTTAAGGCTGCCGTCGCGAAAAAGTCTTCTTACCAGAAGCAGAAGTCTCAGTTCAGTGACAGATCCGCAACAGCCCAGCCACCCAAGAAGTGTGGGAACTGTGGTCGCAGCGCTCACACAAAGTCTTCCTGTCCTGCTGCAGGCAAAACGTGTAATGGCTGTAAGGCGTCAGGCCATTTTGAAAAGATGTGCCCCAAAAAATCGCAGTCTGCGCACCGTAATGGCAAAATCGGCCAACTGAAGTTGCAGCAAGCATCGTCAGGCAACCAAGGGACCGTGACCGTCCATGCCACCCTGAATACGGAGACCACTGGTGCACCGATTGACTGGATCCCCGACACCGGTAGTGACGTGGATGCCATCGGTTTACAGCATTTGGAATTGCTTGGTGGATTCCCCGAAAATCTCGCCACCGATTATGATGTAGTGACTGGTGTAAATGGTCAACGTCTTGAGTCTGCCGGCCAGATTCACTCCTCTCTCGCCATTGGAGCTAAGTCGTACGACACGACGATCCATGTCTACCCTGATCTGTCTGATGCTCTGTTGTCTCGGACTTCTTTGCTTGCGCTTGGTCTGCTTCCAGCCAACTGGCCTTCCATTTCCCGTGTGGAAATTCAACCAGCGCAAGACCGTACTGCTGACGAGATCCGTACTGAACTGCTGCAAGAATTCGCAGACGTGTTCGATGATGGCCGTTTGAAACCCATGTCTGGCTCACCAATGGATATTGAGCTCCAAGCCGATGCTAAGCCAGCTTGCACGCATCATGCGCGGCCAGTCCCCTTTGCCTTCCGTGACCAGATCAAGGACCAGCTGGACGGGATGGTGAAGGATGACATTATCGAACCAATTTCCACATCGAGCGAATGGTGCCACCCGATTGTGATTGTCGACAAAAAGGGCACGTCTGAGAAGCGGTTGACTGTCGACTTCAAGAAGTTGAATGACCAGATTCAACGCCCTGCTCATCCGATGCAACCACCACGAGACGTCGTTTCCAGCATCAGCGGTCGTTACTTCACGAAGCTCGATGCACGTCATGGATATTGGCAAGTCCCGTTATGTGAATCTGCGCGCCCACTCACCACGTTTATCACGCCGTGGGGCCGTTTCCGCTATTTGCGCAACCCACAAGGCTTGATATCTGCCGGTGACGAGTACAACCGCCGTACTGACGCAGCATTCGACGGCATCACGAACTTCAAGAAAGTCGTGGACGACTGCCTTGTGTATGACGATGACCTAAGTGACCACGTCGCACGCGTCCGCCGAGTACTGACATGTGCACGGGACAATGGCATCACACTCAGTGCGAAGAAGTTCGTATTTGCTGCTACCCAAATTGAGTTCTGCGGGTATCGCTTGAACGCCGACGGCTGGACTGTCGATGAAGCGAAGACGTCAGCCATTCGTGACTTCTCCACGCCCAGTAACCGGACCGACCTCCGCTCGTTCTTGGGCCTGATGAATCAGTGTGCAGAGTTCACCCCGTGTTTGGCTGAGCTGAGTGCCCCGTTACGCGGTCTGCTGAAGCCTTCTACTGAGTTCCTATGGCATCACGACCACACTGCTGCTTTCAACGCCATCAAGGATGAGCTGGTATCCTTGGCGACCCTGTCTTATTTCCAAGTAGGATCCGAACTCCGCCTGGAAACGGACGCATCCAAACTGAAAGGTCTAGGCTTCGTCTTGTGGCAGAAACAAGACACCGGATGGCGCATCATCCAGTGTGGCAGTCGGTATCTCAGTGACACAGAGTCCCGCTACGCAGTGATCGAGCTCGAACTCCTGGCCATCGTCTGGGCTGTCAAGAACTGCAAGCTGTTCTTGTCCGGCACCCAGTTTCGTGTCATCACTGATCACCGCTCATTGGTGCCCATTATCAATGCATACTCGCTTGATCAAATTGAGAACCCACGTTTGCTCAGAATGATGCTCAAGCTCCAGTCGTTCCAACTCTGTGCTGAGTGGCGGAAAGGTGCTGACAACGCCTTTGCCGATGCATTGTCTCGGAACCCAGTTGACCTCCCTTCCCCGACGGACCAGTATGGTTGGCTAACCTCGGCACCCGTGCCTGTCTCCGTCGTGATGAAGATGGGCTGATCACTGACCTCCGGTTCCAAGCCGTCCATGATGCTGCTGCCGCTGACTCTGACTATCAGCTACTGCTCCAGCACGTGCAAGATGGATTCCCCAATGATCAGCGTGATTTGCCTGATGCTCTGCGTTCATTCTGGAACGGACGAGAGCACCTATCAGTGGCCAACGGTATTGTCTTGAAAGGTCAACGGATCGTTGTGCCCGTGTCCCTCCGTCAACATGTTCTCCAAGATCTCCACGCCTCCCACCAGGGTATTGTACGTACCAAGGCTAGAGCACGTCAGGTGGTGTATTGGCCCAAGTTGAGCCAAGATCTGGAGACACTGATCCGCGCATGCCCTACGTGTCGGGAACGCCAAGCATCGCTCCCGAGGGAACCGCTGCTCAACGATCGTCACCCGACTCTGCCATTTGAGCACACCGGCGCAGATCTATTCACTTGCCAAGGCCGTGAATTTCTCGTCTATGTAGATCGCTTGTCCGGATGGCCATGCCTCGCACCGACCGGTACCACGGCGTCCTCACACGATGTGATCGTCCATTTGCGCCGTTGGTTCCCAGATGTTGGTGTGCCGTCTGTTCTGTGCACTGATGGTGGCCCCCAGTTTGCGTCCCACCAATTTGCTGAGTTCTGTCGCCGCTGGCAGATTTCCCATGTTATGTCTACACCGCACTTCCCTCAGAGCAATGGTCACGCAGAGGCTGGTGTAAAGGCGATGAAGACACTTGTTCACAAGACGACCACCAATGGCCGCCTTGATGTGGACGCATTCCAACGCGGGCTGTTAGAATGGCGTAACACTCCGAGGTCTGATGGCATCAGCCCCGCACAAAAGCTGTATGGTCGACCTCTGTCGTCATTTGTGCTTGCGCATCACCGTAGCTTCTCGTCCGAATGGCAGACCCTCGCCGACGACACAGATGCAGCTCCTCCGTCTGCTCCGGCTCAATTCGATGTCTCTGCTCGCCCGTTGTCCGAGCTCCGTATCGGCACCCATGTGGACGTACAGGACCCCCGGTCGAAGCTGTGGTGTTATCGTTGGTGTTGGTCGTCACCGTGATTACTACGTGAAGTTAACTAGTGGAAGAGTGTACTGGCGTAACCGGCGCTTTCTCCGCCCGTTCATTCCCCTTGTACCTGCTACCCCTGATGGTACTGTGCCTGCCCATCCACCCGCTGATCAACCTGCTCCTGTAGCTCCACGTCGCAGCACTCGCAACCGCCGTGCTACTGACCGTTGGGACATTTCTTCCACAAAAGGACAGTCATATGTTTGATTTCTGTCGTATTTCTATTGCTTTCCGTGTTCTTGCAGTCCCATATTTATTTATTTGATTTCTCTTGTTAGATCATTCTGTTCTCGTTATCCAGTATAATCTCGAAGGGGCGTGTGATGTATATGCATACTACGCTCGCGCTCCTGTCTTTGTGCTGCAGGCTCACGCACACATGTTGTGATGTCATGCGTACGCTATAATACTGATAGGATGCATGCATGCCCACCAGCTGTGATTTGAGCTGTTCCCAGTCTTCTTGTTGTTCTTGAGCTTGAGTCTCCACATTTAGTTTCGTCTCTACTCTTGTCATTCATATTCTAGGAAGTAGCAACAATAATTCAGAACCTATAACCAGTCTTTAGATTCATATCAGTGGTCAAAGACCTAATGCCCATCTACAACAACCTCACTGACATCTTGTGCCCTCCTGCTTCGCTGTATGCGTGGTGCAACGCAAAATCAAAACGAGTCATTAAATGGGATGATTTGGTCTTTTTGTCCGAAGACCTCATTCTGTGGAGCAGCTGTGGTGGAGATAGCTTGCTATCTAGCTGTGGCCCAATTCAATCACGGTTCTGTCTCGCTGCTCAAAGTGTTGTCATCCATAGGTTGCAGTGCAGGACACTTCGCACAGGAATATCTGGCTCAACAAGACAGAGAGAGGGTGGCAGCAGCAGAGAGAAAGGTGAAGGAAGGAGAGATAAGTCGTAGAAAGCAATGAAGAAGGCGAAGGAAGGGTTTAGAGGAGCAAAATGTGGAGGATGAAGGTAGCACATTCGCGGCAGGCGGATTTTAAATTTGAGTTGCTGGAAAACTGAGTCCCCAAAGTTCTCCAAAAATCAGGTACAGCCGATGGCTTGCCGCGCAATATCTCTGCTGTTCTTCAGCTAGACCCATAAACCTATACATTTTCGGAATCTGCATGACATTCTCTAGGGAATGAATGGAACAGGTTTTGGAAATATTGTTCTCAGAACGAGATTGGGTGTCTGAAAGGAATCAGGATTCTGCACGAAATGGTCGCGACTTCATCAAATTTGTGATGTGCCCCACTCTGGATGCTTTTTGATCTAGCAAACTTCTTTCCATTCATTCCCTGCCTATATGTGATAGTTCTTCGTTGATACAAAATGTTCCCTGATACTGACTTGCTTGATTTAGTTTTCCTGCGCGAAGTGCGTGCCACTTTGCGATCCGTGTTCGCCTTTTTTTTGTGTCGGCTAGAAAATAACTTTGGATACAGTTATAACCATGTGAGCTTCATTTCTAAGATGGTCTGTTACCAGTGAACATACGTAGAACATTTTACTTGATTCCTTCCAGTGGTTCTGGAGTTACAGCTATTTTCATATCGTCCACTCTGATTTGTGGCGGCCAGGGTATACTCCCACCTTAATACAATACTGTGCCAATGTGACACTCACCTCTTTCCAGAGTAGCTTGGAGTCGACCTCCTCGGGCCGCGGGGAACTGATCTCGGTGACCAGGCGTGCAACCTGTACCATCAGTACCGACTGGTGCATATACTCAACGTTCACCTCCAGCATTCCCAGATTGGCCTGCAGCAGCAGGGCGTCACCGTCGCGCACCCCGTGCAGGCTCAGCTCCCGAGTGACTTCGACGTGGCCAGACACGATGCCGTCGTGCGCGTCCAGCAGCGCTTCGGTGACCGTCAGCGACACGGAGCCATGCTGCATCTTGGAACCACCGGCCAGCAGCACTCGACTCTGACAGTCCACATTTCTCATTGACAATCTGCAGGGCAAGCAAGATACAGTACTAGTAAGCAAGACGAGGCAAGGACGGGCTCAGGCGATTGTCCTCATTTCCTATTTGAATGGAGCATAACGGGCACACTGTGTCCAAAGTCATGCTTGTAGTGCACCCACACGTATGTTGCTGAGAACTGAGTGAGTCTAGTAAGCTCATCACGGGTTTGCCACTCTTGAAGGTCACATAACGTACTAAACCGAGTGCCTGGAGCTAGCAGAAGCCAGTTTGTTTGCAGAACTTACTCAGTTTTCGCCATGACTTGTGCGAGATTGGTGTGTACCAAGACGTGAGCCAGGCGACCTCCGATCAGCACCAGTACTTCACCATCATCGTATGACGATGCCTTGCTAGTCACTGCATAGACAAAGCACATGTATGGCATTCGTCGAGTACATGTAGTACATTCTTTCCCGAAATAAGCGCAGCAAATTAATTCTCAGCTGGTCCACCCCATCCTGAAGGTGGCCATGAACTTTATCCTTATTTACAAGCACACACACACACACACGCACACCACACACACACACCACACACACACACACACACACACACACACACACACACACACACACACACACACACACACACACTGCACGTGTGTGCGTGCACAGACACACACACACACACACATGTGTGCGTGCACAGACACACAGACACACACACACACACACACACACACACACACACACACACACACACACACACACACACACACACACATGCCCTCTCTCTCTCTCTCTCTCTCTCTCTCTCTCTCTCTCTCTCTCTCTCTCTCTCTCTCTCTCTCTCTCTCTCTCTCTCTCTCTCTTCTCTCTAACTTCGTGTGAATGGGCTGGACAAGGGGCAGCTGGATTGCAAAAGGTTGTGGTGGCGCATATCTATGATGCAGACTGTTTGCAAGAATAATAAGGAAGAAATAGCAATGGCTGTTATGCGGTAGCCACGTAAGCCGATGCAGAGGTACGAATGGGAAACTGGGTTAAAAAAAGAGGGAGTTGCAGGTGCCCAACTCTACCTACCGGTGTCATATAGTTTGGCGGATAATCAGAACCAACACATCCATGTACGAGTGTATACCTCTTCTTACCATCAGGCTGCGACTTTTCTGGCTCCAAGACAGCACCACTGGAGTCGTCAGGCGTTAGCAGCAGCTTCTCAATGAGTCTGGTCTGAGACCAGGCCTTGATGAAGGCTGCAATGTCGCCAATGTTCCGAGTGTCGTACTTCAACTCAGCCATGTCTATCTCGGCCAGACCTGGGCACGCCGCAAGACACATTGGAACGATACCCCGAATGATACACACACTTACGACACACACACACTCCTAAACATCAACTTCGCTCACACTTGAGAACTCTTCCCTAGAGGATGCTCACCCCAACTAGACCAGAGACCAGTGACCAGTACTGCATGCACTGGGAGTAACATTAGACACAGGTTTCCGTGGATGGATATATCACTCTTATTCTGGTGATGCACATATGCTTCTACCCCGATGTTTTTAAAATCTCTAAACAACACCTACTCTGCTGGATCGCATTGTAGTATGCTCGGCTTAGCTGCCATAGCACCAGACAACACTCAAAGGATGGATTTAGACGTTGCCTTGGACAAGCATTGCCACAGTCATGACAAATTTGTGCAACCAACAGAGCCTACCTGAGACCAGTACATTGAATGTTCCAACTCGGTCCGGCAGCGAAGGGAAGTGCTGGCGAGACAGCGAGACCTTGATCGACGACAGCTCTACGAACAGCGATTCCTTTCTCCTGACATTACCGGCCAGTCCTGTGCTGCTCGTACCCGCTCCAGCGTACGGTGCAGAGTAGGGCAAGGCCAAGAGAACTGAGCAGCGAGACAACGTGCCCGTCAGGAAGACACCGCTGAGTTCGGAGTTGAACTCGCCAGCCACCGACGCACTGGGCCTGTCCATCCATGACGGCATGTTCAGCGGCAGTTTGGGCGAGAGGTTGGCCAGTGAGACATTGACCGAGGGCAGCTTGAGTATGCACTCCAGTGAAGACCAGGGCATGCAGCTGAGGCGAATGTAGGATGGCTTGACGTGGACGAGGAGAAGAACGTCAATGGGCACGCCGCTCGACGATCCCGAGCTGCCGGTGGTGGTGGAATGGCCCGACACGGTGGACGTTGGGCTGGGAGGACGATGATCTGCCTCCGGACTGTTCTTGCCCCTCTCCTCATCGTCATCCTTCTCGGAAATTGTTGACAGTCCCTGAGCAGGCTTGGCAGCAGGCACGCCTGTAGCAAAGTTACCCTTCACAAGGACCTTCTCGAGAAATGCCAGGAAACTTGGCTTTATGACCATCTCTTCTGGCAAGGATTCCACTATGAGCTGAACATGCAGAGTACCATAGCGCCGCTGGTTGACAACAGCATTGTGTGCTTTATCCAAGTTTAGCGACGCCATGTCTGCCCGGTTCGGACTGGTAGCCATGTGAGTCAGATGAATAGTGCCTGTTGTGGGATCGGCATTGTACGTGGCTGTGTTGTACGCGGCTGTGATGTGCAGTCCAGGAATGAGGAGAACCGTGCTGTCCGCAGCGCCCTTGGACATGTTGGCCATACGCAGGCGTGACTTTGGCTGGCCAGAGGCAGTAGCACTCGCTGAGGGTCCTCCGGCCATATTGCCTGCACGCAGTCCAGAGCGGCTCTTGCTGTGCTGTGCTTCTCTACAGCAATGCAACAGCAGCAGAAGCAGCAGAAGCAGCAGAAGCAGCAGCAGCAGCAATAAAAAAATACATGTAACTGTTGCCGGTAGCAGAAGAAGCCGTCACAACAGCGATAATGACAGAGGAAAGAATGAGAATCAAGATCTTCCATCGTGCAACTTGTTGGTCAAACCCTGAGGGAAGTTTGCAACCGACTTAAGCACCCACTGCTGTACATGCATAATCTACTAGTATGTTGCACGTCATGAGCACATGGCGGCCTGCATGGGAACATCAGTGATTGATGCACGGCGTATTGCGGTTCTTACCTGTTGTCTTTGGGCAATGGCTCTGGGTAGAGGCAGCACTGGCCACTGTTGATGTTAATGGCAATGGCAATATCCAGGTCAACAAAGGACCACGATCTTGCCGTGCCAATAGAAGATGTATCCTCGGCATCACCTTCACCAGGTCTGAACTGTTGCTGTTGGCCAGCCCCATCCTCGTAATCATCGTCATCGAAAGGCGTCACGGCATCAAACGGCGATGATTGTATATCGTCCGGACTGAGAGAGCTGCGGGAATTGGTTGTTGGCAAATTGAATTTCACCGATGAAGAGTGCGTCCCATCACCTGTCCGTGTACCGTTGACATCTGCTGGTTGTTCGACACTGGGCTGTGACACAAGAAGTGCAGGTAAAGCTACGTCCGCGGTGGACGACGGCGATCCAGGCAGTGTCAGTGGCGGCAAGAATGCGCTGGGAGAGCGGCGCCGTTGCCGTGCCATGTCTGGCTGGTTGGCGATGTTGACCAGGTGCCTGAACGGCTGCATTGCACCGGTGATTGAGCGTCTCAGCGACTTGCGGCGGGGTGTGGCCGGCCGGGCATTGTCCCGTTCCATTGCCAGTGGACTGGCGCGTCCCGCGCTGATTTCCGACTCTAGAAGCGATCCCGTGCTGGAACGACGTGCAAAACTGCGCCGCTTGGCAGCCGTAGAATCCCCCGTGTCCTCCTTGCCGTCAGTAGTTGTGGTTCCTGCTGTTCCTCCTGTTGCTGGAGTCAATAGAATTGACCAGTCCTTGCTCATGGCTATGCTGGGACGAGAACCGCCACGGCGGTTGCGTATCAACTTCTTCCGGTGGAAAATAGCTGCTTCCAGATCTCTGCACAGCTGTGTTTGCTGCTCTTGGTCCGCTTTGCTACCCATAAGACTACAAAACACAACATACACCATACAGGATGTGTCACATACAACAATACAATAGCCTCATTTTGCCTCTACTTTGGCATTGCACCATTGCACCAGACAGTCATGTAAATGTACTTGTACAGGTGTGTACACTGCCATTCACGACAGATCCCTGATGCCCCGGGGGTTCTTGATACCGCACGTCATCACTATCATTGGAGAAAATCCAATTGTGCTTCCCCCGAAAACATAAACTCCGTGACTTTTTATTCACATTCCATGGAGCTATTGCGCTCAAGGAATTTGGTTGAATGGAACGAAAACACTTGAAGATAATACGTGTAAAACAGAGAGGTTCCAGGCTGTCCTAGAGAGTGCTCAATACCGAGTGGTAGAGCTGGTTCAAACAATATATGCTGCAGCTATTTACACTTTGCTTTGTGAGTATATAAACCAATACTGATCCAGATTTCTCATTACTGTTTTCTGATGATCGCTTAGTGCGTGAAACTCGGAGTAAAAACACTTTCTCTGTCCTCCTATTGTTTGAAGATAATACGTGGATATGTAGCGACCTCGCTGCATGACGTCAGCTCCCTCACCAGATACATACGCATGCGCATGAAACATTTCTTCCTCTTTGTTCTAAATAAACAACCGAACCATTAGACAAAGTTGCCCTCTCCTCGGAGTTGTATTTATTAGGCCCCAGGGTGGTATGTCCCGGGATTCATCTGTCTCCCCCGTGAACAGATACGACCTCTGCCATCTTGGGTGCCTAAATTGGTGACCCCCGACGCTGCGCTTGCGGAGTACTAGTTATAGTTTTACGTATTTTGACTTTATCGGATTTGGGATTCGTGGTGCCTCTCGCCGCCCACCCGCCCTCGGCACACCTGGAGCTGCTGCGGACTACGCCCTCCTGCCGCCGCCATCCGTCGTCATGCTGTTTCCGCCCGTCAGCCTGCCAGCCATCACTGGTTTTCGCCGCAGTCCGTTCCTGCGTGCACCACATTCTGGCTGCCTGTCAATCACCGGCTGTTGACATTAAACTTGAGCCTCACCATCCGCACCTCACCGCCTGGACTTGGAGCTGCTGTGGAGCAACCACCCTCCAACCACCGTCCAGTGTGCGCCGGCCACAAGCTGGAGCTTGCCCCCTCCCTCCCGCAAAGCCTCCCCAATCGTGGAGCCAGCACTGCTGCTACTACTACACACTTGTATTGCTGTCATGTTCCGTACCTGGATTGGCTGCCGACTACCCAGTCGCCGCCTCGCCACACTGACATACACGGCAACATGGGCTGCTCAACGGCACTGAGTTTCCGCACCTGATCACTACGTGTCTTTGCCTCTGCCTTCACAGTTCGCATACAGTTTTTTTTCTTTCTCTTTCTGCCTCTGACACGCTCTCCACCTCTGTCACGTTAATCCACCTCTGACATGTTAACCCGCCTCTGTCACGCATCTCTCTTCTGCTTCCCGGCCTGCATTTTATTCCTCTGTTTCGGCCTTTGTTGCCACTTTAAAAACAGTGGTACGCCAAATGCAGCGTTCTTTATATTTCCTTGTTTTTCTCTGTCGTTCTCTGCGCTCCGTTTGTTCTCTGGTGGGGAGTACTGTAGCGACCTCGCTGCATGACGTCAGCTCCCTCACCAGATACATACGCATGCGCATGAAACATTTCTTCCTCTTTGTTCTAAATAAACAACCGAACCATTAGACAAAGTTGCCCTCTCCTCGGAGTTGTATTTATTAGGCGCCAGGGTGGTATGTCCCGGGATTCATCTGTCTCCCCCGTGAACAGATACGACCTCTGCCATCTTGGGTGCCTAAAGATATACTTGTTTTCAGTGTGTACCAAAACCTGTCAAGGCGACCACTCGGATAAGGCGACCACCTGTCCCAGAAGACCACTGCAGCCAGGACCAAGGGATGCTATTGCCAGTCAAATGGCACTGGATAAGGAGACCACCTGGTAACAGAGACCACACTTTGAAAGTCCCTTGAGCAGTCGTCTTAGACAGGTTTCACTGTATACAAAAGAAATCTGCACCATTTGAGTCTCACTTGGGCTCCATGCCGCTTGATTCTTCAGAGCTAATTTCACAAGCACTGGCAGGCTGATGAAAGTGAGCAAGTCTTTGTTTCCGGGAGGTGCACAGACCACCTCAGCACCACAATACCAACACAGTCATCCCTCTCTAATCCGGCACTTGTTTATCCAGCACCCTTGCAAACCAGCACACTTTCTGGCAAAACGGATTTTTTTCAGTTCATTTTCTACGCTTTAATCCGGCACTTGAATTCCGCCTCCAGCAGCGATTTTCTGCAACAAATCACTCAAACTGTACACAATTCGATTTTCTAATCCAGCAGTTGTACATCGCATACTGTCAGGGACCATTGTAACATACACAACACATGTAACATGCACTTGGGAATATCCTATGCTAGTGCATAAGATATTCCCAAGTGTATGTTATAGACATGCATTCCACTAAGTACTTGGTTTGACACAGAAAATCCCTACGTTTTTTGACGTACGACACAAACATGTATGATAACATGTGGGCCGGGTTGGAGGGCAGGATTTGATAATCCAGCACCCTTGTTTATCCAGCAGAAAATGCCGTTGCAAAAGGTGCCGGATTAGAGAGAGACGACTGTATTAACTATTTTTTCAGTACATTCTTCGGCTTCCCCATAAAATGAGTAACATTATAACATACTTATGAAGTAGCATCACAACTTACTTTGCTTCACCAAGAGCATGACCATGTACTCTCAGTGCTTCTTCCAGCTCTGCCAGATTGGCCTCGGTAACGTTCAAGTTGAACTCCGGTGCAGTGTAGGCTGCTTGTGCTACGGGCGTCATGAAGATGTCCGGACCCGGTGACGTGGGCTCTAGGTTTAGCTGTCGCACGGGAGACGACGGTTGCGGCGTTCTTACTCGATTACTGCTGTCGCCCACGCTACCAGCGCCAGCCACGTTGCTGCCGCTGTTGCTGCTGCTGCCGTCCTCGGCCATGTCGAGATCAGCCGTGGCGGCGGTCAAGGCGTCCAGCATGCCGGAAAGCAACGGGCTAATGTCCGTGTCGGCGTGCGCGTCAATGCCGGCCATGTGGAAGTTGACGCACAGTGACACCTTGTCATTCACTGTCAGCAAGTGAGCACAGAAACACAGAAACCAACCGACTGCAGCATTACACAGATTCTAACCCTGTGTCTACAGTCTACAGAGACTGCTAGGATATGCCTTCCAAAATTCACTGTAACTGCATGCTTCAAGTATGTTAAGTACTCAGATGGTGAGCATAACTTGTGCTCACAATTTCCATGTTACAACTGCATATGTAAAATTTAATATTGTCCCGTGTTAGAAGAAGAGTGATTAAGCTGAACAAGCACTGGGGTATTCCCCCTAGCACACTATACTCTATAGCCCCTAACGACAGTGGTCACTATACTCTATAGCCCCTAACGACAGTGGTCACTATACTCTATAGCCCCTAATGGCAGTGGTCACTATACTCTATAGCCCCTAATGGCAGTGGTCACTATACTCTATAGCCCCTAATGGCGGTGGTCACTATACTCTATAGCCCCTAATGGCAGTGGTCACTATACTCTATAGCCCCTAACGGCAGTGGTCACTATACTCTATAGCCCCTAACACTATACTCTATAGCCCCTAACGGCAGTGGTCAGCAAAACAACATGAACTAATACTTGCTATCAGATACGAGACACGAAGCACGATCAAGATAACAAACCCCCAGGCAGTCTCCAATTAAGGCTACCAGCAGTGAGTTCACGTGATATTCGCGCCACGTGTTTCAACATCACTATGTGCATAGCTACTAACCGACAGAGGCGGTTGTCTGGGCTTCGGCTGCCGGTGTTTCTTCCTTGTCGTCATGGTCGGCTACAATGGATCTGCTGCACACAACGCATGTACCTTCTGGAACGTGGGCTGTGCACACAGTAAAAAGAGTAAGTAGTAAACACAGTACAAAAGTAGATCCAGGTGAGAACAAGAAGCTGAACAAGACCGGACCTGACTTTGTCACGTACAATGTATGCTTGCGTTGCTCGGAGGTATTTTCTCGCATGGTTCAGAGTTCTAGAATACTAAGGACAAGTCAGCGGTAAGTAGGCAGGTAGGCAAGCAAGCAGTCAGGTAGGTAGGCAGGTAGATTCTAGGCACTTAGGTAAAGGGAGCCCATCTTCACTTCAAGTTAGGAGGTGTTTGGCACGCTGCTCCATCAAGTTGGAAACGGAAGTGTTGGCGTCCATCTCTGTTCAGTCATTGACTTGGCGCCGTCCAACTTTCAGTACCGGCTAGCTAGGCCAGTGAGCTAGGCCAGTGAGCTAGGCCAGTGAGCTAGGCCAGTGAGCTAGGCCAGTGAGCTAGGCCAGTGAGCTAGGCCAGTGAGCTAGGCCAGTGAGCTAGGCCAGTGAGCTAGGCCAGTGAGCTAGGCCAGTGAGCTAGGCCAGTGAGCTAGGCCAGTGAGCTAGGCCAGTGAGCTAGGCCAGTGAGCTAGGCCAGTGAGCTAGGCCAGTGAGCTAGGCCAGTGAGCTAGGCCAGTGAGCTAGGCCAGTGAGCTAGGCCAGTGAGCTAGGCCAGTGAGCTAGGCCAGTGAGCTAGGCCAGTGAGCTAGGCCAGTGAGCTAGGCCAGTGAGCTAGGCCAGTGAGCTAGGCCAGTGAGCTAGGCCAGTGAGCTAGGCCAGTGAGCTAGGCCAGTGAGCTAGGCCAGTGAGCTAGGCCAGTGAGCTAGGCCAGTGAGCTAGGCCAGTGAGCTAGGCCAGTGAGCTAGGCCAGTGAGCTAGGCCAGTGAGCTAGGCCAGTGAGCTAGGCCAGTGAGCTAGGCCAGTGAGCTAGGCCAGTGAGCTAGGCCAGTGAGCTAGGCCAGTGAGCTAGGCCAGTGAGCTAGGCCAGTGAGCTAGGCCAGTGAGCTAGGCCAGTGAGCTAGGCCAGTGAGCTAGGCCAGTGAGCTAGGCCAGTGAGCTAGGCCAGTGAGCTAGGCCAGTGAGCTAGGCCAGTGAGCTAGGCCAGTGAGCTAGGCCAGTGAGAATAGGTGCCAGTGTGTTTGTACATGCTGGTATCAGGGACTCTATATGTGATGAGGACAGCTTTACCTGCAGACTACACGGTCCTGAATGCGCTCATCATGACATTCACACATAGCAGCCATTTTCGGATTGCGAAGTACAGGAGTTAAAAATGACACAACACTTGGGTAATGTAATGCGTGTAGCAATGCCTGGTGCAGGTCCAATACGTACCGCCATTAACCAAGGGCAGGCCCTTTGGCTCCCAGGCTATTTGCTTTTCATCGAAGAATTCCAGGAGCTGTAGGGAGAACAACCGGAATGTTCCTTGGCTGGCCGTGGAATGGGCAAGCGACGTTGACACGGCTATTTCCGAGATATGCAGAAGTAGACTGGGGCCTGGGATAACACAACGTACAGCAAACAAGACGGTCATGGCACGGGGATAGATGCTATGACTGTGTTTCTCATTGCTCAGATGTAGCCATGCAGAAGATGCCATATGATTGTATGTCAGCACAAGCTACTTTAATTGACTAAAATAGCAGAATAGCTAGGGAGAAGATATTAACCACCATCGCAGTCCAGGTTGTGCTCAGGGCAGACTCTGAACAATGCCGCGGATGATTAGCTCACCTGGAAGAAGATGGTTACCACCCGGCGTGAAGCTTGATGTTGGCGACTAGCAGAACAAAACAAGACAGAGCGGGACACATGACTTCAAAAGAAAACCAGAGACTTTTCCAGTAATCACGAGTTACGGTTTCCCCAGGCTTTCTGACTCTATCAGTAGCATAATATTATATTGCTGGCTGCACTCATGGAAACTTGGCTGGTCTACGTGATGAACTGCTAAAGGAGAAAACGACAGGTTCAGAAGTAGGTCAATACAGCATCATACCAGTACGGATTGCTTTCAAGTTCTATTAACTTGCTTGGCGAGGACATGTATGCTACAACTTTTTTTCTTTTCTTCTTTTGTAGCACTTTGTACTTGACACGTACATGTATTGCAGTTCAACTCCAGTACATGCCGTTCCCTACACACACGGGCACGGCGATGCTTTCTCTTCTCTTACCTTGACTTGACCCGGGGTTGTTGGCAGAGCGAACGGAACACAGATGCCAAGGTCACGGAGCTGAATTTGCAGCAGGTAGGAGGTGGACTGTGCATCATCCTGTTGTTTGTGACCGAAAAGAGCAATCACTATACGAGTCACAAACACATACTCTTGTATAGCTATTGTTTGAATGCCACGGTCAAGGCCAGAGCATACTGCAAACAATACAATACAATCATGAAGTTGAAGACACCACTGCAGCTGTACTTATGGATACCGCCAACCATGCATCGACTAGGCGCCATGCGCGAACTGATGGTGGTGGTGGTGGTGAAAAGGAGAGCTCTGTGCCAGAACTTTGCAGCCTAGAGAGCGTGTGTGGGCAGGCGTGTGTTTACCGCCATATTGCCAGGTGTGTCTTTACCACCATATTAAAAAAATTATCAACCATAAATACAATACATGTACATGTACAAGAAGGAATTGACTGAGGATCTGTTGCACCTGGTGACACCTAGTACAAAGTAACAGCAAGTGCATGAAGTCCTCCGATCCTATCCAACAGCGGACGGCTCAAGAATCACCTGTGCTCTCTGCCTCCATTTGTATATGGGCTTATCTACAGCTGGGGCAAGTGAAATCCATTGACGTCTCAATGGTGCGAAGCGATTTGGACGATCTCGCTAATGCTTCGAAGTACATGTATATGCAAGGCCTTCTGACCTTCAGTGCTGCACGTATACATGTAGATGAGCCCAGATTTCACTTGCAACAGCTGTGCATACATGTTGACTAGCCACAGATACCTACTTGTGGTGCAAGTTCAACATCCTCAGCTGGCTTCCTTTCCTTCGGCTGCTGCTGCTGCTGAGGATGTTGCTGTTGTTGCTGTTGCCATACTTTCAGAGCAGCTTGATAGTTCAGCCACAGGCGGAGAGCTTCAGGCAACACACACAATGGGACACAGCTGCATCAGTTCCTGCTATGAATGCTCGTACAATTTATCGGACGACAGTAACCAATCTATGAGATGAGTGTATTTTTCTGTAGAACTGACGGCAGAGCAGTTATTGTCCCTACAGCCCTGCACGCTAGTAGATAACTAGGAGTAAACTAGCCTTCTATTCGATCATCCCGTTGCATACAGCACCATAAATCCTCTCCTCGTACAGCGAATTCAAGTACTCTTTTAGCAATGACAACGGCAACACGGACACCTACCTGGATCAATGGCTTTCGTTGAGCACCAAATGCGAGGTGATGAGAGATTGGCGAGAACGGTGCTGAGGCTCGACGACTTGTCGCCAGACCGGTCGTGTGCAGAGCTTTCACCCTACAGCCAATCGACAAACATGAACACTTCACTGACCATGATCTTAGTTGATCTATGTAACAAGAACCTCCGGATGTGGACGGTGTCAGGTCCACGTTATATCAGCATATGTATTTAGAAAAGAGATCCACCAATTCATAGTGTGCAACCAAACGATGTCCAGCTCGCAACAGGTGTGTGTGTGCGTGTGTGTGTGTGTGTGTGTGTGTGTGTGTGTGTGTGTGTGTGTGTGTGTGCTGGAGACCCACTACAGCCAGTATTTGTAGAAATCCCGCTATGCCAAGTTACCTGCAGCACCACTACTACTGGGCCATCTCATCAAGTGAACTTGAGGCAAAAAGCCAAAGGCACAAGAACGAATGAAGTACAGCAGAGCAGGGATAGAAAAGCACAAAGACGATTAGCCAGAAACAAGTGAAGCCTGAAATTAGTTATTTTCCTAAGTGCGACTGCGCTTGCCTCCGAAAAAAAACTCTTTAGGCCAAAACAAATAATGACCTTGTTTCCGGTCGCCCGACCGGGCCACTTTTTCCCAAATTCTGAAACTTTTTTTGGTCCCAAATGTATACAAACGGTGGCAATGCCATGTGTGCAAGTGCACTCAACGAGTCATAACTCAGTCAAATCTCAACCGAATTCCACAATCGAAACACCTACAAGGTAGCAGAGATTCTCAGCTGTCGGCTCGAAAACCTATGGGGTCGATACGAGCTAGAATAACGGAGCTGGAAGGACTCGAACTGTTTGCTTGATTTCTCAGGATGTACGAAAACAGGAATACACCACATGCTGTACAAGAACAGTGAGTCAGTCAACTTTGACATTGATCCTTGCCATGATATACATGTATGTACAATGTACATGTACATGGCATTGTGTATGACATTGTGCTCTTGTCCATCTATACCACAACGATTGAGGAACCAAAAAAAGTATCCAAAAAAAGTTTCATTCCGGCCGACCGAGTCTCCTTTTTGAGGGGTTGCCGACCGGAAACAAGCCTATTTTTTGTTTTGGCCTTACGGTAAGTTTTGAAGTCTGAAGAAAATATTAAACAGTCTCTGCTGGGATGACAGCTACACCATAGGTCAGTGGTTAGAGCATCGTCGGCCTCAACTGCTCAAGCGAAAGTCCCTGGTTCGAGTCCTGGTGGTTACAGTCTGTTTTTCTTCAGACTCTTTTTCCGTTTCCAACAACCTCAAACTGATGAGTAACGTTATAGTTGGAGGTGCACTAGAACTAGCCATTGCTCTCATTAGAACTAGCCATTGCCCACACTAGACCTAGCCATTGCCCACACTAGCCATTGCCCACACTAGAACTAGCCCACACTAGACCTAGCCATTACCCACACTAGACCTAGCCATTACCCACACTAGACCTAGCCATTACTCACACTAGAACTAGCCATTGCCCACACTAGAACTAGCCATTGCCCACACTAGAACTAGCCATTGCCCACACTAGACCTAGCCATTACCCACACTAGACCTAGCCATTACTCACACTAGACCTAGCCATTACCCACACTAGAACTAGCCATTGCCCACACTAGACCTAGCCATTACTCACACTAGAACTAGCCATTACCCACACTAGACCTAGCCATTGCCCACACTAGACCTAGCCATTACCCACACTAGACCTAGCCATTACTCACACTAGAACTAGCCATTGCCCACACTAGAACTAGCCATTGCCCACACTAGAACTAGCCATTACCCACACTAGAACTAGCCATTACTCACACTAGAACTGGCCATTACCCACACTAGACCTAGCCATTACCTACACTAGACCTAGCCATTACCCACACTAGACCTAGCCATTACCCACACTAGACCTAGCCATTACCCACACTAGACCTAGCCATTACTCACACTAGAACTAGCCATTGCCCACACTAGACCTAGCCATTACTCACACTAGAACTAGCCATTGCCCACACTAGACCTAGCCATTACCCACACTAGACCTAGCCATTACCCACACTAGACCTAGCCATTACCCACACTAGACCTAGCCATTACTCACACTAGACCTAGCCATTACTCACACTAGAACTAGCCATTGCCCACACTAGAACTAGCCATTACTCACACTAGAACTAGCCATTACTCACACTAGAACTAGCCATTGCCCACACTAGACCTAGCCATTACCCACACTAGACCTAGCCATTACCCACACTAGACCTAGCCATTACCCACACTAGAACTAGCCATTACCCACACTAGACCTAGCCATTACCCACACTAGAACTAGCCATTACCCACACTAGAACTAGCCATTACCCACACTAGACCTAGCCATTAGCCACACTAGACCTAGCCATTACCCACACTAGAACTAGCCATTACCCACACTAGACCTAGCCATTACCCACACTAGAACTAGCCATTACCCACACTAGAACTAGCCATTACCCACACTAGACCTAGCCATTACCCACACTAGACCTAGCCATTACTCACACTAGAACTAGCCATTGCCCACACTAGAACTATCCATTGCCCACACTAGAACTAGCCATTACCCACACTAGTGTAGTATTGGCGCACCGTAGCGTAGGAGCACGTGACACTTTGCATGCATGACCTGTCATCTATAGAAACCTGTACGCCGGCCTGATAGACACGCTTTTTGCACACCACAGTCAATAGCCTGAATGCTTCACAGATTTTATTCTTCCTCCTGCCGCCACTCTGTCTGGTCCACACACATAATAATAGATATCACTTTTCCTACACTGTCTCCCTTGCTTTAGCAATTAGTTATGGATTCCGTTACACCGCTGGCGTCTCTTTCTCTTTCTTCATTCGCTACCTAAACATAACGTTTCCATTGTTTCTCTTCGATATTCTTTCCGCTAGTTCTCGCTGTCTTTTCCCGTAGTCTCGATCTTTCTGCCGCAAAGCCCGCTGTTCTCCGGCTAGCTATTCCGTACTCTACGCTGTCCATCTCGATCTAGCGATCCTTCTCCCTGCTCCGCTGCGCTGTTTTATCGATCTCCCCGATAGCTAACTTCCTCTATAAATTGCTAGTGTTCACAATCATTCTTTGCCTTTCCGTGATTCAGACCAAGAGAAGTACGTTCCCGAGAGTTAGGCTCTCTCGACCCCGAGTTCAACTGTGAAAGTCTGCGACTGTGTCGTAGCATTGATTGTGATCGTAGTTTAGAGAGAGAGACTTTGAGTGCATGAACTGTTGATATCGCCGATATCACACTGGTGGCAGCGGTGGTTCGTCCTCTACGTGCTTTCTTCTTTAGTCCTCTTGCTGTCTCGGTCGCTACTTGCTTGCTTCTCTGTCCACTTAGCGGTCCTCGTTCCTCTTGTCCTGAATCTCGTTCATCACTCAGCGCTACCGGTCTGCGGACTAAAGGAAAGGTAAACCAGCTAACGGTTACAGTGGATGTGTGGTCGGAGCGTTGCTCCAACTACGGTGCCCCCACAGTGCAAGCTCATTGCCATTGGTTGAAGAACTTCTGGATACTCTAACTATTACTGACTCCGAGTCGGAGCATACAGTGATACTACGCATTCACCCTGTTTGATTAGTGTCAGCCGTTCAAGTCCAATCCAAGGTCGGCAAGGATGATGATCCGGAGCGTGGCGTTCGTCCTCGCCATCACGGCCGGCATCGCATTTGGAACACAAGACCAACCTGATACCACGCCGGTGCCTCCCGAGGGCCATTTCCTTCACAACTTCATCATTCGGCCGCCTGAAGTGCCAGTCGCTCCTGCACAGTATACGGCCCAGATTAACCCGACCTGCGATGACGACCTACCCGTACCGCTGGCTGGCCCGCCGCCTCGCTATAACCTCCGGCCTCGGAATGCACTCCAGCGACCTCACCGCTATAGACAACCATAAATTGTAAGATCATTTTAAACGTCATCGTAAGACACCCTTATCTATATTGTTTTCCCTGCTTCATTTTTCTTTCATGTTTACTACCTGTATACTTTGAACACGAGGGCGTGTTCTCAAGAAAACAAGGTGTGGTGTAGTATTGGCGCACCGTAGCGTAGGAGCACGTGACACTTTGCATGCATGACCTGTCATCTATAGAAACCTGTACGCCGGCCTGATAGACACGCTTTTTGCACACCACAGTCAATAGCCTGAATGCTTCACAGATTTTATTCTTCCTCCTGCCGCCACTCTGTCTGGTCCACACACATAATAATAGATATCACTTTTCCTACACTGTCTCCCTTGCTTTAGCAATTAGTTATGGATTCCGTTACACCGCTGGCGTCTCTTTCTCTTTCTTCATTCGCTACCTAAACATAACGTTTCCATTGTTTCTCTTCGATATTCTTTCCGCTAGTTCTCGCTGTCTTTTCCCGTAGTCTCGATCTTTCTGCCGCAAAGCCCGCTGTTCTCCGGCTAGCTATTCCGTACTCTACGCTGTCCATCTCGATCTAGCGATCCTTCTCCCTGCTCCGCTGCGCTGTTTTATCGATCTCCCCGATAGCTAACTTCCTCTATAAATTGCTAGTGTTCACAATCATTCTTTGCCTTTCCGTGATTCAGACCAAGAGAAGTACGTTCCCGAGAGTTAGGCTCTCTCGACCCCGAGTTCAACTGTGAAAGTCTGCGACTGTGTCGTAGCATTGATTGTGATCGTAGTTTAGAGAGAGAGACTTTGAGTGCATGAACTGTTGATATCGCCGATATCACACTAGAACTAGCCATTACTCACACTAGAACTGGCCATTACCCACACTAGACCTAGCCATTACCCACACTAGACCTAGCCATTACTCACACTAGAACTAGCCATTGCCCACACTAGAACTAGCCATTGCCCACACTAGAACTAGCCATTACCCACACTAGAACTAGCCATTACTCACACTAGAACTGGCCATTACCCACACTAGACCTAGCCATTACCCACACTAGACCTAGCCATTACCCACACTAGACCTAGCCATTACCCACACTAGACCTAGCCATTACCCACACTAGACCTAGCCATTACTCACACTAGAACTAGCCATTGCCCACACTAGACCTAGCCATTACTCACACTAGAACTAGCCATTGCCCACACTAGACCTAGCCATTACCCACACTAGACCTAGCCATTACCCACACTAGACCTAGCCATTACCCACACTAGACCTAGCCATTACCCACACTAGACCCAGCCATTACCCACACTAGAACTAGCCATTACCCACACTAGAACTAGCCATTACCCACACTAGACCTAGCCATTAGCCACACTAGACCTAGCCATTACCCACACTAGAACTAGCCATTACCCACACTAGACCTAGCCATTACCCACACTAGAACTAGCCATTACCCACACTAGAACTAGCCATTACCCACACTAGACCTAGCCATTACCCACACTAGAACTAGCCATTACCCACACTAGAACTAGCCATTACCCACACTAGACCTAGCCATTACCCACACTAGAACTAGCCATTACCCACACTAGAACTAGCCATTACCCACACTAGACCTAGCCATTACCCACACTAGAACTAGCCATTACCCACACTAGAACTAGCCATTACCCACACTAGACCTAGCCATTACTCACACTAGAACTAGCCATTACCCACACTAGACCTAGCCATTAGCCACACTAGACCTAGCCATTACCCACACTAGAACTAGCCATTACCCACACTAGAACTAGCCATTACTCACACTAGAACTAGCCATTACTCACACTTTGCTGGTATGTACCTTGCGGTTTACTATACATGTACATTTCTTTGCTGATAGTAAAACGCCAGCGTTGTGTGGCTTGTACACCAACCCACGCCTACCTTGAGCATATTCTGCAGCGAGACAGATGTCGTGAAGTACGCCAGGGTTTGAAAGCCATCCTCTCTGCGTTCTGCTGCCGCATCATCACTGTCCTCTGAAAAGAAGAGGCCAGTCTAAAAGCAAAACAATCCATTGAGAAAAACACAGAGGAGGCCAAATGTCTCTACGAAGGCACTGCTAAAAACAAAACAAAAAACACACACAAATGAGGCCAGCTAACCGGCAAAGAGACAGTATAGTACTGCACAGTACAACAGCATCTCTCCTTTGTGGTGGGGGTGACATCACTGATTTCCAGGAGAGACCAAAGGAACATTGTGATTTCCGTGTCGAAGACTTCATGCGTGAAATGATTCAACACTATCCTTCACACCCACGTCTTCAGCCATGTTATAATTATGCTCAGTCGCAACGGTTACTATAGAGTGACCCTGCTTACTTCAACTACACAGTGCTCTCATCAACAACACTGATAACGCAACACGCATGCTGTACATTCTACTAACCGTCAAAGCATTGCCAAGCTTGGCTGTGAGAGAGAAATTAATCTTGCCTCGGTAATGACGGTCATGTGAACCTGTGTGGCACACAAAGAAAGGAAAAACCCAACTGGCATGCATCAGACTGTTGGTGTGCTGCTTGCTCTACCAAGGCAACCCAGCCCCCTCCTTGTAAGCACCCTAGTCGATTTGCACCCACATAGACACATGATTACCCCACTCACACTCCACAACACTCCTCTCTATATGTAGAAGAGGCATTGGCATACTAATACTAGGTGGTGGCATACCACCACCATCAGTGTGTACTGCTTACCAGAGCCATAGCCTTGCTGGGCTAGATCACCGGACACCGATCCAGTGCGCACCACGATACTAGCTGAAGACGGAGTAGACGCGGTCAGCTGAATACCCTGAAAACAGCACGTACGGCAGCAGCAACAGCAGCAGCACAACATGATTATGCACATCCGTTTGTATGCACGTAAACACAGCAGTAGTAGACGTGTCGGCATAACTGAAAGTGTGCATCGGGGATAGTCTGCAGCACTGTATAGTATCATCAGTCACACCATTTCATTCTTATCCTCACCAAACCTCACCTGCCACTTGAAACGTAGGATATTCACGACTCGGTGGCGTGCCCTCAGTAGTGGATCTTCTTTCAGCTGCTGCTTCATCTGCGGTGGGGCTAGCTTACCAGTCTCAAGTACTGAAGCAGCCAGCAGCTCGGCACTTTTTTCCTCCCATATTCGTTTCGCTTCCTCGAATTCCTTCCGTAAGAAAATCGGAGACGTAAGCAAAGAGACATACGTACAGGGGTTTAAGGAAGTGTTCATCATATGGCTAAGCAAGGCATCGTTCAATGCTATACAGTCTGTGATCCCTTCTGAGCATGGCTATGCGCAAACAAATTTCATTAGCCTACTCGAGCTCAACTGATGAGGGGTGAATTCCCCGAAACACTGTGTACTGAGCAGGGAGTGGTGCTTTCTTGCAGGTTTGCCAAGTGGAAGGTTCGATGGACGTCTCGTGTGCTCTGGATGGCAGTCTTGAGTCAGTCCAGTGTCAGCTTCGGGAAGCGTGAGCTTCACGTAGGAGCAACCAACTTCATCTACCAGTGCTACTGCCACTGGAGTCGCTAGGATTTTTGATTGGATTTTCGGATTGGACTTCGGTTTTTTGGATTTTTCAGAATTTCAAGTGCACGTAATTGGGATGACTATCATTATACCATTCTCCTGGTGCTGAAGGCTATCAATTTAGTCAGCCTGAGTTAGCCAGTACCGTGGCACTGTGCAGTACCTTGCTGAAGCTCTTCTGCATGACGGCAAGTTGGTAGACAGCGTCAGTTGTCAGACGATGCGTGAACCTGTCCATGTTGATCACCAGGGTCTGGCGTAGCTGTGCCAAGCGCCGCACGGACACACGAGGGCCGGGTGCACGCTCGGACAGCCTTCGCACCGCCGTGGCCACAGTCGACGGCAAGACGAGCTTGATCGTGGATGGCGGTTGCCGCGGGACCTGAACGAACAGCACAGCGCACTGGTCGTGAGAACGGATTCAACAATGCAAACACAGCGCTTTTGCCAGGCTTGCATGCCTTTCTACACAAACCGCAGTTAGAATTTCAAGAATTTCAGGTCATAATGGTCATGCAGGTTGCACGCTTTCTGTCCTCTGTCATGTCGTGCACGTGCATATGTACTTCAAGTACTACAGACACAGCAATCATATTCATGTATCTGACTTACATCGGCGTGGCATGCAATGGTGTGCGACTGGATCTGGGCAAAGAGACTGTGCTCCTGGTCGGAGATGATGCCGTTGCACTCAATGTTCTGCACCTGAAAACAAACGTAGAAACACAGAGATTCAAAGAGAACGGTCCGGCCAGTAACTCTGAGCTCCGCTGACAACACCTAACAAGATCAAAACAGCTAGCGGTCCGGAGATTGAGAAACACAGAGAGTATACAGGCAATCAGAGAACACACGTTAGTGACAAGGGAGAAGCACAGGATGCATCATTCTGGCTGGCATCGGGTATAGAAACTATTCAACCGGACAGAACTTTACTGTACAGAAAGGCGGAGCAGCAAATACAAAAACAAAATTGAAGTAACAGAACATGGATTGAAGTACGTGTACATGTACATGTACACTGGAGCTCATACCTCGTAGGCTATGCTTGCACGATGCACAAACTTAACCTCCATGACTAGCTTTGCAAGCACAAACGTTAGGACGTGATCTCCGGCAAACAGCTTGTCGGTCTTCGTGCCAGCACCGACATCACCCGTGCTGCCAGCCCCAGGAACATTGCCACTGCCCCCGCTGGTACCAGCACGTGTACTACTCTCACCACCAGCGCTGGTGGGAATAGCACCACTGCTACCTGCCGTGACTTCCTGCTGGTGATGCTGACGATGCTGGTGATGGTGCCGCTGCTGGTGCTGCTGGTGCTGCTGTTGTTGCTGGTGATGCTGTTGTTGGCGTTGGTGATGCTGAGTATCATGGGAGTCAGCTCCAGCACTCATCAGTGCAAAATGATCACCAACCCTGCAGAATAGGACACACGACGCCACAAAGTCCTATCTACTTCCTTCCTACACGTTGGATATTGGATCATAAGATTGGTATAACTTGCACACCATACGCGCCATGTACTTGTTTTAGCTACATTACATCCATGGTTAGTGCAAGCAACAAGGGCATTTAGAGAAGGACATTCAAAGAAAAACATTTAGAGAAGGACATTCAGAGAGCACACAGTACGATGTATCCGGGTTGTCTGCTTTTCCATTCGCACATGTACTTGAAGTAGACCCATAGTGAAGTGTAGTGTGGTGCAGTACTATAAAAGCAGAAACTTTCGATGGTGTAATATTTTAGGTGTTCTCCAAAATAGGCGGTTCAGTGGAGGGAAATTTTCGTTAAACCCGTTTTCCAGGTAAGTGTACTAATACTAGTACCAGAATTTTCGGTGCGTTTTATTTTTGGTAAAAAATTCGGCACCGAAGTTACGGAAAATAAAACACCACCGAAAAGTTCTGCTTTTACAGTAAATGAATTGGATGCACACCTCCTATACCACTATACCATGTGCTGCTCACCGTATCCAGTGCTGCATACTGGTGATGGCCGTCACGATCTCACTGCTGCTGTGATTCAGGAGGCGTGCAACGGTGACAAACGGCCGCGGTGCATGCAGCCTGAGCGCACTGCAGTGGAAGCGGTGGGTGTGATGGCGGTTCTTTTGCATGGACATCAGGTACACCACGTCACTGACGGTGGCTGACAGCAATGGTGTGAAGCCACTGCAAGGCACACAATGGCAATGCAACAACAGCTTGCCTGGCTCAACAGCAGAAGTCGAATCAGCCAGAAATTTAACAGGGATTTCGAAGCTATAGCCGCAGGTCTGGACACAGAGCTCAGTGGTTTATACAGGTTGTGACTGCAGGCACGTACATGGCATACGCAAGCCTTGCTTGATAGTTTAACATGTCGCAACATGTAAGATGTATTAGCAAACAATGACAATCATTCTAATTCCTTACTTTCCGCTATAAGCTGCAATCTCCAGGGAGACTGATGGCACACTGGCTGAACACGACAGACCATTCCCTGCCGGGTAGAACAGAAACCAACACAGCACAACACACTGTTGTAGACCGGCGTCAACAGGTTGATGAGAGGGAAAGGTTGAACACAGGTACAGACAGAGACTGGCAATGGATGTTCTGAAACCCCCGTGCACCCACTCCTTTACACGGGGATGATAATTCTACTTGAAGTAGTCAATGGTAAGTATGGAGTGGTAAAATACCGGTATTTTACGACTCCCTGATGGTAAGTATGGAACCCTACATGTAGACTGTAGTAGATGACAGCAGATTTCGGTAAAGATTATCATGCGTAATCATTTTTTTTCTCTAAAGGTCTCAATTTCGACGCAAAGGCAAATGTTGTTGTGGTATGGACACTTGGGCAGTGTGTCAGTGAATGTAGTAATGATTCCAACTGTTTTCCGTCACTGGTGCAGTATAGCTGATGGCCGGCAGGCATCTATCATATCCACCTTACCTTTAGAGGGTTTGGATGGAACATTGCTTGAGTCAGCTGAGCCCGGGCTGGATGGAATGATGGTGTGTACTTCGCCAGAACTGGCAACAAAATGGCATGGCTCCACGCACACTGATGCCACTGAACGGCCGATGTTCCACGTCAGGCTTAACTTGTTTACAACGAACGTGAAGACGGTGCTCTCGGCTGAGAGTGGTTCTGGTGATGCAGCGACCGTGGTGGTCAGGTCAGAGCCAGGAGACTCAGCTGCTTCCCTATTGTCATCAACTGACTGGCCATCGGCCTCACCACGTACAGTCTCAGTGGGGTTTTCCGCATCGCCATGCCCAACAGCAGCAGGTTGATGCTGTGGTCTGGAGTCCGGCTGATCGCCCTGCCGTGGCTGTCCAGGCACAAGCAGGAACTCAAGAGCAGTTTCAAGGTTACTGGCCACACCGTCATCATCACTGAGATCAGAGTCAGCAAGCAGATCGTCATCATCATCACTATCGTCCATGTCCAGTAAGCTGTTGAGACTGGCGGCACCGAGTGACTGCTTCCCGCTTCGGAGACGATTTGACCGTCCACGCGTGTCAGTCTCATCTTGCCCCTCGCCCTCACGGCTTTCGTCCAATGCAGTGCCCATTTGCAGGACGCGCAGCGCTTGCCACTCCATCTGCTGGCGTGCCATACGACGTGAGAAGACCGTTATGAAGTACTGCACTGATTGCCAGCTGGCTTTGTTCCCACGTGATGGACTAGCAGCACTGGATGGCGCTGGTGACTGGAGTGGGGCCAGGACAGGCTGTGCCCACACCGGCTCTGCCACTGACATGGACTGGGAAATGTACTGGTCCTTGGATGCAGCCAGAAACGCTGCCATGTCCAGTAGGTCCTGACTGGGAACAATCGAGACCTCTCCGAGCGAGGCCAGCGCTCGGATGCTTCGCTTCAGCGTCAGCTGTTTGCGCATCTTCTGTGGCGAGCTGCCGGAAATTTCACCTTTGGCAAAGAGCACCGCTTCTTCACCAGAAACTGGCACGGGAAGTTCAGTGGTCGTCAATTCTTGTTCAGACCAGAAGTTCAGAGAAGATGCCTGGCACGAGATGACCTTGTGCACTTGGTCGGGCAAAGACACGGATCCCGGATTGTACCACGGACAAACATGAACCGAGATCTCGGATATCTCAAACTTTGCCATGTGATTTTCGGGCACCTGTGGTGGGTCGTTCTTGGTCAAATACTTACGAACCTCAGCTGGTAACTGCGCACCTAGAGTTTCCGCCATGCAGCGCAGATCTGCGGTAAGTTGCACAAGCTTGGTGTGGGCAATGTTGGGAATTGCCATCAAGTAGTCGGTCTTGGTCGCTTTAGGCCGCGAGCGAACTGTGTTGGGTTTGCGATGGTGGCTGACCAGTAGAGGCGTGGCATCACTGCTTCGATAGCTCAGGGTATCGTGAGGCTCCCGGGCTGCCAACCAGCCAACGCATTGTGCCACAATGCCACTCTTGACATCTGTCAGCTCCAGAGAGTCACCGTCCTCGCTGGATAAATGCGGCACACATCTACCCAGCACATGTTTTGGCATGTGATACAGTGCACGTACAATAAGCAAATCACTTGCGGTGCAGCACAAGCGGGAGAATGGCTTTCGAATGTGAAGCACGGTCAGCTGCATTGGCAAAAAAAAACATGAACAAAAGGCAAACACAATTGCAATTTCCAGTGTCAGACCTCCAATACCAAGTCTCTTGAAGGCAAAGTGTCCCACTTTATTTCTATGAACTGAATGCGCGGGATTGTATGCCACTGCATTTGATAGCGTGTATGCTACACAAGACTATGTCTTCAGCTCCGCGGGAATCAGTTTGAAAGCAGCTTTCAAATACCTGTGGAGCCCAGGACAAAACGAACCATAATAGCAAAAGAAACATGAAAAACATTTACGAACTACAGAAGCACCCCCTCCCCTCTCTCCCTCTCTCCTCAAACTAACCTCATCAACAGCAGCATTACGGATGATCAACTCTTCTAACAAGCCACAAATGGCATGTGATCTGATTCGCTCTGCTTCAGCCACCAGCGTAACTGCTCTAGCCACAATCGACGTGATCGGATCTCGCCAAATATCCAGGACAAGGTTAGCAGCGGAGAGGACATTGATCGGCAGCTCTCCACTGGCTACAACAGCACTGGGCCTGGGAGCCGATGGTAGCTGTACCCAGACCTCTCCCACCGAGCCATAGACTTCGGCACTGCTGGCCATGTCCGTGTCTAGTGGCTGAGAGGACGCCATGGATGTTGGCCGTGTGGACGCCGGGGAAAGTGGAGAGCTGACGTCCACACCATGGTCACCATCACCGTCTATGATGGGTAGCCGATCATCCTGGTTAAAGCTGTACATGGCTGCTGGGTTGGCAAATACAGACTGTTGTCGGTGGGCCGAGAAAGTACCGACTGAACTAGACACATGTATGGTTGCCTCGGACTGTGAGTCATGCGACGAAGCAGAGCAGCTTTGACGCAACACCGCGCCATGAGCGCGCTCGATACCAAACTCGCATAGAATACTGCTCTGCACTTCTCCACTTTCGCTGAACTGGCCGAACGGTGAGTCCAGCGAGAAGCAGACGCGAGACGCGTCCGGTGACAGTCCCGCAGCATGTTTGTCCTGTGAGCAGAGCTGCATGTGCACCGACTTGACATCGACGCTGGCCAGAATATCCTGCGGTAGCTTACGCTGGACAGGCTCAGGGAACACCAGCGGCTCTGCCTGCTTGGAAAGCTGTTTATCAAGATCTGGTGTTGACAGCCGTGCCAGGAGCTTCGCCTCCTCGATCACAAGACATATTACGGAGACCTGGGAAGAGCGTGTTCCTCCATGCACGGCAGTGGACGCTTGCAGGATACGACAGGACACAGTGGGCAGGTCCACAGTGAGGGTGGTGCGCTTGGGCACTTCAGATTCGTTGGAAGACGAGACGGATGCAGTGTGAGCAGCATGTTCACTATGCTTGGCCAACGTTGAGTCATGTATCCAGTCCACAGTGGACGCTAGAGTGGTTGTACTGTCAAACGATGGTATGACTTGTGAATACCTGTATACCATTGATCAAACCAAACCAACAAGAAAGGATAACAGTAGGACACATACAATTGCAAGCAGACATACAACCACCTATTTACACTACAGGACAAGTGGCAAAGCCGTACCTTCAGCCAGAAATGAACGTAATATCACCGGGTGAGTGCACACTGCTTAAAGCAGTATCTCACTTCTGTCTGTCTGTCTGTCTGTCTGCCTGCCTGCCTGCCTGCCTGCCTGCCTGCCTGCCTGCCTGCCTGCCTGCCTGCCTGCCTGCCTGCCTGCCTGCCTGCTAGTCTATCTATCTGTGCAAAGTTCGCGGTGATTATCGCAGTTAGAGCACTTTGACTTGATGCGTTTGTCGTTTATTAGACTTAATTGCCCCCCCCCCCTCCCTCCCACGCACGCACGCACGCACGCACGCACACACACACACACACACACATGCCCTTACCTTTGCATAGCTGCCACTACAAGTGGTGTGATCAGCAAATCAATACCACTGGGTACTGCAACTGCAGCACGCACTTCTCTCGCCACTTTCTCCACATTCGCTGCAGGTTCCTGTTCACTGAGGACTTCAGCCTCTTCCGGAATAGTGCTTGCGTGCACATTGGGATGATGTTGGGTGCCGGTTTCCACTTCACCTGTGGCTGGACCATCGGAGGCACTACTTGCAGAGCCCCGGCCAGGTAAGGACACTGATCGGCCATGACCAAGTCGCTGACCAACACCAGGAGCACCGGTAGGGCGTGTGAGCGGCATCGTTCCACTGTGTGTCGGACTGCCGCATGTGCTGCGAGTTAACACGGGAGTCCGCTGCACCAGCTTTGTCGGGTGGAGCGGCGTCGAGGTGTAGGACTTTCTCGGGCGCCTTCGGAAAGATTCCCGGCGGGCATCGTGAAGTTCGTTGGTGGGCGACATCGCTCTTTCCGTGCCGTTGTCCCCGTACACGGCATCCAGGCATGCAGCGTAGTGCATCGTTATAGCACCGTCATCATGCATGGACAGGCGGCTGTCTCGTCTTGTCGCCTCCAGCGGTGTTGGATTCGTCGTGCTGTGCTCACCGAGCAAGGCAGCATCGATTGCCTTGCTATCCACGCATGTACTCTCGCCGCCCACAACATCATCACTGGAGACCTCACCGGGCATAGATCGCTGGCCACTCAAGCTATTCAGACTGGCAAGGGCGGATACGAATGAGGACTCACTGGACGACTTCTCCTTGGACTTGCCCATGGAGTGGCGGCTCAGCCGTCGTAGCATCTGCCGGCGCAGCTGACTAGGCTTCAGGCTCGGAGTGGAGGCGTTGGTCTCAAATTCCTCGCAGGAGAAGAACGCCTCGCTTCCCGCTGTAGCTATGCTGGCCTTGCTCTGCGTTGAGACATGCGAGTAGCTATGCTGGTACAGCACTGGCTGACTGCCGCCGCCTCCACTGCCAGCCATCAACATCCTCTCGGCGACGAGTTGAGCAGCACTTGCCGAGTCCTCCAGATTAGATCCAAGGCGCCTGCGCCGTGCCGCATCCGCCGCTGTTACTCCGGCCGGAGCGGACCCGAAGCGATGGAGGCTATCATGGCGGGTAGAAGGTGTCGCCCCACCCACAGGCGTAATACTGCCGTCATGCTGCTCTGTAGCTTTGCTCACAACTGTACTGCCGTCATGCTGCTCTGCCAACTCATGTGCTTGTTCATTAACTTGATGATGCGGGCGACATGGTGATAGGTGTTCAGTGGGAACGGGAGTTACTCCTAGGTCTGATTGGCCACTGCTACTGGTGGAGGAGACTGACAACACGCGTGGGTAAACACCAGGTTGCTCCACCACACGCAAGCTTGACGAGTCACTCGAGGTGTCCGACAGTCCGGATAGGCTTTCTTCGGCAAACTCGCCGCCTTCGCCGGCCCCTTCGTCGCCATACGGACTCAGCCAAGCGCGTGTGAAGTTTGTCCATTCCTCCTGGTCTTCCTCGACCACCAGTCCATCATCATCTAGATGTGCAGAGCTGAACTGGCAGTTGCCACAGCAGCCACAGAACTCTTGGTTCTCCCACAGGAACCACAGGCGATGGGTAGACCGGTCGTGCTTGATGAGAAAGTCAAGCTGGACAGCAAGCAAAAAAAAATAGAAAGATAATGTTGGCAAATGTCAAGGGCATCTTTTGCAAGAGCAATCTATCAAGATCTTATGAACCCAGAATTTCAGATTTCGTACTGCAACTTGCCTACTCGTATTCCTCCATTCCAGCCATCTTCAGCACCATATCACCACCATATCACCACCATATCACCACCATATCACCACCATATCACCTCACTGCTGATGGAAACTTGTCAGTCTCCCCACAACCCACTTACCTGCTCTCTGACCAGTGGATACGGCTCCTTCATCCGCAGGTCAACACTGACTTCGGGCAGGTGTATGTTGCCAGCGTCGAGGAACTGGCTCGACTGGTTAGCATCGGGGCCGGAGCCGATCAGGCGGTTTTCTTGGACGTACTGCGTGAGCTGAAAGTCCAGCAGCTGCAGACTGTACCCTTCTGTGCACTCTGCATTGGCTAGTGTGCAGTTGGCCAGGCGAAATGGGCCACCCTGCACGCAACAGCAGATGCAAGGAGCGCACGACACCAGCATGCAAAGTGTATTGATATCACCTACCAAATATTATTTTCAATGAGACCCTTTCGTGGAGATTTGCGCCACCAGAAGAAGACCAATGATAGGTTTACACTGATCAGCATCAGCATGGCATCGCTGACTCTTGACAGTGCATGTTCAAGTTGAACACCAAACTAGACTGGATCACTACTGAGGCTCTAAGTATAACTATACAGCAAAGCTTACCTGAAGCAGGAGCTGACAGCCTGCCTCGACCACCTGGACGTGAATGCCCGGTGCAATCAATCTGATCATCGTGTACTTGAGCACTTCGGCACGGTCCGTCAGATTCTGTGGAAGTATGGTCTTCAGGTCACTGCCGAGTCTGGGTACACTGGGTTCCAGCGGAGGTGGCATCTTCAGCTGGTCTTCCTCGGCGATCATTTGCAGCAGGAATGGCTGGAGAAAGCCAAAGACTTGGTGCAGCTATGGGAAAAGAGGGCGGAGAAGTGCAAGACCGTCATGAATTGTATACACGGCAGGTACCGGTCAAAACGAGAGAGCTTGAAAGCTCAGGGCCCTCGCTATGCTTTTTCGCCTAGGTCACCATGCATGTTATTCAAACTAATGGAAGCTTTTTGCAATACAATGATAAAAATAAAAACCCGCTCGCCCTCCCCATTTTTTCTGAAAAAAAGGACGACCATGAAGTCTATTCTTTGGCTTGGCCTAACATGGGATTCGAACCCACACTGTCGCCCTGCATGCATTCCCCAATACACTTCGCATACATACACATTCTTCAAAGTTGCTTCACGTTATGATCTTGCACTTGGAAGCCCTATTTGAATAAGGTGGCCAGCTGTTTTAGATGGTACGGTACGGGACATGTGCAGGATAGCGCCAGGCATGCCGATGCGACGCCAGACACAAAACACAAAAAAATACCGAATTAAAGCGTTATGGCGTAATGATGCTAGGCATGATACCACATTATTAATAGCAGGGCTCTAGCCAGGTCAAAATAGTAGGGGGTGGGCATGGGAAACAGTTACCCTATATCCCATTTTTCCACTTTCCAATATTGTCTTGCCACACCAAATGCAACATATGGGGCAAATCCCTGCCTTCACCCCAGACAAATGTGCCTTTATGAACCATCTATCCACGAAAAACACGAAAATCGGAAAATGAGTAGCGGGGCGGCAATTTTTCACAGGGGCGCGCAAACAGAGTAGGGGGGCGCTGCGCCCCCCTACCCCCCTTTGGCTAGAACCCTGAATAGCAATAAGAGCAGGGAGATTCAAGTCTTGAGCTTTCTTCAACGGGGGAACAGTTAGATACACACCATAGACGGCATTGAAGCCCACATCTTCATAATCCTGGCCTCCTTTACCTGTGGTATGGTGACTTGGCCAATTAGCGGTGACAGTGCCATATGAACTAGCCAGCCATACTCCACAAATGTCTTGTCTATACCGTCGTATAGACCCTCTGCACAGATATTAATACCATTCAGTCTCAGCGAACCAGCGCTGAAATTCTCATCCGGAGGTGGTCTCTGTGAAGTTGAGGGACAGACAGATAGATAGACATACATACATACATATATACATACACGTACAGACAGACAGACAGACAGGTAGAGAGATATATAGATAGATAGAGAGAGAGAGAGAGAGAGAGAGAGAGAGAGAGAGAGAGAGAGAGAGAGAGAGAGAGAGAGAGAGAGAGAGAGAGAGAGAGAGAGAGAGAGAGAGAGAGAGAGAGAGAGACAGAGAGAAAGTGAGAGAGAGAGGGAAAGAGTGTGTGCATGTGAGCAGTTCTCGCTACCAGATGAATGCTTGTTATAATAAGAATGTCAGCCTATAATACTAACGGAGTTCAAGTGAAGGATGTCTTTGGGTTGTGCGCAATTACTAACATATACTTTGGCATATACTGTAAAAGCAGCCATTTTCGGTGGTGCTTTATTTTCGGTAACGTCGGTGCCGACAATGTTTACCTAAAATAAAGCGCACCGAAAATTCCGGTACTGGTACAGTACTAGTAAACTTACCTGGAAAACGGGTTTACCGAAAATTTCCCTCCACCGAACCGCCGATTTTGGAGAATACCGAAAAAATTACACCACCGAAAATTTCTGCTTTTACGGTATAGTGAATAGAGGTCACCCCCTGATAAGACCTCTATACTTGGAAGTGCTCGATAACACTAGAGAGTAGTTTGCTATGGCCAACCTCCTTTGAAAGGATATGATGTAATACAGCTGAGATAGTGTCTCTGCCTATTGCAAAGTATGCGAGGCTGTTGCCCCCGCAGGCGACGTTGGTGACGAGCAACACCCGTCGTATGCAACATACCGTATTTTCCGGAGTATAGTGCGCACTTTAGATGTGCTATTTTAGGCCCTAAATCGCAGGTGCGCACTATGCTCCGAATATGAAATGCATGTACTTCAATGAAGATTGAAGTGCGCACCCCCAATGAAGATTGGGGGTGCGCGTTATACAAAGGTGCGCACTATACTCCGAAAAATACGGTACTTTGTATTCACTGCTACACTTTTTGTAGTCTAGGCTTTATGTATGACTAACACAGCTATTGATGTATTGACTTTCAGTCGGCTCCAGTTACAACTGCCGGTACACATGATACATGAACTGTCGGACCCCTTTCATGCAGTCGTATGCAGCTGTCACCTAACACCGACACCGCTTTTGTCATCTACTACATGTAGTACGTATCATTTACCGCTACGCTAGGATCGGGATTGTAGTCTGTGATCCGTAGGCGTAGAGGGGGCTTGTTTTCCTTGGTGTGTTAGTTTTAGGTTCCTGCTTCGGTGGTGCAGGTTATTGGTCTTGTTTTAGTTGAGTTAGCTGTTTGGCATGAGAATGAAAGAGTAATAATACAGTCTTCTTATAGTAGAGTAACAACGTTACGTTTGTGGAATGGTGAATCAAGACGAGAGGTAGAAACATTGGTCCTTCGACCCGGATTCGAACCAGCCGGACCGAAAAATAAAGATAATGGACGTCGACAAGCGGCACAGTGAACAGGTCAGGTGATCTCAACGTGAGACCAAAGGCCGGAAGGTGAAGCCGACTTGTTGCAGCAGGAGCGACAATATCAGTAACATTGTCGCAGGCAGCGTCGCGGAGGAAGCCGAAAGTATCTCCTCCTCGACACTGAGCCGATTCTCGAGTGTTTCTCGACGCTCTTCGCGCAGTGCTGCTGAAGCCAGGAAGCGGAAAGCGGAGCTGGTGGCAGCTCAGCGTGTGGCTGCACTTGACGAGGAGGCGAGAAACCATAGGCTGGAAAGCGAGAAGAGACTCTCCAATCTCCAGCTCGCCGCGGACCTGGCGGCGATTCAGGCCGACGAGGAGGTCGACAACGGAGGCACAGCAGCACCCGTGCTCGACTACGGCCACAGCGAGAGAGCAATGGACATGCAGGAGTCACACTACCTCGTGAGGGACGGTGAAGAATCAGTATCTGCTCAAGACGCAGAACAGCACCCACAGCATGGGGAGGTCGAAGTGACTGAAAGTGTCATGCCAGCCCAGGGGTACACGGACAGTGACCCACAGGACGCGGCTACTCCAGCAGTAATTCCAGCCACCAGCCTTGTGCAGCCTCTGTGTGCTGCGGAGATAAGGATCCAGGAGTTGGAGGGGCAGGAGCTGAAGTTATGCGTGCATAACACTGGCTCCATTGAGCAGTGAGCCTATGACGGCAAGCTCACTTTGGAGCTTGAAGAAAAAAGATGACTCAAAGACGAACTCCAGCTACAGCAACAGACGATTGCAACCCTGAAGCAGCGGATCTTCCAGGAAGATGCGAGGCATGCTGACCAGGTGCAGGTGATCAAGTCCCTGAAGGGAGATCTTGCCAAGGGCGAAGCAAGCAACGACCGTCCCCAAAGTGACTTGGTATCCAGAGACCATCGCATCAGCCAGCTCACCAGCACGTCATGCGATCTGGAGGACCAAGTGCAGAATCTAGAGTATGAGCTGGAGTAGACCAGAGCTCAACTAGCAGTCATGCAGGTGGACATGACACCTTCCAACCGGAAAAGGCGCGAGCTGCAGACCAAAGCGCAAAGTGAGCCACGTGGTGCGGCCGGTGCCGACACCTCCACATGCGATCTCCCTTCGTCCAAGAGCGCGGGGGGGGGGGGGAGGAGCAGGGTGCCGTGACGATGGACCCCCGAAACGACCAGCAAGTACTGTTGGTCCTGCTAGCCTGCAGACACAGGCCACATCAGGTGACAGCAAACAGACAGCTGTTGCATCAGCAGTGTCACAGCTGGCCCAGGCATTGTCGGATAAGCTGACGCCACCAAGTGCGACCACTCCAGCCCACCAGAACACCTTGGACAAGGACCTGCGGAGAATGATGGTTAGACAATCAGCCAAAAGACCTGCCGGCCTTCAACGGTGATCCTACAATGTGGCCGATGTTCAACCGGACGTTTACGGCCTCCACTGCAGAGTGTGGTTTCTCCAACCAGGAGAACATGACCCGTCTGCAGAGAGCCTTGAAGGGAAAGGCTTTGGAGAGTGTGAAGTCAATGGCCGTCGTACCGGACAACATTGATCGAGTGATGCACACTCTCCAGATGCGGTTCGGCCAGCCAGACCATGTGGTCCAATCCATGATTGCCCAGGTCAAGACCATGCCTAAGTTGCGAGACGACGACTTTGAGCAGCTTATTGACTTGGCGAACTCGGTTACCAACTTGGTATCGACCATGGAGCTCCTCAAGAGCACAGGCCACTTAGCTAACCCACAGCTCCAACAGGAGATCGTGCAGAAACTACCGAGCAGCATGACCCGTCAATGGGGAGAGCACGTAGCAGAGTGCAAAGATCCAGTGACCATGAAAACACTGGCAGAGTGGCTCGCAAAGAGAGCAGATGCGCTCTGTTGTGTTCGGAGAATCGACACGATGACAACAAGGTGTGTCTCAGCAGACAGCAATATGAAGCCGCAACCGATTGCGCGACAGAGCGGCCAGCGGCAGACTGCCTTCGTGGCCTGCGAGAGAAAGTGCGACTTCTGTGGACGGGCAGGCCACAAGGTGGCTGAGTGCCGAGAATTCGCACGCAAGACGAACAACGAAAGCTGGAGATGGGTCAAGGCAGAACGACGATGCTTCACCTGCCTTGGCCAGGGCCACCGCACTAGAGAGTGCCCTGACAGTACACCCTGTAAGAAGGACGGCTGTGACCGGCTTCACCATCCGATGCTGCACCCACCAAAGAGGAAGGACGATGTCGAACGCACGAACCTAGCTAGCGCCCAGCAGCAAAGCAGAGTCGTTCTGAGGACAGTGCCGGTAGCAATCCGCGGACCGAAAGGTGTGGTGAACACGGCAGCACTACTGGATGAAGCATCAACGGTCACCCTGCTGGATTCAGACATCGCAAAGCAGGTGGGCACAGAAGGGCCATGTAGGCCATTGACGCTAGCATGGACGAACGACATGTGCCAGCAAGATCCTGACTCCAGAGAGGTCATGATCACGGTGAGCGGTCAGGACGGAGACCTCCAGCTGTCGGCCCGGACTGTGCGTGAGCTGCACCTACCAGCCCAGCATGTCGACATCAACCATCAGCGACAGCGCTGGCAACATGTGAGCAGCGCAGACATCACTCTCAGCGCGACAAAGAAGCCGCGCTTGCTGATTGGCCAGGACAACTGCCATATCATCTTGCCCAGGGAGACGATCGAGGGCCCACCCCAACGCACCCACACTGAGCCGGTGCAAGTTAGGGTGGTCAATACACGGCCAACTCGGTGACACTGACCCGGTACTGCATGCCCGACTTGACGATACAGCGGAAGAAGGCAGCGCTGAGGACACGGATATCGGCCTCCACCAACAGGTGAAGCACTACTTCACCACAGAATCGTTTGGTGTACAAGTCCGCAGCGAGAAAATACGCTCGCGACAGGAAGCGAAGGCGGAAAGGATCCTGGAATCCACCACGAGACATATCAGGGAACGATGGGAGACCGGCTTGCTGTGGCGAGATGCTGACGTAAGCCTACCGGAGAGTAAAACGTCAGCAACGCGCCGCCTCCTGTCCATTGAACGCAAGATGGAAAGGAACCCTGAATTCTCTGAAGCGTACTGCGCTAAGATTGCACAGTATATTGATGACGGATACGCCACCAAACTCACACACTCCCAGCTCCAGATGCCTTCTCAGAGTGCGTGGTACCTGCCACATTTTGGAGTGACAAACCCCAACAAGCCAGGCAAGCTGCACCTAGTATTTGATGCAGCTGCGCCAAGCCACGGGGTCAGCCTCAACGATGCCCTGCTGCCAGGCCCCGACTATCTCAACCCTCTCACCAGTGTGCTGTTCAAGTTCAGACAACAAGTCCATTGACGCCCGAGCCCGTCATCCTGGACACGTCGCACCCATTCACACAGATGCCCCTTCAGCAGTACCATATATGGCATGGACACCATGGTCAGGATAATGTGGCAAACGACGTCCGCCAGACATATTGGGTCCTGAAACTACGCACAGCCGTCTGCCGTACCTGGACCGTATGCCAGCAGTGTAAAAATGAACGTGCGCAGCCAACACCACCTCAGATGGGACAGATTCCCGACGCACGCGTTGCCACGTTCATCCGCCCGTTAACACATTGCGGCATGGACTATTTCGGGCCACTGACAGTCACTATCGGACGACGTCACGGTGAAGCGGTACGGCGTGATATTCACCTGCCTTACGACCTGAGCTGTACACCTGGAGCTGTCACACGACTTGACAACAGACTGTACCATCATGGCAATTCGCCGGTTGATCAGTCGCAGACGGTGCCCTGGAGTTATCTACTCGGACAATGGTACCAACCTACGAGGTGCAGCAAGAGAACTCAAGGAATCACTGGACCAGCTGGACCAGACACGCCTCACAGCTGAGCTCACGCCAAGAGGAATCAAGTGGGAGTTCAATCCTCCGGCAGCCCCGCACATGGGGGGAGCGTGGGAGCGACTAGTGAGGTCTGTGAAAACCGCCCTGAGAGCCGTGCTCAAGGAACGTGCTCCGCGTGAGGATACACTCATCACGCTACTTACAGAGGTTGAGGCGATACTCAACAGCTGCCCGCTCACACATGTGTCCTCTGACCCAACTGACGACAACAGCCTGACGCCGAACCACTTCCTCCTAGGGACGCCATCAGCAGCACCAGTGCCCGGAGTATTCAGTGGTGATGACCTACATCTGCGCCGGCAGTGGCGCATCGTGCAAGTGCTAGCTGACCATTTCTGGCGCCGATGGATGAAGGAATACCTGCCCACGCTAGCCCGGCGAACCAAATGGCACGGAAGAGCAGAGAAGAAGGTGGAAGTAGGTGATGTGGTGGTCATCGCCGACGACAACGCAGTGAGGAACACATGGCTGAAGGGGATAGTGACGGCGACCTATCCCGGCAGAGACGGCCTGGTGAGGGTAGCAGATGTCAAGACCCAGACTGGTGTGTTCCGCCGGCCGGTAGCCAAGCTCTGCGTGCTAGATGTCCGTTGTGTTAGTGACGGATAAATCGTCACTGGGGAGAGGATGTTGCCCCCGTAGGCGACGCTGGTGACGAGCAACACCCGTCGTATGCAACATACTTTGTATTCACTGCTACACTTTGTGTAGTCTAGGCTCTATGTATGACTAACACTGCTATTGATGTATTGACTTTCAGTCGGCTCCAGTTACAACTGCCGGTACACATGATACATGAACTGTCTGACCCCTTTCATGCATTCGTATGCAGCTGTCACCTAACACCAGCACCGCTTTTGTCATCTACTACATGTAGCAATACGGTATGTATCATTTACCGCTAGGCTAGGATCGGGATAGTAGTCTGCGATCCGTAGGCGTAGAGGGGGCTTGTTTTCCTTGGTGTGCAGTTAGTTTTAGGTTCCTGCTTTGGTGGTGCAGGTTATTGGTCTTGTTCTAGTTGAGTTAGCTTTTGGGCATGAGAATGAAAGAGTAATAATACAGTCTTCTTATAGTACAGTAACGACGTTACGTTTGTGGAATGGTGAATCAAGACGAGAGGTAGAAACAGAGGCAATACCCCGTCCCCAGAAACCTAGATCATTTACGATGTACATTAGGTAGCAAGACGTGGAGTTTGCTGGACTTCTAACCTGCAACGGGCCCCGCAGATTGACATGACAGGGGCCAATAGCCACATTCAGATGGCCTTCTTTGATATCCTTCACCATAGATACGGTGAGTCCTTCCATTACGATGCTGGGCAAGACTTCAGTGGATGCGGCGATGTGCTGCATCAAAAACACAGGAGATGAATGCACAGAAAGCAAGTCAATCGTAGGCAGTAAGACAAGTTGGCACACAGCTAGAAGACTGGTCTGTGTTCTTTGCAGTGGTGAATTCTTGGCATTTGCGACGACATATTGGCTGAATGTTCCACAATACTATCCCAATCAATAAGCTCACCACTGGAAGCAGACAACTGAGGTAATGTCCAGAATGGCCTGAGTAAAGGGTGATACCATTAAGCTAAAAGCAAGTGAAATATGACAGAGACTTCGATTTCAAGGCTGACTTCATTTACCTTCGGCAGAATAGCATGGAGTCTGTCCACAACAATGGAGACATTGATGTCAAGTTGCCGTAGTGGCTCCAGAGCCTCCTCTTCTTCATCATCCAGAACAGCAGCACCATCCGTCTGCATCTGACGTAAGCGTGTCTTAGTTGCCATTCGAGCAAAACTGGCCGACGGGATCCTGTGGAACTTTTGAAATCCACCAAAGTAGTTCTCCTGTGCCATGCGCAAACATCAAGATGGGTAAGTTAAATGTGCTAAAGGACATTTGCCTTGAATCGTATCGACGGACAAACACCAGAAATGCGTGCAATGTAGTAAATGTATAAGTATCATCTCCAGGA